TAAAAAAGACTGGACATACCCTGTTTGCAATACCTTGGGTTGTCTACTATTGCAAATGGTATGCCATCATAGGGGTAATTTTCATTCTTGGGCTACCATAGGGTCTCAAAGGCACCGTAACCAATCTGGCGAATTTTTATGTGAAAAAAATGAAACTCAAGCCTTATATTTGAGGCTGTAACTTTTGAAAACACCATAAAACCTGTACATGAGGGGTACTGTTGTACTCGGGAGACTTCGCTGAACACAAATATTTGTGTTTCAAAACAGTAAAAGTATTGCAGCAATAATATCATCCGTGTAAGTGCTGTTTGTGCATGAAAAATGCAAAGAACTTCACTTTTACTGGCGATATCATTGTTGTAATACATTTTACTGTTTTGAAACACTAATATTTGTGTTCAGCGAAGTCTCCCGAGTAAAACAGTACCCCCAATTTACAGGTTTTATGGTGTCTTGGAAAGTTATAGGGTTAAATATAGTGCTAGCAAATTAAATTCCCTATACTTTCGGCATGGGTTGTCAGGCAGGTCCGCTAATTGTAATTAATTAGGATACCTAATTATGTAAAAATATTACATAAATATATGTGTAGAATTAATATATGTATATATATACATATGTGTATATATACATATATATATATATATAATTTTTTAAAATATTTTTATTTATATATAGGTGTATATATTTAGTGATATATATGTATATATTTATGTATATATATATATATTATTTCGTTCTACGTGTATTTTGATATAAATATATATATATTAATATCACAATACAGTTAGAACGAAATAACAAACATCTATATATTTTTTTATTATTTATTTTTAATTATTTACCTACTCATGTTTTTCCAATGAAAAACAAAAGGGATATTCGGACTGCTAACTCATCCATTAAAGCATTTATCCAGACGGTTAAAATGGATATAGAAAAAATTGTTAAAAATCCACCTCTGTCCCATCAGAATCTAAGTCCGGGAGAAAAAGCAGCATTGAAGGACCTCAGTCAAGACCCTAATATAGTAATCCGTGGGGCTGATAAAGGGGGAGCAACGGTGATACAATCATACGACCAATACCGGAAAGAAATACTGAGACAACTCAGTGATACCTCTGTGTATACGAAGCTTACGTTTGATCCAACGGCTAAATTCCAAAAAAGAATAAAAAATCATGTTGAATTGGGATTACAATTGGAGTACTTGGATACTCACACAGCTCAGTACCTCACAGTTGAGCACCCCAGATATCCGGTACTGTATACGCTACCCAAGATCCATAAAGACCCACTACAACCACCAGGAAGACCCATAGTTTCGACTAGAGATGGCATAATCGAACCAATTGCCAAATATATTGATACTTTTATTAAAGATAGCATTATGGCTTTGCCTACATGCTTACGAGACACACAGGACTTTATGTCCAGAATCCTACAAACACCACATGTGGAGTCGACATCCTTATTAGTTACGATGGATGTCCAGAGCTTGTACACCATCATACCTCATAGGGAGGGTGTACAGGCTTTGAGGGAGATCCTGGTCAAATCTACCATATATGAAGGTCCGCCAATTGAATTCTTGTTGGAATTTCTAATGATTGCACTTACATGCAACTATTTTAAATTTGAAAACCAATTCTATGTGCAAGTATCCGGCACTGCGATGGGGGCGGCAATGGCACCATCATATGCTAATGCCTTCATGTACATTTTTGAATGTGATCATATTTTGGAAAAATTTGGACAACATATTCAACATTATTATCGGTTTGTAGATGACCTGTTCATGATTTGGACAGGTACCAGGATAGATCTGGAACAAATGATTCATGAAATAAATCAATCTTCTACACCTGTTATACTGAGTTATCAAATTGATGAAAAATCAATTCAATTTTTGGATGTCACCATCTATAAAAAAGAAAACAAATTGGAATTTACTTTATACCGTAAAAATACGGATCGTAATACTCTCTTATCTGCCTCCAGTTTTCATCCACAACAACTTAAGAAATCACTCCCGGTCTCCCAATTCTTAAGGACATTAAGATATAATACAGAAACCGAAAAACGAAGAGCCCAATTGGAAGAAATGTGGGAGAGATTTCGTATGCAAGGTTATCGTCCACAAACTCTCCAAATAGCACAAACTAAAGCTTTGAATATATGGAATCAAGAAAGATTGAATGATAAAACTAAGAAGGTACCAAAAGAACCAAAAATTTATCTTCCCATGACTTTTCACACTGGAACATCGAAAATTAGACAATCTATCCAAAGACATTGGGATATATTACGTTCAGATAAATCACTACCTCATACATTCATGAGTTCCCCTGTTATCAGTTACAGAAGAAACAAAAACTTAAAGGACCTTCTGGTGAAGAGTGACCCAGAAATTTGCTACCGTAAACCGAGGAGTATTGTGAAGAAAGGTTGTTATAAATGCAGTGGATGTGTGACATGTAGTCACATGGTCAGTGGCACGACCTTTGCTCATCCCCATAGCGGTCAGAGAATTAAAATATCTCATTATATCACGTGTACCACTGACCATGTGATATACATGATCACATGTCCCTGCGGACTTTCGTACGTTGGCAAAACCGACTTGACGTTGAGAGACCGCATAAGGGGACATCGGTCGACCATAACAACAGCATTTAGAGATCAATATAGCGATAAGCCAGTCGCTAAACATTTCCTACATATGCAACATAGACTTTCTCTGTTACGTTTCACGGCTATTGATCATGTCCCCCCAATGTCCAGAGGGGGTGACAGATCAAAGAAACTACTTCAACGTGAGGCACAATGGATCCATCGGCTGGACACAGTGACACCAAGAGGACTCAACGAGAATATTGTGCTCTCTATGTTTCTTTAATAATAATGTTCTTTGAATAATCATATGGTTTCCCTTTTTCTCTAAGTATATTTGTGATCCTTATTGGTTTTTTGGAGCCTTTATTCTAATGGCTTTTTTTCCCTTTTTTAGTCTGCTAGTTTTTTTTTTTTTTTTTTGTTATAGATTGCTTCAGCTAAATGCCTTCTAAACTTGACATGGTTGGTGAAATGTTTTTAACATAACATTCTTTATTTTTTTGATCACTTCTTTAGATATATGGTGACACTTTACACAGTATATTTGATCTTATGATCTTTGCTTATTTTTTTATATTAGGCTGCATTTTTGCGGATTTATGCACTCTGCACTTTAATCAGATTTCATCAATAGATTGATATTAGACATTTCACTTGCACATCTATGAGATATTTACCGATCTTATAATTAATTGTTTTCCTATCGGTATCTTAGCAACACCACATGATCACTTATGCATGGATCATGTGATCGTGGGTTCTATTTCCGGTTTCACTTCCGGGTGTGCACGGAGGGATTCAGGGGGTTCTTCACAGATTGGTGAGTACTTCTTTTTATGTCCTATATAAATGGCTTGTAAGCACAGGTACATTGACCTTGAGAAAGACCCGAATGGGTCGAAACGTCGGCAAACTTTGATGTTATACCTGCTGGAATAAATTAACTATTTTTTCAAAGTCCTGAGAGTGCATCTCTTTATCCTCTATATATATATATATATATATATATATATATATATATATATATATATATATATACTTAGATCATATATATATAATAACTGCCTGACACTGTGATCACCTCCTGCAGATTGGGTCATTGGCCACAGGGGGGAGTGCCTGGGTGGTACAAGCACTCCCCCCTTCCAATCTGCAGGGGGATCTTTGTGCCAGTTACATGTGTCAGCCAATAGGCTGACACATGTAACACTGATCGCAGTGACAAGCTGTCACTGCGATCAGAGCGCTCTGAGATCGCAGTGACAGCCTGTCACTGCGATCTCAGAGTTAGCAGATCGCGGTCACTGACCCCAGGGGGACTGCCTGGGGGGCCAGGTAAGTCCCCCGACCGCGATCTGCACGGGGTAGCCGCTGGCCACGTGTGTCAGCCGATTTGAAATCGGCTGACACACGTTAAAAAACTGATCGCAGTGACAGCCTGTCACTGCGATCAGTGACTGCAGATTGCGGTCACCGGCCACAGGGGGGGGTTGCCTGGGGGGCCGGGCACCCCCCCCCGACCGCGATCTGCAGCGGGCGAATAGCGCCGGCCACATGGGCGGCCATTAAAGTGAGGGCGTACTATTACGCCCGCCGGCGTTTAGAGCCGGCTCCTGCAGGGCGTAATAGTACGCCCTCCGTCCTTGAGGGGTTAATTAAGCTGAAGTGGTGTGGGTGCCTATAGTGGTCCTTTAATGTGACAGTGGTGAATTACGGTTGAACAGACATATAGCGCAAATTCCAGTTTTTGTTTACATTTTGTTTTGATCAGAACGTGTACTATTGACTCCGTCCTGAAGGGGTTAAATGTGTGCATGTTTTCATTTAGGGAATATCTACTAGACGGTTATTTTTATTTATTTTATTTAAGCAGTGGGGTAAACTAGTAAATGTGAAAACTGCCATTCCAGTCAGTTATGTTTTCTAAATATAAAGTACTGCAGTTTACATATTACCCAATATAGCACCACATTATGCATTCTTCCTCACACCCATCAATATGGGTAACTGTGTAAATGCTATATTATTAGTTTTCAGAATCCACTCACGATGATGTCCCTAAGCTGCTCTGATATATATAATATTATATAACAGATTCATGCATTTTATATTAATACCACCAATTCCTTTATAAAGTTATTTAATATATATATATGTATTATATATATATTTTTTTTTATTTTTTTTACTGTGACAAAATCTCACATGGAGTAGAAATAATTTGTCTCGCTCATATTGTAAATAAAGCATTATTAAAAAAAATACAACCCCACAGCCTTCCTGCCGAAGGTGGCTGCGCGTGACGTCACCGGATTTGCTGCCGGATGCCGGAAGCGGGAAAGGAAACGGAGCGGCTGGGGAGGAGGAGGAGGAGGAGAAGGAAAAAATAACAACCGGAGCAGCTTCGCTCCGGACAGGTTACCGGAACGGAGACCGAGCCAGTGTGTCACCGGGTCAGCCTCGTCTCCCCCAGCCGGGGGAGGATGGGGAGAGGCAGCCCGCGGTGACCGGCCTGGGAGGAGGAGGAGGACAGCACTGGGATACCCGCAATGTGCTCACATCCTGTCTCCACACTCATCATCTGCCGACCGTGTGCGCTGCTGGCGGAGAGCAGTGAGTAGCGGCTCTGTCACCCTGTGATTATTGACAATGTGTATATTGTGTGTACTGAGGGTGGGGGGCTCCATGGCTGCTCCTCTAATGCTCATTTATTGGGGCTCCATGGCTGCTCCTCTAATGCTCATTTATTGGGGCTCCATGGCTGCTCCTCTAATGCTCCTTTATTGGGGCTCCATGGCTGCTCCTCTAATGCTCATTTATTGGGGCTCCATGGCTGCTCCTCTAATGCTCATTTATTGGGGCTCCATGGCTGCTCCTCTAATGCTCATTTATTTGGGCTCCATGGCTGCTCCTCTAATGCTCATTTATTGGGGCTCCATGGCTGCTCCTCTAATGCTCATTTATTGGGGCTCCATGGCTGCTCCTCTAATGCTCATTTCTTTCCCTGGTGTTCCTGGCTCCCAGTTTGTGTTTGAATTGACATGTTAGCAGTCAGGGATTTCCCAGGTATTGGTCTGGCAGGTATGCCTTGGGTTGATGTCTCTGAGGCCAGGGCTGGCAGAGTTTTGTTTTGCACGTGTCTTGTACATGTAGTAGGCATTAGAGGTATTGTATTTTTTAATTTTTTTATTTTTTATTAAATAATGAATTGTGTAAAAATATAAAAGTAAAATTCAGGGCAAAAGTTGGAGCACCATCTCCTCTCTTCCCCTCATTTACATTTTGTTTCTGTTTTCATTTTGCTGTGAATCATTGTTTTGTAAATGAAAACTTGAATCCTTGAATGTTACTTTAGAGTTAAAAAATAAATAAATGAATAAAAGGAATCGCTAAATATAGGCTCCAAACCTCATGTCCCTTTAAGGGTTGTTAATTGAGAAATGCAAATATACCCCTACAATAAAGGTTTACAGGTATTTAGGTAGTGCAGGTAAGTGCCCTTAAGCTTTTACGCTGCATTCTTCTATCTTAGATTAAAAGGTGCATATGTCACTGAGATCAAACAGGTCCCTGAGTCAGAGTGAACATGACTAATTTGGAAGCAATCTCCCTCAATTGCACTATTAATGATCCAATGCCTTTGTATTCTATATTCATAGCAATATTCTGTATTTATGATAGTTATGACTCTAAATCCTTGTGACAAGTGCAACTAATTTATAGTTTGTGTATATTACACAGATGTCACTTGACAATTAGACCTGTCAATTACCTATTTTTTGCTCATGACAGGGTGACACATTTGCCATTGAAACAGCTTTTCTCAATTGATACCTTATTGTTTTGGTTATGTGTGTCCTACGCCATGACCACAGTTCTAGTAAGAAGTGGTTTACCAGGAAGTTATCTGGTATGTCATGAGAACAATGCTATACAGTAAGCATGTCAAACACAGGCTAACACGGGCCAAATAAACCAGGTTTAAGTTCGTGTGGGCCGCAAAAATACAAACTTCAGTTTTCATACAAGCATAGTTTTCTTTCGAAAAGTACAGTATAAAAAAAGTTGCCTAATTGGCCCTGGACGTCCTCACACTGATAGGGCTTCAAAGTTAAAAAAAAAAACCCAGCAAATTTTATTTTAAGGAGACGAGTATTTGCACATAACCAATGTTTCAGTTCAACTACCTTGACATATTAAAAGTGTGGTAATGGGACTGAAATGGTGAATGTATGCTGTTGCACAGCTGTAAAAACCAAATGACGGCATCTTGTTTATTTTGAAGTCCTATGAGTCTGTGTGTTCTGTACTTTGGCTGAGATCAATAAACCTGATGAGCTCAGCCAATCCAATGCTTTCCCATAGAAAAGCATTGGGAAGCTATCGTGCATGTGTGGTAAAAACCTGTGCAGACCATCAGCATCTCCATGGGGACCCATTCTAATACACTGCCCACAAATCCAATACTTTGCCCCCTCCACCCACTTTAGTACACTGCCTACAAATCCAGTACATTAACCCCAAATCCAATACACTGCCCCCACTCCCACAACTCTAATTTAATAAGCTACACTCCCTCCCCCCAATTTAATACACTGCCCCCATCCTTTCCAACTGAATACACTGCCCCCTGTCCCCAATTTAACACACTACACTGGAAGGTCCCACATGCCCCTCTTCCCCTACCTTAACATGAGCCGCCATCCTGCAGTTCCAGCTATGCTTTTCTCTGTTCAAGCAGTGCGAGCAGGAGGTAAGGCCTGGCTGCCCTGCTCTGCAGACAGCCACTCTGCCCTCTTGTGGCCGCGGGAGGGTAGGCAAGAATCAGACTGGAAATATCTTTCCCGTCTTGCGACTGGTCGCAGCCACAGCACAAAGATGCCCCAGGGCAGGCGGGCTGCAAATATATTCAATGTGGGCTGCAAGTTTGACGTGCTTGCTCTACAGAAACAGTCGCTGTTGAGTTTTAATGAATAATTCTCATTTAAATTTCATTTAGTTGTTTAATATATCCGTCACTGCCTTCTATTCATCAAAAAATATCCAACTTAGAAAGTATAAAAACAGACTATATATTGTGCTAGATTTTTATATAAGAGACTAAAGTGTTTTACATATACATGTAAAAATTCAAAAAAGTTTTCTTTAAAGGAATATAGTGTTAGGAATACAAGCCCTACATCAACTATTCCGATGTTTTCCCATATGGGGGCTAGTGCGCGTGTGCGGTACTTCACTGTGCCAATCAAATGTTCATTAGGAGCAGTGTTTGACTGAGAACCGGAACAGCCACTAGAGGTGTGTTTTACCCTGCAAGAGCAATTGTACCCAGACCACTTTAAGATAAAGTGGTCTGTGTGCCTTTAGTAGTCCTTTAAGGGACCCTCAAAACAACTTTATATTAAAGGATGAAACATTTCATTATAGCCTACAGTATTGGGTATGGTGCCATCCTTGCTCTAACGCTCTTCCAGATTACATAGTTAAACAGTTTAAGAGCTAATTGACTACTAACCTGGTTCCTCTCTGGCACCCGATACTATCTTTCCTGCTTTCTGAAGCTACTGCCTCTGAGTTAAATCCATCCATGCAGGGACATGTAAACTGGCTGAGAGCACTCAGCTGATGCTCTCAGCGAAGGTAACTGGAAGTTCTTTGCAGGTGCTTCTGGCAGATTCCGCGGTTGTTAAACCATTCTTAATCAGTTTGACTACTTTGACTGAAAAGGCGCCAGTCCTGACACTGTTATGGTGCTTGGGGTATTCTGTATGGGAATGCTGACACACATCCTTGTTATATTGGGTAATGGTTAGTGAAATCATTCTTTCTGATAAATTCATATGTGCTCTCCCTAAAGTGTCCTAAAGGCCTTCAGTGTGTTGTAATTCTTGAGGAATTGCATTAAGAGTTGATATTTTGATCTTACATATACATATTGGAGTTTATCCTAATATATTCATTACAAATTCATGGATTATTTTTTCATAATTTATTGCTTGAACTAAACAAAATTTCTAAAACTAGACCTGCTCTGGTGTGTGTTTAAAGAAACACTATAGAGTCAGGAACACAAACATTTATTACTAACCCTATAGTGTTAAATAACACTATCTAGACACCTTGCCCCTTTAAATATAGTAAAATCTTCCCTTTATTCCAGTCTGCTGGTGCTGGCTATGCCCTTGATCTGCCTCCTTGGCTGGCATTATCAGAATTGATCATCTCAGCCAATCAGAATGCTTTCCCATAGGAAAACTTTGGATTGGCTGAGATTTTAAATTCTGATGATATCAGCCAAGGAAGCAGGCTGTGGGACAGATCCAAACACCAGCCTGGCCAATCAGTATCTCCTCATACAGATGTATCAATTCATCTCTGAGGAAAGTTCAATACATTTTTAACTCTAAAAACATTGCGAATGTAATGCCGCATCTCCCTTGAAAAATTATGACTATGGTGATATCAAACCCATCCTCTGTCCAGAGTATCATTCACACCATTAAATTCTATGTATAATCAACAATATACAGCTAAGCAGAAAAAGAAATATACAATAGTGTAACACAGCTTAGATTCAATAAAACTCTGCTTTTAAACTGCACTAACAAGGTGTGTGTGTGTGTGTGTGTGTGTGTGTGTGTGTGTGTGTGTGTGTGTGTGTGTGTGTGTGTGTGTGTGTGTGTGTGTGTGTGTGTGTGTGTGTGTGTGTGTGTGTGTGTGTGTGTGTGTGTGTGTGTGTCACAGTATATCAAGAGTGTTTCCCCTAAAGTTTTTGGGGATTTCAGGTTTAATGCCCGATAGGATTCCTCTCACCAATAAAGGATTTAGACTCCAGTGGTGTATGACCAAAAGTATATTTATTAAAATTAGTCAAATATAAATAATAATGGTCCTAAGCGTTTCCCCCTGTACATGGTTCCTTCAGAGACTATTTAAAAACCTACCGTATATACTTGAAAATAAGTAGAGACCCCTAATTTTACCCCAAAAAACTGGGAAAACTTATTGACTCGAGTATAAGACTAGGTTCGGAAATGCAGCAGCTACTGGTAAATTTCTAAATAAAATTAGATCCACAAAAAATTATATTGAATATTTATTTACAGTGTGTGTATATAATGAATGCAGAGTGCATCATCAAGTGGTTTTGGTATGACAGCCACTAGAGGTGTGTTTAGCCCTGTAATGAAAACATTGTTGTATCTCTAAAACGGCAATGATTTACATTACTATAGCAAAACGCCAAGGGCACAACACACAGACCACTTCATTAAGATTAAGGTTTCTGGGTGCCTATAACTTACAGGTGTTCATGCTCTACTGGTCCAAAGCAGCTAGGAGGAATTCTGTTAGAGCAGACTAAGCATATAGAAGGGTTTATTTTTTATTTTTTTTTGAGAGAGAGAATTGGCTTTTTATCTAAAATGATTAGTTGAACAGCTGTTTGCCGCAATTAATTTTGACTGTGTTTTGGCATAAATGTTACAGATCAGTTTGCCAGAATTCACTATTTGCAGATAAACCCAATGGTAAAGTACATAAATATTGCAAATGGTCTACTTCTAATACATACTGCTTTTTTAGTGCAAACATAGAAATCAATATTAAAGTCTGGGCTTGATAAGAAATTGGCATACTGCTGGTGCCCCTTATTCTCTTTTTCTACAACTATTATTTACTTAGACTGTTGAAAATGCAACATATTGCAAAAGTTAGTATTTGAGATGTCTTTGAAAATATTTGCAGTTTCAGAACATTTTGATGGAAATTGAGATTAAGTGCTCTGTTGCCTTCTGTTTTGAAGAACTATTCAATGGTATTATTTTTTTCCTCATTGTAGGTAAAAGGCCTTCCTTTCCTCTGAGCGGTTTCCTGTAAAAACATAAATATATGGAATGAAGAATGTCTTATTCTGGGCCTGAGCATTTTTTTATGTAGGCTATATAAAGATCTGCATATGTGTTTGAAAGCAATGAATGTTTGAATTCTTTGAGCTGTCAGTAGTAAATAAAGGAAAGTTTATCTTCTTAAAACATGACCTCGTTTTTCAATATCCTCAGCTGGGAAAACACTATTTAACTTATGAAGGATGACTTGTAGAGTTAATTACAAAGTAATTTTTTCCTCTTATAATTGTGTTCTCTTATTAATAGTTTGATATGTTAGTGAGTTATGTTGTTTTGTCTTTTAAAGCAATGTTCCTCAATCCTTAGTTCTCATCCACTAGCAAGAATTTCAGGATATCCTGCTTTTCAGCCCAGATGAGAAAAATACTAGCCTGTTCTGAGAATAGGTTTAACAAATTATGTTTTGGTAGTAGCTGGTTTGTTTGTTTTATTTTTATAAAGTTACATTTTGCACATTTTAATTTATAGTTCAGTCAGTACGTAACCAAATTAATAAGCATTCATTTTAAATATAAATAATTTTAATTTTAAATGGACATAGTTTGTCATTTATGCATTAAAAATATATATTTATTTGGATTAAACATAACCAGGCTGGTTTAAACGTAGTTGTACTGAAGCTGTTACCTATATTTGACCTAGAGAGTTTACCTGTACAGTCCTCTCGTGAGCAGCATCTAAGATGTATTAGGAAACCATGAGAAAATATTTTCAGGATCTGTCTATGGCAAAATGAGTAAGCTTCTTCAGGAATTTACTCAGTACTCTCTATCGTGAAACAAGAACGTTTTGCAGTAGCATACTGAGCTCAAACATTTCAGTATGATTAGTTGCAGTTCTCCTAAAAGAGTTCCTAAAGATGACTTTAAGAAGTGTTTGATAATCTACACAAAAGCAAGATTATTTGGGTTGATTTTAATACTTCAAAAAATTGTCCATAATCCTTTGATGCATAATAACACACTTTTCCATCATGGAATATTGTAACCTTTTCCTTCTAGTAAAGGAATTGATCATCCTAATTGTTTTGCACAAACAAGAATGAGCTCTTGCAGGTGATTTTACTGTGGCGAAAGTGACCTCGCCATTGGTTTTTGGAGGGGCCTGTTTGCCAGCCTCTTGCCCTAGGACTATGGCCCCTGTGGGTATTGCCCCGTGGAAATGATTATTTGGGCTGATTATTAATATGTAACTTTTATGGAGATTGGATGGATATTTAGAAGTTATAAGAATTGTATAAAAACTGTATTTTCCTGCCTGTGATAATAACACCAACCCATTGTGTACAGTAATTATATCACAGGCAGAGGGGAGGGTTTGTTTGTCCTAACTGGGAGTGTTTAACGGTATAATAATGTATTTGATTGGCTGTGCCACAAAACCCCATGGGTGGTAACATTGTGTAATAACCTGTATAAAAGAAGCAATAAAACCACTGCTCTGTCTGTTCCTGCTTACACTCCAAACTGTGGGAAGAATATTTGCTCCTGTGTCTGCTGTTCCAGCTTGCAGGAGATTCAACGGGGATAGTCCTTGTAAGGACTAGAGCTAATTCCCCATTCGGTTCCAGAGTTCCTAGGACTGAGTGTTGTCCAGTGTCTGGAGGTGTCTGCTGGAGTGCTTGGAGCCCTCAGGAAGCGCTAGGAGCATCCTTCATCGGAGGTACCCAATCGGGGTGCCAGGTGATCTAATGGCCGTCTCCACAATGTAACTGGGGTCTGCTATAGTGGCCTCTCGTTAACAAAGCTCAGCTTGAGTGTTTTACCATTCTAATACATGTGGATGCATATTGATGTGTGGGAGGTTACTATAACTTGGATACATATATATTAAGTTGAGATAAAAACATACTGTAGTAAATGGATGAAGAGGGACCCGCAGGGAGTCCAAATGTGAGGCAATTCCACAAGTGAAGAAATTGAGCTGAGATATTGGAAACCATTGGCTGTTTCATAAGAGTCCCAGGAAAGCTTATTTTAATTTAAATTTGCAAGAAATCACCATTGCATAGAGGGTAATTACGTTTAACTAGCATACATACATCTAGCTTTTTTTGCATCTTGAAAAAGGAAGAGTCTTAAGCTAAATTATACATATAACTACTTAACTTTGAACCACAGACAGGAAGCTGGTGCTGACCTTGATTAAATTCACAGAAGATGTTTAAAGCATAACTGTCACTCGTCTGGAAATTCTACATTGATTAAAACATTGAATAATCAGAGAAACAAGTGTTTACATTGCTGCCTAGTAACACCTCTAGTGGCAGTCACTCAAAAGGCCAAGTGTCTCCTATCTCATTGCTGCACTATATGCAGCACCTACATTCAGCGTGTCCACTCACTGCATGAAAGCGCTAAACATTCCACATAGAAATGCATTTGTTTGTTGCGTCTCTAGGATGAGATGCTGATTCGTAATTGATCATCTAAGCTATGGGGGTGGGCCAGCTGTGGCGTTGGGGGAAAAAAGGTGAGTAAGAACACCATTCCCATGCCATCAGAGGAGGCTGGTGACCAAAACACACACTCACTGACACACACACACTCTGTCTTGCACAGTCACAAAGTATTTAATGGATACACACACAAAGATCCATAGATACACACAAATACACATACAGACATGCACACAGATATTCTTAGCCACCCTCCTGTTTCCTACCTTTTGGGCTCACGAGGGTGGCTTTCCTTTGGTCCAGTCCAAATGGGCTGCAGGTGACATTAGGTTAGAGGGGCTGAATGCGACTGATGGGAGCAGGCTGCCGCTGTTCCAGACTCCTCATGTCTCTCGAGCCCCGTGCCCCATGAGGAAGTGATGGTAAGGTCAATTACTTCCTCCTGGTGCTGAGGGCGCGCAGGGGAATTGGCTGGTGACCAGTTCTGCATAATAGCAATTTAGGGAGCGGGTGGTAAGCAAGGGGAAGGGAGGTACTTGCTGCCATTCCAGCTTGCAATTCCCCTGCAGGAGGAGCAAAGAGGGAACGGACAGACCAATCCCAGGTGTAACGAAATCCCCTATTTACAGACTATACGAACAAGCCTGTTCGGTTATTTGGAGAATTACAGCGGGATTTCGTGGAAATAACAATAAATGCGAATGAACTACCGAACCACCGTCCTCCCACTGAGGTCGTGTGGCGCCTATTGACCACCCTGACTGTTGCGGTTAACCACAGACTAATTGGTGAATAGCGGGTGGTCCGCGTTCATCTACCGAACACGTGGCAATCGCCATTTTGTATTGTCGAACGCACAGCAGTAAATGGTGAGGATTCCCTGGAACTGATTTCGGCTACCTATTTTGTCGAACACCGCTGCTACCTTCACCCATCATCCTTCATACGGTGGAAAAATACACGAATGAAGGGGTACTACTTCATTCGTGTGCTAAAGTATGCGAAAGTGGCAGACCCCAGATAGCTATAGTATGGAACTTGCAGTCGGCTGCAAACACACGAACGGCCGGTGAAAATCAAACTTCGGTCGACGATTCTGAGAACTGTGTTCGTGGGATCTGAGCGCTATTCGCCTAGAATATGCCCTCAGATCCAAGCTATCTGGGGATATGTGGAACTTAAAGTTTATGTTGTGTAAAAAGAAAGTTATATATTTTTATTCTGTTTTGCTAAATAAGAAAAGCCATGCTTCTTTCTTCCTGGAGATAATTAAGGCTCTCTTTGCTACCTTAAGTTAATTATCTCCAGGATGGAAAAGAGGGAGTGATTTTTGTAAAAGGGGAGTGCTTTTGCTATAGCCACTGTGATTGGCTACTGTTACTTTTGTCCCAGTCTTCCATCTGGTCCCCTAGGGGAGTGTCCACCAGGTGGAAGACCTGCATAAATACCGGGCAGGTAGCCCACAGTAAATCAGATCGTTTTACCCCTTCATGAAGTCTCGACTCATGTTTGGGGGATTGGGAGCTATAATCACTTCGTTTCAGTTGGATTTCGGGAGAAGCTGCAAGGATAATCGCTGCACGAATGCAAGGATCCTTTACACCAGGACTAAGTTCTTAGTTGCCATGGCGACCTAACACCTGGGATTTTTCGAGCCCTGCACCAAGAGCAATGAGTGAGCGGAGAGAAACTACAAACAGTGATATATTTACTATATGTCTCCCTTGGCGTCCTCTCCTTCTAATGCAGGTTGCTTTGTAGTTCAGAGCACTCAGAAGCCTCAGTGATTTGAGCTTTGTGCAAACCACCTTGACCTTATCTATGAAAATATATTCACATATGTTACAGCAGGGCTCGACAAATCACAGGCGCCAGGAAATGTTGCCCTGGCTCCTTGGATTTGAAGCCCTTTAACTAAAGGCAGGATGGGGGATCAATGAAGCTTGCCGGCTGCCCTGGGTTGTGTGCAGGCGCCAGGCTGGGGTAGCTTCCTACCTCAGTGGTCTTCCTGCAGCTCCTCTCTGCTCCTTCGCGCTGTGTAATAAAGCAGGGAGCCGGAATATGACGTCATTCCGGCCCCAGCATCACTGCAGACAGTGCGAGGGTGCAGAATGGAGCTGCAAGAAGATCACTGCTCCCTCGCACACAGAAATATAGCAGCCCCACTGGACCCCGGGGAAAGTCCACTCAGCTCTCCCAAGGGTGGATTAAAATGGAAAATGTCAATTTGTGTGTGTGTGTGTGTGTCTGTGTGTCTGTCTGTGTGTTTAAGTACCTGCACCCCTCCAATTTTTACTCACCTTCTTTCCCACGCTGTGCCAGTTTTCCGCGGCTTGTCCTGCCTTCCTGGCTGAGATAATCAATCTTTAAGATCTCTGCTAAATCAATGCTTTCCTGTAGGAAAGCATTGGGAAGATATTGCGCATGTTCTCTATGGGTATCATTGAGCACGCCCATGCAGAGCGTGGAGATGCTGCACACTGTGCAGCACTGACACAGGACTCTCTAGTGGCCGTCTGAGTGACAGTCACTAGAGTTTTTACTAGGCAGCAATGTAAACACTGCCTTTTTGAAAAGGCAGCATTTACATTGAAAAGGCTACAGGGACAGGCTATAGGCCCCAGAGCAACTACATTAAGCTGTAGTGGTTCTGGTGACGATAGTGTCCATATAAGAACTGCATATTTCTCGTAAATTAAACTTTGCTAGTTTTTAAAAATAAATAAATGGCTCCTAACTTTTTTTAGCGGTCTCCTTGATTCAAAAAATCGTGTCAAGCCCTGTGTTACAGTGTTTAACTGAGTGGATACAAATAGATGATTTTAAAAAAAAAAAAAAAATCTTATTTTTTTTTTTTTTTTTTTTATTATTTTAATCCGCTTTATTTTACTAAAATGCTTTTAGAGGAAATAGATATCTAAACGGTTATATATTTGATAACTTATGGTCCAAAGGTTATTAATCATGAAATATGGATTGTTTTTTTACTTGCAAATAAATGTTAGATACACCTCTTAAAGCATCTTTGTCACCAAAAAAGTATTTATGATAAAAATGCTATTAAATACTTATATGGACAGTCGATGGATGTTTGGATGCACACTAAATGCCCTTATTTTGAAAGTACCCTTGACGTTGATAGAGGAGGTAATGTCAAAGGTTTGTGACTTTTTTGGGGGGGATCATTTATATGTTTACGATATTGGAGTCACAAGACTTGACAAAATAGCATAGATCTGTTTTAACCCCTTAAGGACTGGACTGTTTTTGCGATGTTGTACATTTGCGACCAGGCATATTTTTACACTTTTGTGGTGTTTGTGTTTGGCTGTAATTTTACGCTTTCTCATTTACTGTTCCCATACAAATTATATATTGTTTTTTTCAGGACAAAAGGGGCTTTCTTTACATACCATTATTTATATAATCTCATGTATTTTAATTTAAAAAAAATAAAAAAATCTGATGAAAAATTGAAAAAAATACATGTTTTTTGACTTTTACTTGAAAAATCTTTTACTCATCTACAAAAGCGAATGAAAAAAACTGCTAAATAGATTCCAAATTTTGTCCTGAGTTTAAAAATACCTAGTGTTTACGTGCTTTTTTGCTTTTTTTTGCATGTTATAGGGCTATAGGTACAAGTAGGATATTGCGGTTTCAAAACATACATTTTTAAAATTTATCAATAGTGACATTGTAACACTATTATCTGTCATAAATCTCTGAATAACACCCCACATGTACATATTTTTTTTAAAGTAGACAACCCAGGGTATTCAATATGGGGTATGTCCAGTCTTTTTAGTAGCCACTTAGTGAAAACACTGGCCAAAGTAAGCATTCATATTTGTTTGTGTGTGAAAAAAGTAAAAAAACTAAATTGAACGCTAATTTTGGCCAGTGTTTGTGACCAAGTGGTTACTAAAAGACTGGACATACCCCATTTGCAATACCTTGGGTTGTCTTCTTTTGCAAATGGTATGCCATCATGGGGGTAATTCTCATTCCTGGGCTACCATACGCTCTCAAAGGCAACGTAACCAACCTGGCCATTTTCAATGTAAAAATATTTGACCCATATATTTGACCTTGTAACTTTCAAAAATGCTATAAAACCTGTACATGGGGGGTACTGTTTTACTCGGGAGACATCGCTGAACACAAATATTAGTGTTTAAAAACTGGAAAACGTATCACAACAATTATATCATCAGTAAAAGTGCTGTTTGTGTGTGAAAAATGCAAAAAAAGTAACTTTCACTGACAATATCATCGCTGTGATATGTTTTACTGTTTTGAATCACTATATTTGTGTTCAGCAAGTACAGTACCCCCCATGTACAGGTTTTAGGGTGTCATAGAACGTTACAGGGTAAAATACAGTGCTAGCAAATTAAATTCTCTGGAATTTTGGCCTGGGTTGGCAGCAGGTCCCTCAAATTGCAATCAATAAAATTACTGAATTATGTAAAAATATTACATAAATACGCACGTAGAATTTAAATATATATGCATATTTATATATTTGAAGTCTACGTGTATATTTATATAATTATTTATGTAATTTTGTATATGGACATATGTATATTTCTTATTATTTTTATTTATTTTTATATACATAGATATATATACAAATTCATTCTAAGTGTATTTTGATATAAATATATATATATTAATTTTAAAATACAGTTAGAATAAAATTTCATATAGCTATATAATTTTTTTTAAATTTTTATTATTATTTAAAATTTTTTTATTTAATTTAAATTACTTATTATTTATATTTTATAATAATATATATATACATATATATAGTTATTATATATATTATATATATATGTGTGTAATTTAATTATAAGTGTATTTTTATATTAATATAAGTACATATTAATATAAAAATACACTTAGTATGACATTATATATATATGATATATAGACATATATTATATAGGTATAATATATGTCTATATATCATATATACACATATATAATTATTTTAATTTTTTTTATTAACACTAACTTTAATTTATTTTTTGATTTTACACATGCAGGGAGACTGCCTGTCAGCACAGACAGTCCCCCTGCAGGCAGCACTATGGACACCTATTGTGACCATGTGATCGCTGTGTTAAGCGATCACATGGCCACAGGGGTCCTAATCTGCCGTGGGGAGACTGCCTGGGCTGCAGGCAGTCTCCCCACAACCGGAGCCACGCTGATCGCCGCCGGGGGAACGACGGCGATCAGGTAAGTAGCTCTGACCGTTAGGACGGTTCAGGACCGTCATCGGTCGGCAACGCAAAAATGCCGATGACGGTCCTGAACCGTCCTCGGTCCTTAAGGGGTTAAGGAACATTCCTAGAAGTAAACAACTTTTTTTTTTTTTTTTTTTAGTAAATTCTTTATTTGTCGTTCAGGTGTGTACAAAATACATACATACACCAAAACAGTGCACATGGGCATAGAAATAAGATGAACAATTTGAATAACGATACAAATAATGAGCATTGGTATCTTTCGGTTACGTAACATTTGCAAATGTCATAACAGCAATCATTGAGGTACAGGTAGGTTTAACAGTTGTAGGTGAGTGTGCACTTCTGAAGCTGAAGCCATAGCAATAATGACAAGCTAGTTAGTTAGGAACGAGCGGCTACATTAGAAGTAAACAACTTAATCATAGTGAAGTAGGTATGGTATAAAAACCTCCAGCTTACTTTTAGGGGTTTAACCGTTCACAAACATTTTAACCCTTAAGTCTTGAATTCAGCACAGTTAAGCTTTTCTCCTGCTTGTCTAGTTGACTCTAAATCTTGAAACAGGAAATCTTTAACTGCTATCTGAACCTGCATTAAAAGAACACTCAAAGCACCAAAACAACTTAATTTAAATGACGTTGTTCTGGTGCCAGGAGGCTCACTGTTCCCTCAAGGGGTTAAGCCATTATCGAAGATGCCTCCAGAGCCAGTCTCAGTTCACCCCCAGGCAGCATTCTTCTTCTGAAATTTCACTTTCAGGAAGTGCGGCATGCAGCCGAGCAGGGACAAGGCTGATTAGCTCAGTGTGTCAGCTGACCATACTCAGTCAAACAGTAGCTTTCCATTCACATAACTGCTTGAGAAATTTACGTATTTTTCTCTAGCCATTTTTATGAATGGGGAGCTTCTGAGTATGCCCTTAATAACCGTGCTCCAAATGCAACCCGAGCACAGCATGTTAGCAGCATCGATTGGCGGAGGTGCTCGGTCGGCGTGCCAGGCGGTCCGTCACAAGGCTTAACTCTTTTTAACTTGTCCCAGGATCCAAAGCCCACCAACCAGTCGGAAGACTCTGTTACTGGGGTCCCTGAATAAATCAACAAGGATACACTGTCCCAAAATGAACTAACACCGTTCGCTTAAATATTTATTTGGGAGAAGCTATGGGCGCATTACATCAAACTTACAGTGACAAACTCAATCTTATACAAATAATCAAATCATATTGGGAAATGTAAAGAAACTCCTAATAACACAATAGCATGTTTATAAAGGTGTGGGGAAGACAATAACAAACATAAATATCTCTCCTGCCTGCAGAAATCATAATATGCGAATCTACCTGAATATGCAAATTAACAAATCGTGCTATTTAGGTAGTGCAAATACCTGTTTCAAGATCCTCACAACAACAGATGGTGCTATACAGGCTCCACAGCCAAATCCATCTTGTTGGTTGAGAGCATCATCAGAACAAGTCCGCACACAACCTGTAACATTAATCTATTACATTACACACACCACGCACCTATAATGGACACAGGGTGACTTGTACAAAGGAGTCCTCTATGGATCTATTTTAAGTGTCCATCTTATGCTTCCAGTGATGGTGACTTCCATCACACTCTCATTATTATTTTCTTTTTCCCTTGCCATTTCTCTCTCACCCCTCTTGCCTATATATTTTTTTTTCTTCACGCACCAGATATCAGAATCTGGTTGCATCCACTTTGTACTTCTATGTTCATGATGTCTGTGGTTTGCCAATCTGTAGGATTCTAATGTATTGTGAGTGAATTGGCTTAGCAGCTGAAATGTAACCTTGCTTAGCTCTGCCCCTTGCCATCATGCTCTACGTAATAAAAAATAGTTCCTTCATTTTCTTATGTATAAAAAGATAATTATGGTGAATGTTAACACAAATAAGAAAAACAATGTTAAGTAAATGGGCAGTGAAGGCAGATTAAAAAAAAAAAAAAAAAACCTTCAACGCTGTTTTAATTTCTGCTGGTGTCTGTGTGGCAGGGCAGACCTGACGTTAGAAATAAAACTATTCCTAAATGGTTTCACTCCTTACACTGGAAAACATCAGAGTGCAGGAGTGTGTAATCCAGTATCTGCCCCTCACAGCAGCTGTGTGACAAACGATTTGTAATGCAACAGAAGCCCAGTGAACCCGAATGGGGGAAGAAGACCTGATATTAAATGGTCTGTTTCCTGTGGCTGCTCTTCAAGCTACTCATTGGAATTCTGCTGGTCACTCTCAATCGTCAAGGCTCAGTTTCTGCTTGCAAAATCTAAGAATGCAAGTGAAAAATGTAAACACTGACATTGCCATATATATTATGTTACTATTTTCCATATGCTACTGATACTTAATTGTGCTTGTTAATAAGCTGAGCTATTTTATATTAAATGTGTATATATATATTTGGTTTGTTTTAGGTCTTTGCAAGAGAAATGCATCATTAGTGCAAGTCATCTCAAAATAGGATAACCAAAAACTGTGGTAATCATGCCACCAAGGCCTTCATCGGGTGAACTATGGGGCATCCATTTGATGCCCCCTCGAATATTAGTGGAATGTTTATTACCAAATGGTATGATGGTGGTCCTAGAATGCCTCCGAGAGGCGACACTCGTGAACATAAAGCATGAACTTTTTAAAGAAGCCAGGAAGTACCCTCTTCACCACCTACTTCAAGATGAATCATCTTATATTTTTGTGAGTGTTACACAAGAGGCAGAAAGAGAAGAATTTTTTGATGAAACACGGCGTCTCTGTGACCTTCGGCTGTTCCAACCTTTTTTGAAAGTGATTGAACCTGTTGGTAACAGAGAAGAGAAAATTCTTAATCGAGAAATAGGTAAGATCTGTTTTGAACGTTAAGCTCAGAAATGGGTTAAAATTATTTTGTAAGAAATAAGGCAAATCTAACAATTTGTGTGTCCAAGTGGTTGGTATTTTTTTCACTTTTACAGGCATAGAAGCGGAAGTGTTTGTATATGTGTCAGGTCTCAAAGTTCCACATCTTAAGATGCTAGCTATTCCTTAATTTTGCTTATCATAAACCATTGAAGCAGATTTATTTATGGGTTCACAGCATTGAATGCTTACCCCATGGGGAAAGCATTGCATTGGCTAAAATCTGCCAGGGGCGGGGCCAAACACAGTTTTATCCAATCAGCACCACCTCCTCATAGAGATGCATTGAATCAATGCACCTCTATGAGGAAAATTCAGCATGCTTAATGGCAGTGCTGCCTACTGTGCAGCACTACCCCATGAAGCACCTCTAGTTGCCATCTAGTGGGTATAAGCATTGCCTTCAGGCTTTTTTTTTTGTTTTTGTTTTTTTTTCATGTAAACTCTGTAAAGGCAGTGTTTACATTAAAAAATGCCTGAAGGCAATGGTTATACCCACCAGTACAACTACATTAAGTTGTTCTGGTGACTATAGTGTCCCTTTAATGAAGAGACATGCTGCATTTGTTGAATGAGGGCACCTCTCTTAAACCCTCCTACTTATTCAATTTCTTTTTATCAGCTTCCCCCTCTCCTTTATCGCTTTATCCTTTCCTTTTATTTTTTTTTATACCTCTGTCAAACACTCCTCCTTCTCCTCTCTTACTTTCAAACTTCCATCTCTTTTTTTTTGGGGGGGGGGCAATTTTCTTTTATTTTTACAGCTCTCCAACTCTCTTCATTCTCTCCTTTCTTCAGACTTTTCAGCCTTCCTCCTGCTGCTCACTGATGCTGCTTGCACACACAAAGTCAAATCTCTACTCCATAGTACACAGTGCAATAATATTACAGTGCAAAAAGACTACATTTCAGTCTAAACCTGTTTTTAGACTTACCTTTATCTTCAGGAACTGTGTTCCTGATCCTCTTCTCTCTTGTCTACTCCTTGCCACAAATTCTTCTTCTCTTCTTGTTTGTGCTCCAATGCATGCTCTGCTTCCTGATCCGTGGACTGCTGACACAAAATGGTGGCACATCCAGAAAAAAGTTCATAAAGGCGGGAGTTCATAAAGTGAGACATTCCTGTATCTAGTTCAGCAATTGCATTTAGTTTCATTCATGAATGTGGCTACCATTATCTACACTGGGATGTTTCTGGGATGTCTTCACAATTATTTTGTGGCATAAATAAGATGTTCAGTGGAAATTTGCATTCAGAGGAATAATTATGGATAAATGTTTATAGAAACTTGCAACTTCCCTCAATTGATGTTGCAGAGTCTACTATTTATCCTTAAACGATTATTCTCTACCATTTTTACGTTATCTGAATAGAGTAACAGTCCTCCTTTATCATGTTATGTAAATATAAAAGATAAATGAACGATTGTAGAATAAAAGATATGCAAAAATATTAGAAACTTTTGCTTTGACATTTGCTAACCAGTGTTAATGTCATTGGAAATGTGCTCAAAATGTTTATTTACTTTAGGACCCCAATCGCTCTTCCTAGAGATGCACTGTGGTACTCATCTCTAAAGAGATGCTAAATGGTTCAGTGTGTCAGTTGCCTCACATGTGCAGTAGACCTCCTAATGTTTCTCTGTGGAGAAGCATTGTATTGACTGAGATCATCAGTAATGATGATCTCAGCCAGCAGTGGAGGGGCAGCCACAGGTAAAACTAAAGCAGCATGACCTGAAATGTAAGTAGAACTATAATAAATTTTTCATAGCGGAAGAACCCATGTATCTAAATTGCTAGGAAGAAATTCTTGCTGTGGTAAATGGTGTTTTTTTTTGTTTTGTTTTTTTGTTTTTTTTGTTTTTTTTACTCTGCTATTTACAAAGTCTCTAAATGTAACCAAAGCTGTCACCCAAAACCTATTGCATTGTTTGACATTGTTTACCCTGTGTATGTATTAACTGATAGGCTAGGATTTTTTTTTTTTTATTTATATGCTTTTGTAAATGAATGACTGGGTGCAACATTTAGACCAATGTTTAGTAAGTTTTAAACTAGTGGGGCTAAAAAAAAGTTTAATTTTTTTTTGTTTGTACTTTTCAAAGGGTTTGCAATTGGCATGCCTGTTTGTGAGTTTGATATGGTAAAGGATCCAGAAGTTCAGGACTTTCGTAAAAACATCCTTAATGTTTGCAAAGATGCAGTAGAACTTCGTGATGCTACTGGTCCTATCAGCAGAGCGTTGTACGTTTATCCTCCTAATGTTGAGTCCTCGTCAGAGCTTCCAAAGCACATAGAAAGTAAACTTGACAAAGGTAAGAAAAACAAGTACAATTTTAATGTTTTTAATATATAAAGGAACACTTCAAGCACCATAACCACTTCACTGTTACTGTAAGTGCCCTCACACAACTGCATTTGAAGGAGTCAAACAATTTTGGAACATGTTGACTTCTTACCTGGGGTGGGGAAACTATTGTAAGCTCTAATAGGCAATGAATAGAGCACGAGATACATTATTTAAAAAAATAAATAATAATAATTAACAAATTGTGGGAGACTCAGCCAGGGTAGGGGTTTAGCTCCTAAATTGCAGTTAATTTAGCAGTGACAATTAAGGGGCATGATCTATATACCAAAACTGCTTCATTGAGCTAACGTGTTATGGGGAACTTTACAATATAAGCATTTTAGTTAAAGTACAGTTTCTTTTGGTGTGGTTAACCTCTGTTACATGTAAAGCATAAGTCTGACCTAATTGTATGTACTATTCAGTAATATAATTTCAAGTATACTACATTTCCTTGCTGATAAGCCACTTATGAGATTTCTGTAACAATAGATGGAATTGAAGTCAAATCCTTTATCATTTTTAATATAAATACAGGGCACAGAGGTCTTCAGGGTAACTGTATATTCCAGGTACAATTTACAGAAGTGTCTTGTTCTACCTCAGGCTGCTGGATTTCATACAATGTTGCCTAATGAGTCTTATTGCAGTATAAATACATCATTTATGCCCAATGGCAAATTAAGGTCTTATTGCTGGTTCCATGCAGTTACATTTGTATTTGTATGAAGGGCAGCTCCTTGAGATTTGTATTTTGAAAAGATCCATAAAGCTTAAGTGTATAAGGGGAAAAGGCTATCTCGAAGTTCTGTAAACTTCCATAAACCATTTGAACGTCAGTCTTTTTATTGTGTTTTTTTTATTTATTCAGAACCCACCTAACGCTGTCTCAGTCTCAGATGTCCTGTGTCACTCTTTTTTGGCCTGTGTGTTTATGCATATATTTATACATACTATTTTCATCCTTTTAAAAGAAACCCTCCAGGCACCATTACAGAGTTCTGTAGTGGTTTCGGTGTCATTATTACACAGGCTCCTCCATTAGAGTTGGAAGCTCTCTGCATTGAGCCAGTGCGGGGAGTGGGGTACCTTCCTTTTCATTGCTAAGCATTTTAGTCTATCCACAGGACAATGTCATTGAATTGAAGCACTTTGCAGTCAACCAAACACACACACCTACCTGCGTCTGTGAAAAATCTAGACTATGATTTTTCCCTTTTTTAAATATATACTGCAATATTTCATTGATTTGTGCATTCTTGCAGGCCAAATAATTGTGGTGATTTGGGTTATTGTTTCTCCGAACAACGAAAAACAGAAGTACTCGTTGAAGATCAATCATGATTGTGTGCCAGAGCATGTAATAGCTGAAGCAATCCGGAAAAAAACAAGAAGCATGTTACTATCCAGTGAACAATTAAAGCTGTGTGTCCTGGAATACCAAGGAAAATACATATTGAAGGTGTGCGGCTGCGATGAATACTTGCTGGAAAAATATCCTCTCAGTCAGTATAAGGTGAGAAAAAGTGTTTCAGGGATGTGTTCCCATATTTCTCTTAGGTAAGGCTATGAAATGTACACATGACTACAGGCATACCCCGCTTTACATACACTCGCGAATACAGACATTCCCGCGCCTCTTCTGTTTGGGAGTGAACAGTAAATTGAAGGTTCTCTTCTCGCCCGGAGCAGCTCAGTTCAGTGTCATTGGGGCAAGAACTTTTCACACCTTCTGACATGGCACAGGTTAATAATCTCAAATGTATAATGCCTACTCCTAGCTGAATATATGTCCCATATATTTTATTTATTTTATTATTATTTTTTTGTGCCCATACATTGTCAATATTCTGCAATTGGCTCCCATCCAGTGAAAGGGTTTACCCTGCCATTTTCTATAACTATGACTAAGCAGCTTAGCTGCATTAGCCAAAATTGTTAGGATTCAAAGTTAAATGCTTAAAGTGATGAAGAGGTTTTCTAAACAAAGTGTGCAACTAAGCTGCTAATAAATACAAATTGACACCGTATTGACAGAAAATGGCCCAATGGACAGGTTTATTTTACTTTTCCACCCAGTTTAAGGCTGTCAGATAAGTAAAACATTAAAGATAAATGGTACAATCTGAAATTAGATTTTTATTTTATTTTTTACTATTTGTTTTAACTGAATAAAAGCCCACAGGAAATCACTAAATAAATCACTGGGCATAAAATCACTTGAAATCTGCAGTTACAGTATCAGTTATGCCTGAGAATTACTATTGTAATGCAGTACATGTATTGGGAAGTGACAAAAAGGTATTGCTTCACTTTAAATACATTTTCCTTTTACATACATGCTCTGGTCCCATTGTGTACTTAAAAGTGGGGTATGCCTGTATTCCAGTTTGCCATGTATTTATTTTTACATGTTTTATATTATGTTGACACATACAGAAATCACTTTCCATTGTTTGTGGCTTGTTACATTCCTTGAACGGGAGGTAAATAGAGAATCCAACACTTGTGTGGCAGCTAGACTTTTCCATTTCCTCCTTTTGCCAAATAAGAGCAGAAAACTAATTTTCAAATTAGTAATCTACCTCAAGGGATCACAATGCAAGCAATGAAATTATTTTAAATAATTGTATAAGCATAGGTAGAATTCTCAGCTCCCAGTGTCTTATTAAAATACACATGTGTTTGCTAAACATAAAATTTAGAGATGCATTGAATAAATACATGTCAATGGGGAACATTCAACGCCTCCATGCAGGGTATGGATATACTGAATGCATGTGATGCATACTGTGCAGCACTGGACTAAGAAACACCTCTAGTGGCTGTTTGAGTGACTGTCACTGGAGATGTGAATAGGCAGCAATGTTGTAAAAAGCAGTATTTACATTGAGAAGTCTGCATGGACAAGCTGTAGACAACAGAACCACTGCATTAAGTTGTAGTTGTTCTGGTGACTATAGTGTTCCTTTAAGAAGTTATTTTTTTTTGTCATTAAAAATAATGCTTTGATTTCAAACAAATGCAACTAGATTTCAAACAAATTTGTCAAGCCCTGGTTTATTACACACAGGTTTTCCTTGCTTTATTTTGGTTTGGATATTTGATAAACCCCTTCCCAACCAAAGACAAAAATTTTCCGTCAAGCTTGTCCTTGCGTTAAGGACCCTTGATGGACAATTTCCGTCATTTACTAAAGTTAACCCCAGATCGTGGGCTTAACGCTCACCTGGTCTGCCTCGATATTCAAGACAGACCGGGAGCACACGTTCGCGCTGTCAGAGCGAGCACATGTGCTGCTGGGACTCACTATCGGCAGCTCCTCCAGTTCCCCAGTGAAAAAGCCCCCCGCGGCTTATACTCGAGTGACGGTCTGTATTATGGCAGCTTACATTGAGGTCCTGGGGCCGCGTTGCCATGGTAACCCGTGGCAACGCTCTGACAGCCGCGGGACTCGTGAGATTTACACTGGCGAGCTGGAGGAGCTGCAGGAAAGGTAAGTAACAGCTTGCTGCTGGCCCCCCCACTGCTCAACCCATACCACTGGACCACCAGGGAGTGACATAGCCCCCCTCTCTGGCCAGGTTACAAGCAGGGATGAGGGGGCAAAAAACAAAGTTAAATATTTACATAATAAAAAAAATGAAAAAATACAAACAATAAAGGTATTATAAATCATAGTTAAAGATTTTATAAAAATTTAAAAATTATAAAAATGCCCTACCCAGTTTACACACACACACTCTGCATTATATACACACACACTGCATTCACACAAATACAAACTCTGCATTATATACACACACTAAACAAACACACCACATTCATTATAAACACACACTGTAAATAAACATTCAAAAACATTTAACCTACAGACTCCTCAATGAATGTAATTTTATTGGTATCAATTTTTATTTTGAAATTTACCAGTAGCTGCTGCATTTCCCATCCTAGGGGTTAAATACATTTTATTAATTAATTTAAATATTTAAAAATTATATATTTAGCTAGCTGGGGTGGGTGGAAGTAAGTGGGGAATTGGGGGATTTGGTGTTAGGCTAGCTAGGGGTTAACGTTAAAAGTTTTAAAATAAGCTTTAAAAAGCTTTTAAAAAGTTTTAAAAAAACACCCCTTTTACCCAGTCTAAATAAAAATTAACCCATTCCCTGCCAGTTGATCATTGCCTACAGTGATCAAAATACAGATCATAGTATTATACTGTGATCTCATTTTTTTTTTTTTTTTAAACCTGAGAATTAACTTATTTATTTTTTTAACCCTCAAGGGTTCAGTTTATTTAATTATTTAAATATTTTAAAATTATATATTTTGCTAGCTGGGGTGGGAGGGAGTTATGGGAAAGTGGGGAATTTACTGTGCTGCTTACTGCTAGTTAGGGGTTAAAATTTTTACAAGTGTAAAAAAAGTTAAAGTTTTTTTAAAACATTTAATAAGTAAAAAAAAGTTTAGAAACAAGTTTTAAAAAGTAAAAAAAAAATACATTAAATAATGCTCATTACCACTACATTTGGAACATACAAGCGAAAAAATGCTAGCACACATAAGGTTTGCAAAATATACTGTGCAAACTCACTTTGTGTGTCAGAAAGGCAGAAAAAAATGCTTATTACCACTACACTTGGTACAAGCTAGCGGTAAAATTATCCCACGCTAAGGTTCAAAATATGACTTTTGAAATACCCTGGGATGTCTTCTGTAAGAAACGGTATGCCTTTATGGTGTAGTTGGAATATGTAGCCTGCTCAAGTGCTCCAGGAATAGCACACCAGCTTTACAAAATAGACATTACAAAAACCTTATTATATGTGTATATGCCAAAATAGAGAAAAAACACAATTTTACTCCAATATTTAGCAGAGATTGGCGATGAAATGGCTACGTAAAAAGTGTCAAACTAACCTTAGGTAAATAGCCTGTGATGTCTACTTTGTATAAATATATACTTTTGTGTGGCAATTTTGTTTTCTGTGGTGATTACTAAACCTACAAGACAAACATACCAACTTCTAAAATTGTTTCACATTCAAATTTTATTTTAGTCCTTGTATTTTGTGACCTGTAACTTTCAAAATAAGCTGAAATCCTATACATATTATGTACTCTATAAATCTAGATTACTTTTTCTAAGCTGGGCATATTATGCACACGCTATTATTGGCAAAACTGTGACAATAAATATATATATATATTTATTTTTCCCATTTCTTGGCAATTTTTTATAATTAATGAGAATTTATCTATGTATATGTTACCTAAAATTAAAGCCCTGTTTGCCCTCTGAAAAACGGTATATAATATGTGTTGGTGCAATAAATGATAGGGATGCAAACTGCGTTTGAACACAAACAGCAAAAAATGCAAAAATGGCTTGTGTCCTTAAGGGTAAGACAAGCTTTTGAAGCTATGTCTTTAAGGGGTTTGCTTGCTGCTTTAAAAAAAATTATCAAGTGATGCATGTCCCATTTAAAAGTAAGTTAAGTCCCTTTAACCCCTTAAGGACACATGACATGTGTGACATGTCATGATTCCCCTTTATTCCAGAAGTTTGGTCCTTAAGGAGTTAACTTAAAGGGACACTAAAGTCACCAGAACAGCTACAGCTTATTGTATTTGTTCTGGTGAGCAGAATCATTACCTTCAGGCTTTTTGCTGTAAACACTGTCTTTTCAGAGAAAATGCAGAGTTTACATTTCAGCCTAGTAATAACTTCACTGGCCACTCCTCAGATGGCTGTTAGAGATCCTTCCTGGGTCATGACTGCCTAAAATGCATCCAAACATTCATTGTCTCCTCCCTCTGCATGCAGACACTGAACTTTCCTCATAGAGATGCATTGATTCAATTCATCTCTATGAGGAGATGCTGATTGGCCAGGGCTGTGTTTGAATCATGCTGGCTCTGCCCCTGATCTGCTTCTTTGTCAGTCTCAGCCAATCCTATGGGGAAGCATTGTGATTGGATCAGGCTGATATCAGCAGACAGTGGGCAGGTCTAAAGGAAACTGGGACAAAGTAAGCAGCTGCATACTTGAATACAAGTAAAATTTTACTATATTTAGGGAGACTTGAAGGGGACAGGGGGTAGATTGTGGTTTTAACCCTATAGGGTCAGGAATACATGTTTGTGTTTCTGACCATATAGTGCTCCTTTAATTCCATCACTTAGGCTAAATATGTCCCCACAGGTGTTACCTAGATGGAGACAAATCTGATGTTGAAATTACATTTACTGTGTGGGGAGTTTCCAAACTATCATACATAATCAGATTTGTATGACTTACTGCCTCCTTGTATTACGCTGTCTTACCGCATTACATACTTTTCTTGTATTGTCAAATCACAGCAATATAAAAAAGATTTGTACTTTAAAAAGTTCCATCGAAATGTTAGAACCTCTTCACTGGATGTTCATGTGCTTGTCTGGGCAGAGCACACTTATTACCTGTGCAGCAACCTCAAATGTTTATGGCTTGGTTTTTGTGAGTTTTTTTTTTTTTAATGCAAAAATGAATGGGTCAGTTCTTTCTTTTTTAATGTTTATATATTTTCTCATATTAAATATCCATTTCCCTTTTTGGTTCCACTTTTTAGTTGGTTAACCACAACACATTAACACAGCGAATCTCATTTGTATTAAACAAACTTGGGTTATTTCTAGACAGGACCATAAATCTTTTTTTATATTGTAATATTCACACTCAAGCATGGAAATATTAATTTAAATATAAAGGAATATTTGTTTCTTTCAGTACATAAGAAGTTGCATAATGCTTGGACGGATGCCAAATTTAATGTTAATGGCAAAGGACAGCCTCTATAGTCAGATTCCAGTGGACACCTTTACAATGCCATCTTACTCAAGGCGGATATCCACTGCTACACCATACATGAATGGAGAAACCTCGGCTAAATCCCTGTGGGTCATCAACAGCACTTTACGAATAAAAATCCTGTGTGCGACTTATGTCAATGTAAACATCCGTGACATTGATAAGGTAATTTTGTATAAAACATTAATATGAAATTTTGGAATTTTAATTATAATGTGTTTAAGCTTTATTGCTGTGTTTTTACATTAGATCTATGTCCGAACTGGCATCTACCATGGAGCTGAGCCATTGTGTGATAATGTGAACACGCAGAGAGTACCATGTTCAAATCCAAGGTAACTTGTTTATCAGCAGGATTTATCCCCCTCCCTGCCTACTGCTTTTATATGATCTGTATTTTTTATTTTTTTCCCCTTTTCAACATGTCTCGATTTTGCTTTCTGTACTAAATATTGTTTGGTTTGGCAGAGATTACCTGTAATTTGCTATTGAATTAGAATGGATGAATGTCATTAAATTTACACAACATTAACACAAATGTTGGCCATGTTTGTTCATGCAGTTGTTTGGAGGACATTTTGACATTTCTGTCAAAGTTAATTTGTTCACCATACATTTTGTTTGAGTGAATGTAGGAAACGTTTGTTTGTTTTTTTGTGTAAATATGACAAAGCATTAGTTGATCCCGCTCACAAAATTTTCTCAAAGCAGCCTTAAAACTAACTGATCTTGAAAAATGTTTTGACAGTCACATAACTAGGTGCAAGTACAGATCATTCTAATGGTTCTAAGAGTGTACTGTCACTCTGTGTCTTGGTTCTGTCACTACACATCCATACTAGGAGTGTCAATTTAGGCCACGTTTGGACACCATTGACTGGCTGAGTTTCGGCTGATGCTGACTGCCAATGAATGCCATTAAAATATGGACATAGTTGACATTGGTAATGTAGAAGTAGAAACTCTACATTAACGATCCAGTAACTGAGGTTCCCAACTGCCTGCACTTGAGGGACCCTTGTATTGTGTCAAACTGCTCTAACGCACTTGCAGTTCACCAACTCTGTATTCATTACAAGGGGCTGTTGTGGTTTTGGTTTTTAGAGTTTAGAACTTCTTGTCTTTCCTCCTCCTAATATTAATCCTACTCTCTCGTTCTCCCTTCAGATTGGTGGTACCCATATTAGCCCATCCTTACAAGCACGTTGTATTGTTGTTACTTTTGATTCCGGCCTCACATCCGGTCTGTTGTCAAATCATGCCAATTCCACCTCAAAAACATTGCCCGTATCCGCCCCTTTCTTACACAAGATGCTACTAAAAAGCTTGTCCATGCTCTAGTAATCTCTCGCATGGACTATTGTAACGCTCTCCTAATTGGTCTTCCCAATAGCCGTATTGCCCCGCTACAGTCTGTAATGAATGCTGCCGTCAGACTGATTTTCCTCTTTAATCGGTCCTCTCACACCTCACCCCTTTGTCAGTCCTTAAATTGGCTTCCTGTATACTATAGGAGTCAATTCAAAGTGCTAACCCATACCTATAAAGCACTGAATAATCTTAGCCCCTCCATCTCCTCACAGATCCATAGATATGCCCCTTCTCAGTCTCTCCACTCTGCCCGTGACCTTATGTCCGCTGCTCGCACCCGTACGGCCAACTCACGCTTGCAGGACTTCTCTCGGGCGGCTCCCTTTCTATGGAATAGCCTGCCTACCGCCATCAGACTCTCCCCTAGTCTTCAATAGCTTAAGAAGTGCCTTAAAGGACCACTCTAGGCACCCAGACCACTTCAGCTTAATGAAGTGGTCTGGGTGCCAGGTCCAACTAGGCTTAACCCATTCTTTTATAAACATAGCAGTTTCAGAGAAACTGCTATGTTTATGAATGGGTTAAGCCTTCCCCTAAGCCTCTAGCGGCTGTCTCATTGACAGCCGCTAGAGGCCTTGCGTGCTTCTCACTCGTGATTTTACAGTGAGAAAGGACAGTTCATAGGAAAGCATTGATAATGCTTTCTATGCAACTGAATGCGCGCAGTTTCTTCCCACCTGCGCATTAAGCTGACTGGGAGGAACGGAGGAGGATCGGAGGAGGAGAGCTCCCCGCCCAGCGCTGGAAAAAGGTAAGTTTTTACCCCTTTCCCCCTTCTAGAGCCGGGCGGGAGTGGGACCCTGAGGGTGGGGGCACCCTCAGGGCACTATAGTGCCAGGAAAACGAGTGTTTTCCTGGCACTATAGTGGTCCTTTAAAACCCATTTCTTTAGGAAGGCCTATGGCCTCACATACCTGTCTCTTGCTGTCTCCTAAAGGGTAGCACTCTACTCTCTCCTCCAGCTCTGCTTCATCCCACCTAATTTGACTGCAATTTCCTGTCCTAATGTGTTTTATACCCCACCTCCTATAGACTGTAAGCTCGATTGAGCAGGGTCCTCTTTAACCTATCGTTTCTGTAAGTTTTCTGGTAATTGTCCTATTTATAGTTAAATCCCCCCTCTAATAATATTGTAAAGCGCTACGGGATCTGTTGGCACTATATAAATGGCAATAATAATAATAGAGTTCCCCTTTTAGTGTTACATCAAGCACCATGACCTCTTCGGTGTTTTGAAGTGCTCATGGTGCAAGGACCCTGTACATGTTGCATTTCAGTATGAAATACTGCATATACTTAGTTGTGTTCGGGGCATTCTCATATGATATAGAATAAGATGGGTTGTAGAGATGTAGCTTTAGGAATAATCGGTTGAGGTGTGCCGAAACCGACGTATGCTGTAGGCCGGTAAAAAGTGGGCTTACATAGAGGAAATATGAACAATGGGAGTGGAGGGTGGGGCTATTCGTCTGACCAACAAAGGTAAGTAGGGAAAGGGGGGAGTCCCTTTTATAGGTCTATAGCCCCTCCCACAACTTCAGGCCATGCCTTCCAATTTGTGTTCGGGGCATTCTCATATGATATAGAATAAGATGGGTTGTAGAGATGTAGCTTTAGGAATAATCGGTTGAGGTGTGCCGAAACCGACGTATGCTGTAAGCCGGTAAAAAGTGGGCAAAAAGAGACATATTAATGCAAAACATTATACAGGATCATAGTGCATTTGTTAACCATCAGTTAGACATTTTAATGAAAGCGTCCTAATTCCTGAATCGGCTGTGGTATGTACGTCGCATAAGCCTATGATTCCCAGCGGCCCCGTGTCTTAACGGGTGCGGGGATGTCTTGGCTATAGGCTGTGTAAGCTGCTCCTACCCTAAAGGAGTGCCCTGAGTAGTCGCTAGGGTTTAGTTCGAGCACGATGAAGGTGGACATAGTGCATGAACTTACCTGTGGTAAGGACAGTATCGTACAGCGACAGTAATGGTTCAGTGGTGCGTATGGTGGCGTGCCCAAGAACATAATCAGTACCTTAACCGGGCACCCAGCATTGCTTGTAAAGTAGTAGGTTATATGCACTGGCTCGCCCCTCTGACTCATCTTAGTTTTAGGAAGGGACCGGACATAGTGGTCTGTGTGTTTTAGAAGATAGGAGGTCAACAGGCACTCTTGTTTATGATGTTGGCCGCTGATAGTGAGTTATTGTTTTGGCCTGAGAAAGCCGTTAAAGGCTAGATAGGTAGCAGTTTTGATAACTGCATTGGTGCGTGGCTCGGAAGTGCATGGTTGAGTGGTTCTGTCATGGTTTGAACATTGTATGTCTATGGCCAGTATTTAGTTTTAGCGGGAACGTCCGCTTGGCCATGTCTCTAAGTAAGGTATGTATGGGGTAGGAGGATAGGAAGCCTTGTTGTTTGGGATGGAGAAATACGTATAGTGTTGAATGCCCGTGAGATAAAGTTTAACAGTGTTGTGCGAGAATTATTAACTTAAGGTGGCAAAAAAGAGGCGAAGGCCATACGTGGTGAAACCTCAAACCAGCTATCTAAGTGATGGTCCGACATGAAACGTATTGTATAAGTGGAAAACCCTGTAGCAAGCGTGTTGAGTGCTGGTGGACAATGCCAGTTTAGTCAGAGCCCGGCTATGTTGGCGAGGTTCATGTAATCCATGACCTGGACCATAAATGACCCCCCTGCCATGGCGGCTGTCACGGCAGCTGCCACAATAGTTAACCATTACGTGTGGTTAAGAACGTCCACCATATGTGTAGGTCTGCCGTGGCTTGGTTGTCTAGGGACAGCCCCTGATCATCATGCGGGAGTGTGGAAAAAGCAAAGTGGTCTTAGATGAAAGCGCGGCCTGCGGTATGATGCGCATGGCAAAATTTAAGGAACCTAGTAGGGATTGTAGTTGCAAGTACCAAGCAAGAGGTGGTAATTGGTGTTGTTGCGACTGCTCCTATTTCTCACATGGTAACTTGTTGGCATGGATGCTGAGTCAAGTTGTATTCCTTGAAGCTTCTAGAGGTAAAGGCGTTCCCTTTGACCAACAAGAAATCATCTCGTAAGTGTATGATTGTGGGGCATCTGGATATGTTTAACCACAACCAGCAAAGAGTTCAACAAATATATTGAAGATTGTGGGCTGCTCTTGACCCAAAAGTTAAGTGGGAATAGAAATATATAACTGCTGCCCATAAATGCCCTGCAAGTGCCAGTGCAGGGTGGATGGTGGCAGTCTGAAATGCGTTTGTGATATCAGTTTTACTTAACCAGGCTTCCCCTCCCAGCTTGAGTGATAGTTGTGATGGTATGAACAATAGTGGCATACTGTAATGAAAACTCCTCGGAGGGTATGAGGGAGTTGAGATTATGGGGAAGCCGAGGCGTGAGGTGCAGATAAGTCTATGATGAGTTACAGTGTGAGGGAAGATTTCCTGTGACAATCCCAATGGGATTGCGCCACACTGTAAATGGTGTAGATCGGAGAGGCCCAGGTAGAAATCTTTCTGCCATTTCTTGGGCCATGAGTGTAATGCCAGCTGTTGGATGCTGCTGTGATGACTGCAAGTTAGGGCATTCTAGATTTCCCCAAAAGTATATGGCAATACCTGAACAGAAGGCCTTTAAAATCGGAGATTAGGAAATAAACTAAATGTCTGGAAGGGTGATAAGTTAGAAAGTACTGGAAATGCATAATGTTTACAGACGAGAAGTAAGGTTCAGGGTACATTTATTGGGACACATGGTTTTGCATGTGCCCTGACATATTGGGAACATATCTGCAACAGTCTGCATGCACTGAAACTACATGTGCCAACATGGAAATTGTTGCAAATCTGGGATTTGCCAAAGAGAATGAGACGACCCAATTTGTCTCTGGTAGTTCGCTACGTCCTACCAGAGGTGCTAGAGCCTGGAGCCTGAAACGTTATCGTCCGCTGTGTTGGGACAAAATTGTCCTGTGGGACTAGCAACATCTCCAAGTGAAAGTGTGTTGACTCTAGCTGGAGTGTTAGGTAGAGAGAAATCCTTACCACGTGCTTGATACATACTAAAAATCATGAAGATAGCCATTATTATATGAACCCACAGTGTGCTAGTACTGGCTTGCTAGCTAAAGCCGCAAGGCGAAACAATTAATCCTTTGTTTGGTGACAGGTGAGGCCCTGCTAGTTGCCAAGTGGCTTGAGAGGCTCTATCTATGCAATGGCGCGAGGGGATTTTTGTGGCCACCAAACGTAGTGGCAGGATGTTGGCCTCTCGGTGACTGTAACCATGAAAAAGGGGAAGGGAGTGACAGGTGAGGCCCTCTCTATATACCAGGCGAGGCGGCTAGCTCACGAGTGGCGCGATGGTTGTTTGCCTCCGAGCGTTGAGGCGGGGTGTTGGCCTCGCGGGACCACTATACGACAGGCGTAGATGCCAAGAAAGGAAAATATCTATTGGAAACCTATAGTCCCTAATTGCCAGTACGCTAAGGATATACCCACGGGGAAACAGAAAATGTATGTATATACCACATGAGCAGGTGTATGTACCTGGTAGTATGATTAGATACCCTTACTGGTCGTAAAGGTTATTAATACCTGTATCCCAGACGGGTAAAACAATGTATGAAAATCGAATATAGACATTTAAAAGCGTATATCCATATGTGTGTTATGCAAGTTTAATAGAGCAAAGTGCTCTGTCCCAATGTTTATTGTATGCTTGTAATGCCCCTGTTTGAAGGAAATTAACTTGTCGGGAGTGTTATATCATGTGTGATATGGAACACAACTGTACCCTGAAACATGAGTGTAGTGAACCATGACTGGCAGCTGAATAACCTAATAAGTGAAAATACATAATTGGAAGGACTTATATTTTAAGCGTGCAAATATTCCGTATTAGACTCTGGAAAACTGCATAGTGCTTTAAATAGTATGTGCATTCTTGGGTAAATGTATGCGTATTGTCAGTAAATGTAACTTAATGCCTATGAAGGCAGGTATGCAGGAATGATTATATGATAGTAAGCATGATTTGTAAGGAAGTGTTATTGTGTAATTATAATTATAGTGGGAATGTTATGAGGGGAATAACCATATGTCTGAAAAGCCTGTAGTATACCGTTTGACAGATAGGAGTCAGTATAAAAGTGAAAATGCTGTAGTTAGTTTGTTTGCTTATGAAGTGAAATAAAGTCTGAGAAACCTGTAGTACACTGAATGACCAGCAAGGGTCAGCATGTAGGCGAAAATGCCGTAGTTCGTTGGTTTTGTACATGAAATGCAATAATGTCTGAGAAGCCTGTAGTACACCGAATGACCGGTAGGGGTCAGTGTGTAGGCGCAAATGCAGTGGTTCGTTGGTTTGTACATGAAATGCAATAATGTCTGAGAAGCCTGTAGTACACCGAATGACCGGTAGGGGTCAGTGTGTAGGCGCAAATGCAGTGGTTCATTGGTTTGTACATGAAATGCAATAATGTCTGAGATGCCTGTAGTTACAACAAATGACTGGTAGCGGTCAGTGTCTTGGTGAAAATGCAGTGAAAATGCAGTGGCTTGTACATGAAATGCAAAAACTTCTAAGAAGCCTATAGTACACCGAATGACCGATAGGGGTCAGTGTCTAGGTGAAAATGCAGTGGTTCATTAGTTTGTACATGAAATACAATCATATCTGAGAAGCCTGTAGTACACCGAATGACCGATAGGGGTCAGTGTGTAGGCGCAAATGCAGTGGTTCGTTGGTTTGTAGATGAAATGCAATAATGTCTGAGATGCCTGTAGTACACCGAATGACCGGTAGGGGTCAGTGTCTAGATGAAAATGCAGTGGTTCGTTGGTTTGTACATGTACATGCAATAATGTCTAAGAAGCCTGTAGTACACCGAATGACCGGTAGGGGTCAGTGTGTAGGCGCAAATGCAGTGGTTCATTGGTTTGTACATGAAATGCAATAATGTCTGAGATGCCTGTAGTTACACAAATGACTGGTAGGGGTCAGTGTCTAGGTGAAAATGCAGTGAAAATGCAGTGGTTTGTACATGAAATGCAAAAACGTCTAAGAAACCTGTAGTACACCGATGACCGATAGGGGTCAGTGTGTAGGCACAAATGCAGTGGTTCGTACATGAAATGCAATAATGTCTGAGATGCCTGTAGTACACAGAATGACCGGTAGGGGTCAGTGTCTTGGTGAAAATGCAGTGGTTTGTACATGAAATGCAAAAACGTCTAAGAAACCTGTAGTACACCGATGACCGATAGGGGTCAGTGTGTAGGCCCAAATGCAGTGGTTTGTACATGAAATGCAATAATATCTGAGAAGCCTGTAGTACATCGAATGACCGATAGAGGTCAGTGTGTAGGCGAAAAATTGTATGTCGTTTGTAGTTTTAACCCAACAGATTTTTAACCAAAACAGATTTTAACCAACAGATTTTACATAAACAGGTAGGTGAGTATAAGGTAAGGAAATAACTGTGCAATACAAAAGGAAACCGTAAAGTGAGGACCTGTGCTGTGTTGAACGCCGTGGGAACTAATCCTGGCGCGACAGGTGGGTCAACTTACGGTTTGAGAGTCCCTGAGACACCAAAAGCGATGCTGACTGGAGAGAAAACCACTGGATTAACGGAAATCCCTGCTGCAGGATTCCTGGACACAGCTTGGAGTAGGAGACCTCATGGAGCAAAGGTGAAACCAAAATGGCGTCTTGTATGACCTGGAAGTGGATCTCATGCAAATGCTGACCTTGAACAATCTATTCGTCTGACCAACAAAGGTAAGTAGGGAAAGGGGGGGGGGAGTCCCTTTTATAGGTCTATAGCCCCTCCCACAACTTCAGGCCATGCCTTCCAATATATGGTATATTGCTACTGGGAGTGTAACTCCATATTAGCCTGAAACAAGTTTTCTGGGCTGGTTAATGTTAATTTTGGAGTTTTGTTCACTTTCTTTCAAATTGGCACCAGGGTACTCCTGGCATCTTAAAAACTATGGTAGGCTGTAGTGGTTATGATGCTTGAAGTAACCCTTTAATTACCAAAGTGCAGAAAAGACTATTACTAAATAAATATGAATAACTACTATTGTATTTATTGTGGTCATGATTTTTATGTTTAAGGGCCAGCGATATCAGTTAAAATTCTCATCTGAGAAAACCTTTATATGAATGGTTTTGAAATCCCAGCATCTTCACATGTATCTATGTACTTCTGTGGAGCTTGCTTGCTTCACTATTTACACTAAATACATTGCTATTTTGCTTTTTCTCAAAGGTCATATTAATGACATTTATGCATGTATAATTAAAAAATGGAAGACCTGAAAAGAAAACGTTTTTCTTGACATGCCTGCTTAGCATCTGAAGCGTGTAGGTCCCCATCTTTTAGCGATTTTACCAAAAGAGCCATTTAGTTCGCCTGTAAAAAATAAAAATATTTTGCTGCCTCGCAGTCCCAAGTTGTTCAGTCTTGCCTTTTCTCTTTGTTCAAACATTGTTCCTCTCCATCAGTAATCTTCATAAAATAGAAGCACTACATTGAACGCGTTAATGTATCACTTATATGATTATCCTAAATTTAAAACCCTTTCCCCTAAATCTTACACCATATTAAAAGTACTCATTGACTACAGTATTTAATTCAGCACCCAATCTGAAAGTAAGGAAACTTGGTCCACTGCGGCTGAAGTGCCAAAGGGTAATTGGCCCTGGTGCAGCTGATGAACTGGCATTTTAATTGGTGCTTTACTTATAGAAAGTTGATAGTGAAAAACTGTAAGAGGTGAATAAATACTAAATCTGTAGGTACTTTTGTGTGGAATTGCTGGCTTGTACAGAATGTGTGTCTTGTAAACACCATATGTTCTCTGAGCGTTTTATTTATTTTTCTTTCCCCTCTCCATTTCCTATCTCCTTTTTATTTTTTATATGGCATATTAAGATCATGTCATATTTTGCAAAGACTACAGTATAACTTTATAACATTACCTTCTTCTGCTAGTGTAACCGCTTACACTAAACGGGACCGCTTTAAATAATATACAATATCATACCTTGTCGAATCAGCACTGTTTTATGAAAATTATATTCTCTCTGATTGCAAGGTTTTTACCTTTTCAAATTTTCACTTGGTCATTTAAAATTGCTTTGTAAAATAGAAAGATTCTTAACGTACAGCATTTGAGATGCCTTTTTGGTATGATACAAATGTGCTGTAAAATCTGGTTGGAATCGTCAATGTTAAATCTTCTTAATTTCTTCTGGTTGATTGATGTGTATATATAGTCTTGGGCCAAATGCTCGCACATTAATATATGTCTATATTAATGAAAAGTACTAATACGCAATCTGACTTACGGTTTCTTCAGGTTTATTCTTAGTTACTGATACATAATAAAACAACAAAGGATGTTACAGGATAATGGACATTCAACAGCAGATGGTAATTGCTAGACTCCTGAAGGGAGAGTTACATCGTTGTACAGGAAAGAGAGCGAGAGACCTCATGTTCAGTTACTATATAGATGTGACCATAATGACGTCAGACTAAAACTCTATCCATATAAGGACAAAACCCCCAACTTACATTCCAGAGTTCTCAGACAAAGAAAGACAACTTATACCATCTGTTACTTATGTCAATCCACACATCCATATATAATCAATAGAAACATAGAATATGCAATATTCTACTTTCCCTCTGTTTATGGTTTGTCTTAAAACTATAACACAATGTCACTAACCTGTCCATTCATACATTACTCGTATCACAGTCATTGAACAAGATGTAGTCACACCTTTCTATTATATGACAGTTCTTGGAAGGTCGATTTTCTATCCCTCATACTGCTTACTTTACTTCAAACTCCCTCTGTTTCAGCTATGTATTGATATCCATATTACATCATAACTACTTGAACATAATATATATACATATAGCAATAATAAATGAATAAAATATTTACAAATGTTGATCCAATAAACAATAAAGCAATCAGAATGATCTACCTGCTCTGGTACAGTCATGTCTTTGTAGATAACAAAATAAAGATGATAACGTTATAAATAATAACTGTGTATCACTATCATATTCTTACAGACACATATCACAAAGTATTTTTCATTCTCAATACCTGATATTACTTAAGTACTAATACATGTATTACTATAATACGTCCACTTATACTTCCATGAATCATATGTTTTCTAGTAACTTAAACTCTTTAGGTCATTTGTATTCATGAATTACATTCCTATACCATTAATACCACCTAGTGATGATTGTATCAATACTTTACACTCATAGTATTTAATTTGTATATTCAGTAGGCTCTCACTAACTGAAATATATCAACACTACTTATAAGACTCATAGTTTGCAAACTTTTCAAAGGTTGTGTTATCAACCATGAAGTGTTATAATAATTTTTCAAATAATGTTCATGTTGTTGACAATACTTATTGTTCTAGAAATTCTCCACCCAGAAATCTTTCTATTATAGATTTGTTTTTGTTTACATAATTATAATTTTGACTAAAATTCCACTTTGTATTAACAAACTTTTCATTCAATCTGAGAAAGGTTTACTTTAAAAGAACTTGGAAAGAATAATATAAATTATCATCACTCTCCTCATTAGACCTTAATTGTGATGACTTATTAATGTAATACATCTTAAAAGCAGGATTGTCCTAATGTTCTGACCAATCTGTATTCCTTATTACACTTCAACTGCTTAAACTAAAATAAACTTGGGGTCATACTGCCCAGAAACTCGTATTCCTATTGTGTCTAACAAACTCAGGGAAATCATAAAACAACTTATAACAACATTCATTGGATACCGTCATATCCAGAAACCTATACTCCCTAGTCCATACATTTATAGACTTAGGTCAAATATAATTGTGTACTATACTCTTAACTAAACTCAATTAAATTCCTCTTGGATCTCTGAATTCTTATATCCAAGGCATTCTTAAAGGACCACTATAGGCACCCAGACCACTTCAGCTTAATGAAGTGGTCTGGGTGCCAGGTCCAGATAGGATTAACCCTTTTTTCTATAAACATAGCAGAAACTGCTATGTTTACCTATAGGTTAATCCAGCCTCTAGTGGCTGTCTCATTGACAGCCGCTAGAGGGCTTCCACGCTTCTCACTCTGATTTTCACAGTGAGAAGACGCTTGCGTCCATAGGAAAGCATTGAGAATGCTTTCCTATGGACTGGCTGAATGCGCGCCCTGTCAGGATATTTATATCAGCAGACATTTTATGCTAAAAAGAAATTAAAAGTGTATATTCCAGAGTCACTCAGAACAGAACAGACTCCATTTTGCTATCTTCAGGATAACAAAGACATCGTTTTTTCTTACTTTCTGTAACTAACCACTGAGCTTGAACTAAAGGAATGCATTATATAAACACAGACACTAGTGACAGAGAAGACCAAGTAATTAATTTTACTTTCTAAATTTTACAAGGTTCCATTGTAAGTAAGGGGTGAAATTGAGTTTAGAACTGTCAACTTTACAAATTACGATCAAAGTAGTTGCCACAAAGACTGAGACAAATGCTTTGAAATGACAGCAAATCTAAGTTATGGTAGTCATTTTAGATAGGCCAAATGACGTCAAAATCGTCATCAGGAAAAGTTAACTCTTTCCTGGATAAGAAGGTTTAGTTAGGCAAGACTGCCCTCTATGGATCAAATACCTAAATTGCGATCCATAGATTGAACACATCTACAGTTTCCTATTGGCTTATCAACTAATGACGTACAGAGAGTCTGGCCCTTTAAAAGTTAGGACAAAGGGATGAGAGGTTAGTTGGCAGAGAGAGGGAGTTGAAGTTTGGGGATTCCAACTCGGACATGCAGAGAGATCCAGGACATTCTCTGGGATTAACACTCTACTCTTAAACTCTCTTGGACACTCAACTCTTAAACTCTTTGACACTTAGAATTTTTCTCTGACTTTCTAACCAACACCACTTTTCTCTATCACTCACGCACCTCCATACAACCAATCAAGTTCCTGGGACTACCTACTCATCTGATGAGAATATCTACATAACTGGTAATTATGCTGTGTATTCACCCAGAGTGTTCCAAGTAGTAGCAACATTAATAGACCACATTATTTAAGCAGGATATGAGAAGAGTAGGGGGTTTTCTTTATTGTACATGAGATTCACTTATATGACTTTAGAACTAGAAGCTATCTTCTTTCAAGCCATTATTGTGCCCCCTGTATTATTTCTCATTATTTTTTTTTATCTATTCTTTTTCTGGTCTCCCTATTTTTTATTTTTATTTTTTGTTAATGTTTGGTTTAATGTATGGATGTTTTTACAAATCCCTATTAAAAGTTATGTTTTATATACATACAATTCAACCAAGGGGCTTCCTAACTTTGACCCTGTGGGTCTTTATTCTATTTTTTCTACACAAGTATATGTGAGGGTTACCCCCTATTTTGGTCGCCCCAGACACACACTTTTGCAGGTTCCCCTCTTGGGGGTTCCTTGCTTTTCTTGTTATCAAATGAACTCTGTAGAATCTTCCATCACAGTTTGCAGATCAGATGAAAAATCTCTTTCCAACAGTCAATGTCCACTTGTCTAAAGGAATTCTTTCCTAATTTACTGCCACGAGGATCTGTCAAGCTTTACCTACATTAGAACAAAAAACATGTGTAGCATCAATGGCTTGCAATGTTTATCTCATTATTATACTACAGTTTAACATTGAATTATATTGAATACTCAAAACATACTAATTTTTTCTCATGAGATCTACCATCTAGTGGTCATTACCTTTATGCCATGTGATGTATAATCTTTAAATTTCCTTTATATTAAAATCTTTCTGAACATTTTAATTTTCCAAACTTTTTATTAATCAAACCACCCTTTTAAACCGTTTTTAATAATCTGGAGGTATAACCTAATCACATATCAGATGTTACAACAAAATATTGTTTTACACTATACTTTAGCAATAGCAGCCATCTTGTCTTAACACTGGCACCATTTTGTCATATGAAACAAACTACAAAAAACATATATTGTTTCCTACATCAAATATATCTGCAAATCTAGGTTTTATCCTATCAAAAATGTTGTCTTCTATATAATCAAAACATATGTATGTCCAGGCTTTGCAAAATATAGCAATCCATTATCAGTCATGACATTAAAATCTCATTCTCATGAATTAAATCAAAGATTTTAAATCAACCTCAGAAGCAACAAAATAAATCTATTGTTTTTTCCTTCTGTAAAATGATTGGAGTTACTGTATAATCACATACACCCAATATAACATACATTGCATGTTCCTAACTGCTACATTAGTGTATTTCATTCTGCCATATTTGCAAACTTGATGTAAATTTTTATTTTAATTAATTAACCTAATACTTTCTTACAACACACATAAAAACAATGAAAAAACAGTTCAGACTAACAATTCATTAAAACAACAAACTAACATAGATCTCTATTCTTGTGTGCTGTTCTTAATTCTGGAATCAGCCTGTGCACATCTGTTGGCACACATATCCATGTTTATTCCCTAAACTGATCATGTCTCATGAAGTTATCTGATTCTCATCACTTTGTGTTACACTGCATTGTTTGTCTGTCTCCTAATTTTGATTTAGCTAAAATTGCTCTTATGTCTGTTTATAAGTTTACATGGAAAGGTCTTCATCGATTTATCTTCACATGTATTTTCCCTGTCAAAATTTTCAATCAACAAATTTAATTTCTCATTTGCTTTTGATTTGATATCTTGGACAAAATATCTGCAAGATCTTAAATAATGTTTATTGCACCAAAAACAAATAACTTCAGGAGTTATATTCTGCCTTTTGATTGTTAACTCTGCAGTTTCTAGTTGAGCAAATTGGGAGGGGCTCAGCTTTCTATATCACTCTTTTACACTCTGTCCTACAAGGACTGAGGTCTGAGTTTCTTTCTCTGCCTCATTCCACAAGTCATTTTAACCCCTTCATTATTGGTTTTCCTCCTTAAGTTATCGAAGAACAAAGCAACTTCTGTCAAAGTTATTTTTTCTCTAGCTATCACAATTGCAGATGGATCTAGATCTTTAAATTTTTTCACAAATTCATTAATTAACTGATCTTCGGGAAAATCAGCAACAAGTCTATATGCATTTTCAAATTTTACAAGAAAACTAAAAATATCCTCATCATTGTGTGGCTTTAGTTTTTCCAACATTTCAATGCCTGCAAAATCATTCCCTGTTGTTAATTTTATTAATTGTGTTAATCTCTCTCGATTATTCCCATATATTATTTCATCATTGTCCTCACATTTTACAGGCGTGGTCAGCCTACATGCCATTTGAGTCGGCAGCCATATTTTAAAGTCTATTCCTTTGTTCGTCATTAAGGCTGTATTTGTCCAAATTTGACTCAAAAATCTCAGCATTAGTAAATGCATCCACTGACGTGTCATAAACTAGAATACATTTCACAATTTTCATTAATTGTTCATGGATTTTCAAATTAAGTTTTGCAGCTCTGTCTTGAAATTTACATTTCTGCAAATCACTCTGTGAGGATACATTTTCAGTATCTATTGGTTCTGGGATTAAATTCTTTGCCTGTATTTTTCTTGTATTAACACACACTTGCTTAACTTCATGTCTAAGCTGGCAAATAAGATCATTTCTTAGTTCAACTCTATCCTCTAATTTATAGACTGTTTCTGACAATCTCTCACAGTTACAGCATGTACTCTGTGTTACATTGTTACACTGTTCATTTAACTCTGATTTGTCTTCTGTTAACATATTCAAATCTACTTCTTTTTCTGCTGATTCTAAATTGTCTTGACCTGCATCTCGTTTACAAATCAATGCATTGTAAGTACAGACTAGTTTCATAACATTTCTGATCTTTTGTTTTTTTCTTATTAACGAACAATTTCTTGTAAATTTCACTATTGGCAATTTTATATTGTGTGTATAAAGATTGCCACAACACAGCATCTTAATAGCTATTAAATGCAAACTGCAATTTACTTTTCTCTGCAATGTCATTTATGAATTCCATGTTACTCACCATATCAGTTATTTATGTTTATTTCGTTGCTTCATCCACACAGCTGTGCAGTTCTGGGCTTGATTCTGGACGCTTGCCAATCTCTGCCACGTGCTTACTTCTAGAATTCACGTTGTATCTTGTGTTTTTTGTCTCAGTTGTAGAAAATTAGTCTTGTACAGTGTTTGTGATTTGAAAAATTTATTTTTCTTACAAACCACAGTTCTTCTGTGAAAATCTAGATTCTTTTTTTTTTTTTTTCTCTTCAAGATTGTTTTCCCAGTTCCAAAACTTAGCTTTGTAACTTGATTCTTTTCTCTCCCCCCCTTGAAGTGGGAACACAACTTGAATAGAAGACTGGCTGGCTGGCCAATGTTAAATCTTTCTGAATCGTCAACGTTAATGTTAAATCTTCTTAATTTCTTCTAGTTGATTGATATATATACGTCTTTTGTGTGTATATATATATATATATATATATATAGTGTCTTGGGCCAAATGCTCGCCACATTAATATATGTCTATATTAATGAAAAGTACTAATACGCAATCTGACTTACGGTTTCTTCAGGTTTATTCTTAGTTACTGATACATAATAAAACAACAAAGGATGTTACAGGATAATGGACATTCAACAGCAGATGGTAATTGCTGGACTCCTGAAGGGAGAGTTACATCGTTGTACAGGAAAGAGAGCGAGAGACCTCGTGTTCAGTTACTATATAGATATGACCATAATGACGTCAGACTAGAACTCTATCCATATAAGGACAAAACCCCCAACTTACATTCCAGAGTTCTCAGACAAAGAAAGACTTGTGACTTATACCATCTGTTACTTATGTCAATCCATATATAATCAATAGAAACATAGAATATGCAATATTCTACATGTGCAAATTTGGCTTGTGGTAGGAGCCAGCTTTTAAAGCAGACTTTAATGGAGGGCACATGATCGCATATATATTTTATTACTATAAAAAATGTCATGGAAATTTTGGGGAAAACCATAAATCCATTTAAGATTTGACCGGTAAGGGATTTATTTATTTGTCAGATGTGTTGAATAACACAGAAAGAAGTAATAAAACAATCATATTCTAAGTATTTTATTTTTAAACTTAATTTTTAACCAGTAAAAATACAAATTTGAAGCAACAGATCTGTATGTATGTGGTGAATCATATTTAAAATTCACTACCTTTTTAAGCACAGAAAGAAAGCATTGACCTGCTTGTTGAACTTCTCAAACAGTCATCTCAAATGTAGATGTTTGTACTTTGTGCCTAATGAATTCTATTCCAGCTGTTTTCATGTACACCTTGTGAAATAATGGCAAGGCCATTTCACGATCAGATTGTTCAGTTTGTGGCCATGTGACTGCCAGGTTCTGAGAAAACATATCATTAGTTCCATTATTTCTAACAAGGTGTCATTTTAACTTCTATTTAGGAAATGGACACAGCTATTGAAGCCTCCTACTAAACCAAAGGCAGATAAACACCCCTCAGGCTTTGTCACAGCTAGAACATCTAACATTTGTATTCTGGTAATTGTTTCTATATGTACATAATTTTTTCTTGTTTTGTTAACAGGTGGAATGAATGGCTTTTGTATGACATGTTCATTCCTGATTTGCCCCGTGCAGCCCGACTCTGTCTTTCTATTTGCTCAGTGAAAGGCAGAAAAGGAGCTAAGGAAGTAAGTGCACTTTTTTTTGTTTGTATGTTTTTGTTTTTTATTTTCAGCTGTACTTGAATATTCAGTGTTTTGCTCACTTGCTTATAATGATTGAGACCCTCTCTCCAGTTTGATAGCAGAAGTCTAAACAGGCCCATTTACTAAATGTTTAATTCTTAAGACAGCACTAAGGTTACCACTTTTGTTTAAATATACTTCTTAATTAAAATTTATTAATAATTGCAGACTAATGTATATATTTAAGTTCCTTTCAGCAAGACAAAAAGGCATGTCCTTTAGTGAGTACCGATGAGCCTGATCACATTACTGCCTGCTCTTGTATACACAAAATAGGTTTTTGTTTGTTTGCTTTTTATTACTATTTTATTTTTTTTTAAAAATGTAACGTACTTGCATCCTTTGATATCGGTGTCTTAATGATAGGTTGCAGGTGGTGGCTGTGGTGATTATTGTACACCGCTCCATATGAGACGTGGGTGTATATAGATCGTTAACACAATGTTAAACAAAAATCTGCACACCAGACAAGCCATAAGACTTGCTTTTCCCACAGAAATCACAAATTTGCAGTGATGTTACTACCACAAAGGATTCTGGGTGGGCATATGCAAATTAGTTTAACAAAGAATCAAATTTTTGCCTTTGAGTCTGTGTTTGCTGTATACAACAGCTTTGAAACACAACTTTGGAAAAGATGCAAAGCCAGTGAACCACTCATGGACAGCTGTTTCATTGTTAATGCAAATCATCAGCATTAGGCTAGTTACTGGTTCGCTTTCTGGTGTGCAGAATTTTGTTTAACATTGCATTAACTCTCCACAGACTTCAGGTGGAAGGGATTTTCAATCACTTTTTTTTTTTTCACCATAACCTTTTTAGATATAGATTGATATATATTTAGATGGATATATAGATATATTTATTCTTTTAACAGCAGAAGGAGATTATCGTTACATTATGCGTCTTATATTTTGTCATACAAGCAGAATATCTAAAGCAAAGAAAAGTTTATTTTTATGTAGATCAGTTTGTAGAGGTGAGTTTTAAAATTGTAGGCGCAACACACACAGAGATTTCTACAACTATTTGCCATGGTAAGGCATTAGGTGAGCTGCACTGCTACATCACTTGTCTACAGCTGTTCTGTACTCACCATTGGCATCTAGGATAGACTTCTAGTGAATGGATGTGTGCCTTGATTTGCTTGTTTAATCAATTGATTCTGTAGAGATGCATCTGTAGGCAACAGTGCTGAACATTGTGAAATGTTAGAAAGAAATATTGGGTTGTGGTATTCCTTTACATTTTGACTGTTGGTCAGAATTTGATTTTGGTGAACAGAACATTTGCACAATAAAATCCATTAAATTGACTTGTTACATAAAATTTGATTAATACATGCATTGCTGGTGCATACATCAAATGTTCTCGTTCCTGTATTGGCATTTAAACACAATTTTTATATCTTTTTATAACCATTATTCACACTGGAAACAGTTGTACTTGTAACCATTTCAGGCACTGAATGGAATTATTAAAACAAATATATACATATCCTGCTGTTAATTAAACCGTAATGTGAACTACATTCTCTACTTTGAAAAGGCAAACGCCATAATCCTGAACAAACTAGAACTGTTGCTTACCACCTTCAAATGTGTATTATATATTTGTGTTTGTAAGTTAGTCAACACGATAACATAAGCCATATACATATTTATTTGAACGTCATGCATATTTAAAGCTTAAATTATATTTTAAAAACTGTCAAAATAGTAAACACCTTTGACGGTACTTTCAGAAAAGAATGAAACAAGGAATACTGGCAAAATATGTGCAATTAATATTTTTATAAAACAATTATAAAGCAATATTTGCTAAATTTGGCTGGGTATACTGACGATATCGATTAAAATTATTCTGAATGTATATATCTACTTCCCATAGAATAACAGCATGTGAAGTATATACAATCATCCAATTGATGCAAAAAGCAGGTTTTGTGCCAAGTCTCTCACTGCTGCAAGAGAAGATATTAATGAAGCAGCAGCGGTTATTGGACAGAAACAAAATGTGCATGTCTTATGATTAGCTGAGAACTGACACATTTTAACTTAACTCTGTAAAAAATAAATGTTTCCATAGGTCATGGATTTTGCCTCCTGTGCAAATCACTTAAAAATGAGGAAACCATTTTTACTGCTTATATCACCTGCCGACATTCACATACTGATTAGTAGCAATTACCCTGTTAAAGAAATCGCCCAATCTAACTAAGTGTTATATATGTTATATCCCCATAAGCCTTTGTAAATCTGCCAAACTTGTCAGGTCTCCTGACATACTTAGTCAATTACTGATTTTTTTTTTTTTTTTTTTGCTTTGATGTGGTATTTAATGCTCTGCCCAAAGCAGGTTCAATAACGATTTTAATCATTTTAGAGCTTGGGGCAAATACAATGCTCTAGCTGCCAATTAGATGTATGCTAGCAATAAAGATACAAAGTATATGTGGAAAGTGTACATAGTATAAAAAATTTAAATGGATAGAAATGTGAATAATGGCCTAAAGGCTATATTATATGTAGATTAAATATTTAATCACTGTTATACTTATCTAGGCACCTTAATAATGATGTCACATTCAATATATTTGCATACAGACTCTCTCATCTATGTTTGGTTGTAAATATGCAAGTCATTTTAGAATTTGTTTCTCAGTTGCATACAGGTATATCAGTCACATTTAGGTTCATGAGTTCTCAACAGTCAAATTCAGCACAATTTTAGGTTTTGTTCCCTCTTTCCCATTGTGACAGACATCAAAGCTGTTATGTTATAATATCACCTATTTTACTATATAGTTTTGAATGCTGTCGGTGGCAAGGATATTATTTTCCTGGTATCAATTCCATTTCCTCTCAACCTTCCAAGGCAGGAATAGAGGACTCAGAAGTCAGTGGTCAATTACAAGTAAACACACACAATCCAGTATGAACAAAGGCTTAATGCAGAAAATCACCATTTCGCTTGAACTTAGAAAATGGGGATTTTTTTTAAGACCAATTGATATAACATAACAAATACAGTAGACTTAACTAGCTCAAACTAGCCTTAAAGTCCATAAAGAATTTTCGAAACCCCTGAATATAATGAAATAACATGAATTTAGATTCAAAAGTCTTGTGATATATATGTCTTTATCCATATTATCAGTAGAGACAGGACTAGACATATCTGTAATACATAAGCAATATATATACACACACACACACTCACTCACAGCCGGATTCTGAAATACAAGACATACTGTATTTGTTATGTTATATCAATTGGTCTTAAAAAAAAATAAAAAATCCCCATTTTCCTGACATGGTGGCAGTACAATATGGATGTACTCTTCCCTCGGGACAAGCATCTGAAATAAATAATTAGCATAAAAAGTACCTCCCCTTACCAGGTATAAGAGACCCAACCAGCCTAGGGAGCTCAGTTCTCTTTCTTGTTCCAACCGGAACGGACGGCATCTGGAATATGGATGGTGAGTCACATGGGTTGCTGCAAGGGTGATCCGGTCTGATAGCCTCCCGGGTGGAGAGCTGAATGGCCAGAAAACATCCTGCAGATTACGGAGCAGGTATGTAAGCCTGCTTTTATGCCGAGTGCAGTCACTGGCAAAGCAGGGAGGCGGTCTCTAGTGGCAGCAAATCACTGCCCGTTGGAGACGCATGCGCACGGCGGTGGAACGCACACCCGGGTGGATTTGCGTTCCACCGGACTTCCGACCACGCTATTGCGCATGTGCGCTCTGAACTCCCCGAAATGGCGCCAAATTTAAAGCGGATCTGCCTATTTATGTTGTGCAGATCTTCCTGTCAGCATGGATGCTCGGCAGTAAAGGTCTCCAGTGTCACCAGCCCCCCCACCCCACATGGGTCAGAGGTTTTAGAGGTATGATTCTTTAGACTCTCATCTTTAAAACTCTCTCTTTTTTTTTTTTTTTATTGTTTCTACAAAATGATTTATTGCTTATGTATTACAGATATGTCTAGTCCTGTCTCTACTGATAATATGGATAAAGACAAAGTGCCTACACCTGCTTCTAAAAAAGCCAGTTCCAAAACCAAACATCTGTTGTAATGAATGCTCTACTCCTTTACCAGATGGTTTTAAAAGGAAAGTCTGTAATGTTTGCTCTTCCTTGAAGCTAGAAAAATCCAAGCAACAAGAGATGAAATCCTTTTTGTCTTGGTTTCAGGATAATCTGGCCCAGACTTTTAAAGATCCTGCTCACACTTCTCCTGTAAAAGCTACTAAACAGAAGTCTAAAAGGAAGAGAACTCCATTTAGTTCAGAACTATCCTCGGGTGAATGTTCTTTTTCTTATTCAGAATCCTCTAGCGACTCTTCTATTTGGATTTCCTCATGATGAGTTGAGAAAATTTATTAAAAGGTTAATGTTATCCTTTCTGATAAAATGGTAGGTAAATCCAAGGGTAAAACACTGCCAGTCCAACAAAAAATGCTGGATTTAATATTCAGAGAATGGAAGAACCCTGAGAAAAGGGCTTTTGTCTCCAGACATTTTAAAAGTATTGTTAAAATAGAGGAGGAAGATAAATGGGAAGAATTGCCGGTGGTTGATGTACAAGTGGCTCAATTGTCTAAAAAAAACTACCATACCTATTGGTGACGTTTCTGGTCTGAAAGACCCTATGGATAAGAGTGCTGAAACTTCCAGCAGAAGGGATTGTCAGGCTGCAGGTTTGCAGGCTAAAGCAGCATTAGCCAGTGCTTCAGTGTTGAGAGCTCAGAATCTTTGGCTTAACACTTTGGAAGAGGGTCTGGGTAATAACCAAGACAAAGGTCTTTCCCTCCTGTTCCAGAATTTAAGGTTGTCTAATGAGTACCTTATGGATATTATCACGGAGGTGATAAAGCTTTCGGCTCGTGTCATGGGTTTGACATCTGTGGCCCAAAGGGCACTGCATCAAAATCTGCATTATGTGAACTGCCTTTGGAGAAGAAAAAGTTGTTCGGTTCTCCTTTAGAAGAGTTAATCCGACAAATGTCGTAAACCAAGAAGGCCCTGCCTCAAGACAGGAAATATGCCTGGAAACCCAGGTATACAAAATTTCCAGTTCAAAAACCGTAGGGGGATTTTCAACAAAGAAAAAATCCAAGATTTGACACACATAGTGGGCGGAAGGTTGCAAGGTTTTGTTCACAGATGGAGGGAGACCACTACAAATCCATGGATTCTGAATCTGGTGCAAAATGGATACCGAATAAAATTCTTAGATGTTCCAAGACCGTGTTTCCTACCGGTCGAAGTTAAAAAGCCAAGCCCTTTTTTCTGCCACGGTCTCCCTATTAAGAAAATGTGTGGTAGAAAGGATTCCAACTTCCCAAGTATATCAAGGGGTATACTCCAGGTTGTTCCTACTCCCAAAACTGGACATGTCTTTTTGTCCAATCTTGGATCTAAAAAACCTGAACAAACTCATTCCTTACCAACATTTCAGAATGAAGACTATAGCGTCTGTCACCCATATCCTTCGAAAAGGAGATTTCATGGCAACTTTGGATCTAAAGGATGCCTACCTGCATATTCCTATGGATGTGGAATCAAGAAAATACCTGAGGTTTGCTATAAGGAAAGGGAAAAAGGTCCATTATTTCCAATTCAAAGCCCTTCCATTCGGGCTAGCTTCAGCACCCTGGATTTTTACAAAGGTCCTCACACCGGTCACAGCTTTTTTAAGGATGCAAGGAATCACAGTAGTACCTTACTTGGACGACTGGTTAATAAAGGCAGATTCAAGAGGCGCTCTAGAGTCAGATGTGGCCTATACGCTAGAAATCCTGGAAGAACATGGTTGGATTGAGGTCTATCCTGTTTCTAGGGTTTTTGATAAAGTCTGAGTCTCTGTCGGTTCATCTGACAAGAGAAAAAAGATAAAGATTTTAATAAAAAACCTTCTTCGGATGTCAGAATGTTCGGTGAGGAAAGCCATGCAGGTTTTAGGTCATCTGACCTCTACAATTCCGGCAGTAAAACAGGCCAGAGCGGAATCAAGGCCCTTAGAGTGGGAAATTCTAAGGATGAAGACGTGGATGCTTTAATGAGTATATCAGATCATACAAAAGAAAAGATCTCTTGGAGGCTATGGGAAAAATTCATTACAGAAGGCCTGTCTTTTTGTCAAAAATCTTGGATCGTGATTTCTACAGATGCTTCAAATACAGGTTGGGGAGCTCACCTCCTGTATCACTTAAAGGACCACTCTAGGCACCCAGACCACTTCAGCTTAATGAAGTGGTCTGGGTGCCAGGTCCTTCTAGGGTTAGCCCATTTTTTCATAAACATAGCAGTTTCAGAGAAACTGCTATGTTTATTAATGGGTTAAGCCTTCCCCCTAATCCTCTAGTGGCTGTCTCATTGACAGCTACTAGAGGCGCTTGCGTGCTTCTCACTGTGATTTTCACAGTGAGAGCACGCAGCGTCCATAGGAAAGCATTATGAATGCTTTCCTATGTGACCGGCTGAATGCGCGCGCAGCTCTTGCCGCGCGTGCGCCAGCCGACGGGGAGGAGAAGAGGAGGATCGGAGGAGGAGAGCTCCCCGCCCAGCGCTGGAAAAAGGTAAGTTTAACCCCTTTTCCCCTTTTCCAGAGCCGGGCGGGAGGGGGTCCCTGAGGGTGGGGGCACCCTCAGGGCACTATAGTGCCAGGAAAACGAGTATGTTTTCCTGGCACTATAGTGGCCCTTTAAGACAAGGTGTTTGGTCGAAAAAGGAAACAAAGGAATCTTCAAATTTCAGGGAGTTGTTGGCAGTTCTCTATTCTCTTCAGCAGTTCAAGGATTTCATTATAGGAAAAACTGTAAAGATCCAGTCGGACAATCAGACAACAGTCTCCTACCTAAATAAAACAAGGCGGTACAAGAGTAAAAAAAATAGTATTTCCTTTGCTCACGGATTATGTCCTGGGCTCAAAGTCATCTAGACGACCTTTCCGCCGTTCACATTCGAGGAGTAGATATCGTGGTAGCAGACGATTTAAGCAGATCAAAATGGTCCCAGAACGAGTGGTCTCTCAATCCAGTAATTTTCGCTCATCTGGTGAAGAGATTCGGTCTGCCAGTCATAGACCTTATGGCAAGAAGATCAAATGCAAAAGTAAGATCGTTTGCCTCCCTCTTCAAAGTAGACAAGCCGCTGGTAATGGATGGTCTTTCAATCCGGTGGGAGTTTCCCCTTGCTTACATTTTTCCCCCCAGGGAGCCTTGTTCCAAGGATTCTGAAAAAGGTAACATCAGATCAAGCTCGTATTCTGGCAATAATACCGTACTGGCCAAACCGCAGCTGGTTCTCGGTTTTAAAGAAGATGGCTTTAAAGTACTGGATTCTCCCGTTAACACCGGATGATCTGGAAAATAAGGGAATTCCAGTAGAAGTATTGAACATGTTCAGGTTGACGGCTTGGCTGCTGCACGGCTAATTCTGCATAATAGGGGCATTAAAGAAGAGAGGTTTCAGTTACTGTTAAATTCTACCAGAAGCTCTACTTCTTCTATCTACTTAAAAATTAGGACGAGATTTCTTCACTGGTGCATATCTAATCGTTGCATAGGATCCTCTCCTTCTACTGATACTATACTTCATTTTTTGCAAGATGGTCTTGCTCAAGGTTTTAGTCTGTCTACCCTCAAAGTCCAAGTTTCCGCTCTCAGTCATTTTTTGGTAAAAAAATTGGGCTTCTTATCCTCTCATTAGGAGATTATTTAAAAGTGTTAGACTCGTAAAGCCTCCTAAGAAAATTTGTTTTCTCTCTTGGGATTTTTTTGTTTTGAAATCTCTGTGTACTGAACATTTCGAACCTTTGGAAGAAGCTTCATTGAAGAATCTGTCCCTGAAAACCGTGTTTTTGGTGGCCATTACTTCGGCTAAGAGGATAGGGGAACTCCAGGCCCTTTCTTCCTCTCCTGCCTTTACAAAACTTCTTCCGGATAAAGTGGTTATGTACCCTAAGCCTTCCTTATAAACCAACCTATTTTTCTTCCTTCCTTTAATGGCCCATCTATGCCAGATTGGAGCCAACTAGATGTGGGTAGGTCTCTGAAAATCTACTTGGACCACTCCTCTACGTATAGGATAGGATCATCTATTCGTGAATTTCTTTGGAAAATCTAAAGGTCAAGTTGCCTCCAAGGCCACTTTAGCTAGATGGCTGGTGGATACTATTAAATTGGCTTATTCTTCCTCGAAGCTACCTCTGCCTGCCTCCTTGAAAGCACAATCTACTAGAGCCATGGCTGCCTCTTGGGCTGAAAAAGCGTGTACCTCTCCGGAAGATATATGCAAGGCCTGGTCTTCTTTCAACACTTTTTTGTCAAGCATTACAGGCTAGACGTATTCTCTGACGCTGATTTTGGGCATACGGTGTTACAAGCTGTTATTGCCTAACTTCCCGCCCTTAGTATGGGATCTCGATATATCCATATTCTACTGCCACCATATGTCAGGAAAAACTGTGTAATTTTACTCACCGTAAATTCCTTTTTCCTTAATATGGTGGCAGTACATCACTCCCTCTATGTATATATATTATATTTGGGTGTTCTATGGATTCACTGAGGTGTTCTTGGTACGTACTGAGGTCCCTGGGCTGGTTGGGTCTCTTATACCTGGTAAGGGGATGTACTTTTTATGTTACTTATTTATTTCAGATGCTTGTCCCGAGGGAAGAGTACATCCCTATTGTACTGCCACCATATTAAGGAAAAAGGAATTTATGGTGAGTAAAATTAGAGTTTTCCCATGTATAAGCAAAATGGTGATTATCTGCATTAAGCCTTTGTTTATACACACTCCCCCCCCCCCTAAATAATCTGGAGATAATAAATATATATATATATATTTATATATTATCTCCAGATTATGGTGTGTGTGTATATATAGATATACATTTGGTATAATATATTTTGCTTATTGCTTGCAAAAGGTATAATATTAGAAGCATACAACTAATTTAAAGGAACATTATGGTGTTAGCATTAGGAATATATACTCCTAATGTTTTATTGCCACCTCCTCCACACATTTAAAAAAAAAAAATTTTTTTAAGCATTTTACTTTACCAGCTGCACCTCTCCAACTCGCACGGCATCATCAAGTGGGACCTGCTGCAATAACTGCACACACATGCAATGGTTATCCTTGGAAAGAATTAGATTCAAAGCTTTCCTGTGAGCCTCTGTGTCACGTGGTAATTTTACTCGCCAGTGCAGCAGAAGCGCCTCTAGTGGCTGTTGGTATAACAGCTACTAGTGGCGGTTTTAACCCTGCAATATATACATTGGAGTTTCTAAAAATCCTACTTTGTTTTGCCTTGCAAGGTTAAAGTTACTGTACCACTACTCCCAGACCACTTTATTGAGAAGTGGTCTGGGTGACTTTAGTGGTTGTTTAAATATAGTAAAAATATATACATATATATTGGCTTAGTACATGCAACCGTTGATGTGACTATACTATTATACATTGCTATTTAGTGTATTGTCTGACTTTTTTCAATGTGACCTTTGTAGTATGGCGCTAGCAAATACCACTAAAGCTTGTAATGTTTTTTTAGGTACTTTTAATTTACTCAGTATCCTAAAATGCATACTCGTTAAGCAATGATTTGACATCTGCAGTACAGCAAATTTTGTATGCATGTTAATAATGTGTATCTCATTTTACGTTTAATATTTGTCTTCACAGGAGCACTGTCCATTAGCATGGGGGAATATAAATCTGTTTGATTACACAGATACACTAGTTTCTGGAAAAATGGCTTTAAATTTATGGGCTGTACCACATGGTCTAGAAGACTTGCTAAACCCTATTGGTGTTACTGGATCCAACCCCAATAAGGTAAGGTAGACTTTTATGCCAAATCAGGTCGCAACACTACTTTGACTAATTCTGACAAGTGGCTATACTTTTAGTAGGTGAAGAACAGTCATATTGTGAAAAGTCTTTGCATATGAATATAGTATTCTCATGCATGGTCTTATTAGAAATCACAAAAATCATTATGGCCTCTTTAGAGGTTATGGTGCCGGCACGCCCCTAGTGCTACCACATGCTTCTGTGTCGCATAGTTTTTGAGTGATTTGACACTTTGTTCTCCTGGGTTCCCATATCCCAATTCTTCTGTTGATATATTTCTTTTGTGAAAATTGCATTTTTGTTTTCATCTGCAATATTAGTGCCGCCTATATTTGTTTGGGAAAAAAAAAATGCGGGAAGAAATGCAGAGTAGAGTACTCTTAAAAATTGAAAGTCATTCTGTTGTGTAGGGAGCATAAAATGTTTGTGTAAAAGTATTACACTTAAAATAAAAGCACATCTTAATCCGTAAATGATTAACTCTTTTTTTTTTGTTACAAATGAATGTACAAGGTAGTTATTTCGGGACCATAAGTGCCCTTTTGTCCACCACTTTTAATTTAAGTTAATTCATTTAAGTTTAATTAAAGATTACTCGCCTTGTTTCCGGCATTCTTGCTTTACCTTCACAATCACCTCCAATCCATTGCTACTAATAGAGAAGTATTGGAGATATATATGCGCTTCTGATTCATGAGCTGGGATGGGGGGGAGGAGGAGAAGGAGAGAAGCACCTCTTGTGTGTGGCAGGAAGACAGTCACAAAATTCTAGTTCTAAAAAACTACTATGCAGGGTAAAAATTACAGGACCACTGAATAAACAGAGATTACAATTTTAAGTCCAATGCTACAGACCTTATGTTACCTGCCACTGCAATTCACGGCATGCCTGCAAAACCTTCATTTGCTTGTGGCAAGTGGAAATTTTGAGCTCTGTGCTCAATATTCTTTTGTTAATGCACAGTAATTTGGTGTATAATCTGTAAATTGTGTGTACAAAATGTGCAGCACTTATCCATAATCTTTTGTATTGCATTGTAGAAAACCTTTGGTTGACATTGTTGAACGGGATCCGTAAATATATAATTTTTCTCTTTTCAGGAAACTCCCTGTTTGGAGCTAGAACTTGACTGCTTCAGCAGCCCTGTCAAATTTCCAGACCTCATAGCGATTGAAGATCATGCAAATAAAGTCCTAGAACGTGAAATGGGCTACAATTTCAGCCATGGGGGGCTGGTAAATTATTACCATTTATTCATATGTGTGATCTCTGTCTTATTGTTTGCCATAAAATGTAATCACATGCATGCGCTGTTTTACTAAAATTAAATTGTGTGTTGTACTATGTAAACAATCCACATTGATCATGGTTGTCAGATTCAGACTTTGATATTTTGTATCGTTTTAAGGCAAACCATAATCTATTGCAGTGGTAGTCAACCTGGTCCCTACTGCCCACTAGTGGGCGATTCCTGCTTTCATGGTGGGTTTTATCCATGACCCTTGGTTCTCTGGCAGAACCAAAGACCGTGTAGGCACATGCCTCCCTCCAGCCATCAAGAGAGACCTCTCAAAAACACCCTACACGCATTGCGTGAACGCCTTTGTTTGCTAAATCTCTCTCAATAGCTAAAATGAAGTGTGTGCGGCTGCGCTCCTGATCAGGAAGGAAGGGGGTGTAATGATGTAACACGCTGGAAGAGGAGGGGTGCTGATGCACTCAATGTGAAAGCAGGGACAGGAAGAAGCATGGCGTTTAGAGTGGCTTGTATTTAACTTTGCAAAAACTGTAGATAAGAACCAGCGCTTATTTCGTCAAATTTTGATGTACAAAATGTATAAAAGTAACTTCAAACTAGCTGCTAAACATTCGTATAATACTTTCCAACAATACAAACAAAATATACCTGAATAAAAGAAGAATGTAGCGCTTGTATTTTAAAATCAATAAATTGTCGCTTTTTAGTAATCTCAGAAGAGTTGATGTCTGTTTAAATAATCGGCAGATAAATGCCTAAAAAGAGAATAATCAAATATAGTGCAGATGGTGTATCACTGGATAATATTTAACGTAGAAATTATTAATAAACTCACAAACAATGAGCTATGGACCCAGCTCTAGTTTGCATCGCTTTTGGATCCGTTTAGGCGATCCTCCCCTTTTTTGGTGTTGCAAATCTTGTCAAGCCCGGAGTCAAATAATATGACTCAATTCACACATATTATGCAGTATGGGACTGCACTCCCATCCATACAATGATGAATAAATGTATTCATTTATTCATCATTGTATGGATGGGAGTGCAGTCCCATACTGCATAATACGTGTGAATTGAGTCATATTATTTGACTCAATTTATTCATCATTGTATGGATGGGAGTGCAGTCCCATACTGCATAATACGTGTGAATTGAGTCATATTATTTGACTCAATTTATTCATCATTGTATGGATGGGAGTGCAGTCCCATACTGCATAATACGTGTGAATTGAGTCATATTATTTGACTCCGGGCTTGACAAGATTTGCAACACCAAAAAAGGGGAGGATCGCCTAAACGGATCCAAGAGCGATGCACTCTATAGCTGGGTCCATAACTCCTCCTTGTTTGTGAGTTTATTAATCATTTCTACGTTAAATATTATCCAGTGATACACCATCTGCACTATATTTGATTATTCTTTTTAGGCATTTATCTGCCGATTATTTAAACAGACATCAACTCCTCTGAGATTACTAAAAAGCGACAATTTATTGATTTTAAAATACAAGAGCTACATTCTTCTTTATTCTGGTATTTAACTTTGGCAAGCTAAGTTCTGTTATTTCCCTACGGCAAGCTAATTTCTGTTATTTTCTGTTTACTTAGTTTACTTAACATAAAATAAAAATAAAAAGGAGGAAAAGAAGTAAAGGAAGGAGAGAATAGAAAGAAAGAAATATTGCTTTTTTTCTGTTTTATTTTTTGTTGTTGGCTAATAATAAAGTGGGCTACCTAGTGCAGCCTCCTGCTGGTGATTGCAATAAGGAAGGAGAAAAGAGAAGAAATGAAAAGAAGTAAAAAATGTTGTATTCACATTTAACTGTTTCTTTAATTTAAGCAGCTCCTGCACTAGTAGGTGCTGCATCGGTGGAGAAGCGGAAATTAATTAAATTTTAATTATACAAAAGTAGGCATAAAAACATAGATTTAAGTAAATCTTTTCTTAAAAAACCTCCTTTCTAAAAAAAAAAAAAAAAAATCTTTTTACACTTGCGCTAAAAAGTTAAGTTAGTGCAGCACCAGTGAGCGGTAAGGGAGTTTTACCATCAAAAAAGATACATAAGTGGGCGACAGGGATTAAATGATTGACTACCCCTGATCTATTGCAACAAAAACAGAGGATATGCGAATGGGCAAAAGAAACTCAATAGCTTGCCCAGTAAATTTGTTTTCACAATATCTATAGGCAAAATATTTAGCAATATAAATCCAAAATAGCTAAATGTTTGTAAAGAACTTTAAAGAACACAGAAGTAAACAGAAACAACAAATAAAAGCTGCATGATATAAATCACATGTCCATTTGAAAATGCAACAAATTTTATAACAAACACCAATTGCAAATAAAGTACAAATAGAAAATGCTGTTATTAAATTCACAAGTATCAAAACTTTTAGCTATTTGTTTTTTTCTTTTTATTGGGCAGCAATTTCATATTATTGGAGTTTGTTATAAAAAGAATTAAAACAAAAGCAGTTGACTTGTAGAAATGGGTAATCTTTTGCTTTCAAGTATTATATATGTTCCTTTTCCAGCCAAATTGAGATTGTATTTGTGTTTTAATGCATTGTCATAAAATGGTGTGCTGTGCCTTTCAATTACTATTTTGTGTATTTGACAGCTAGTAGGAATACATGGCTGTAGAATAGTACCCTCATTTACTATATTCTCCCTTTTATACACATTTTGTTTCTGTTTAGTATATTGTTTTTTTCCAGCTGTGGACCCAATATCCAGGTCCTTGTTTAATAATTATTTGAGTAAAAGATAAAACAGTTGTGTTGTATGTTGTAGACAAACAGAATAGCCAGGGATAATGAAGTCCGAGAAAGTGACAAGGAGCAACTCAAAGCCATTTCTAATCGTGACCCTCTTTCTGAAATCACAGAGCAAGAAAAGGAGTTTCTCTGGAGTCACAGGTATTTCTCTCTTTTCACAGCAAACTTAATTTCAATTCTATTCCTATTCTAGGTCATCTGAAAGTATGTTGAAGAGTGCCCATCTACCAGTTTACTAGCAACTGTAAACAATTTATCGTAAGGCAATCAAGATTAATCTTTGGCACACATTTGTTAGGCCATGTGTCATTAAAGGACCACTATAGGCACCCAGACCACTTCAGCTCAATGAAGTGGTCTGGGTGCCAGGTCCCCCTAGTTTTAAACCTGCGGTTGAAAACATAGTTTCTGAAAAACTATGTTTACACTGCAGGGTTAATCCAGCCTCTAGTGACTGTCTCCCTGACAGCCACTAGAGGCCACTTCCGCAATTTACACAAAGTAAATCACACTTATTTGACGCAGGACGTCTTCACGGAGTCCAGTGTCAAAATGCTTTCATGTGGGCGGGTTTGAATGCATGCGTGCCTCTGGCTGCACATTTGGTTCCACTCGGGAACTGACGTTGATGGAGGAGAGGTCACCAGTGCAGAGGGAGCCCAGCGCTGGATTAAGGTAAGCAAATAAATGGTTAATTAACCATTTATTCGTCATGGAATGGGGCCCTAGTTGCCTAAATGGTGACTAGGGCTCTAGAGCGGTGACTAGGGCTAGAGGGCCCTAGAGTACATATTTGTATTCCTCACGCTATAGTGTTCCTTTACAAATATTTGCAGTTTAAATATTTTGATGCAACTCCCTTCTAGTGAGGTTGGTTGTGCAAGCTGACAGCTTCACTGTTGGATATTTTGACAGTCCGCAAAAGCTAGTGGGCTGGCAGGAGACTAGTTATGGTTTTCAGAAAATGAGTTTGCTGATGGTTTAATATCAGCCCGCATCGTGCATGTTAAAGAGCAATGTTTCTTGCGTAGATGATAAAATAAAAAGTTCTGTATTTAAAATAAATTTTAAAAAATCATCCCCATCCTCCAGATGAATTTAAATACATGTTATTCATGGCATTTCTAAAAATATGTATTAGTACTAATTTATTTGTATAATCATATGGTGTAAGTTATAATAAAATATTTTTCATTTCACAGGCATTATTGCCTAAATACCCCAGAAATCCTGCCCAAGTTGCTTCTTGCTGTGAAATGGAATTGCAGAGATGATGTTGCACAGGTTGGTGATGTTATTGGACAGATTCTCTCAGGACTTTCAGTGTTACCTTTTTTATCCAGTCAGCATCATTATTCTTTTTTATTTTGTATATAGTTGTAGTTCTCCTATCAATGCTAATCCGTTATGCAAAGAATTATAACTCAAACACTCTTTGGGATCAGTTATAACTATATGTGTTTTTAGTTTTTTTTTTTTTTTTTTTTTTTTTTTAAATGAGGTTTTATTGTCCCTTGCCGCACAGGTTCACATTCTTCTAACGACATGCTTACGCTCTACATCTCTGCAGACATAGACAGCCATGATCAATGCCTGCATGCAGTCATATGCCACTAAATAAATGTTGTTCTTATATTTGACAAGGCATTATTAACTGTACCGGAACCGTCATGATGGCCATTATATAATGCCAAGATATTTGATTTACTTGTTTTTGTCCGCATCTATCAGCTCTCGCATGAATGCAATATATATTTACATCATGTGTTTAATGCATCACATTTTCCAAAAGTTGCACTTACGTTTCTATGAAATCATCCAACTGAAAATCCAGTCAAATAGCATTTTTGGCTAGAATCAAAATCTAAATCATTAGATGAAAAGGACCAAATAGACTCATCTGAAAAGAGTGCTATATTGGACTGTCTGGGCTTGTCTTTCACTTAAGACTTTCATCCAGTGTCTCGAGATGTAAATTCTTACTTATTAATGCACCTTTTTCTGCACTATTGTTTTTTTTGTTTTGTCTTTTGCAGATGTACTGCTTACTTAAAGACTGGCCTGCAATACGACCAGAACAAGCAATGGAACTTCTAGACTTCAATTACCCTGATAGGATGGTACGATCGTTTGCGGTTACATGCCTTGAGAAGTATTTAACAGATGACAAACTTTCCCAGTATTTAATCCAGCTTGTGCAGGTATTTACATTTTAATAATTGAACTAAATAATAAACTGTCAGGGGTGCAATTAGAAACAGCAGAGCTCCGGGGTAAGAATCGAAGAAGGACCCCTCAGCAATAAAACTCCCAGTTATATACATAGTTTAAGTGCATCAGAGGGCTCCTAAATGTATTACAGCAATAAAGCTGTTACATTCATATGCTCTGTATGTATCACACAGCTCAACAGTCATTAAACTCCCAGTAATGTGCATTATATGAATGCTGTGTATGAATGTATTGCAGAGCTCTTCCGCAATAAAACACAGAGTAATGTGCAGACCAGATGACTATCACAGATCTCCACAGTAAAAGTGACCGTATGTGAGTGGTTTTGCATGTCAGGGATGAGTGCGATGATGTTTGTGGGGATTGGCTGCATATAACTGCATGTTGTTGTTTTTTGTGTGTAATAATAAAATAAGTGTGTATTCAAATAGTGCTTTTGCAAGCGGATGCCTGGCCTGGGCTTATCTTGACAATCTGTACCCCAGGGCCCAGTTGCAGTAACAACCATTGTGACCCTGGGAGTGTCTCCTTTGATTTTTGATAAATTTGCTACCATTGTAAATGCCTTTTCAAAAGATAGTTTCTTCTTTTCACCAAATTTACTTTAAAACCAGTTGGCAATTCGTAAAAAAAAAGGATCAGAGTTAAATGTTGGACATTCTATAAGCTATGTTAAAGGGTTACTCTAAGCACTATGACCACTTCAGTGATTTGAATTTGTCATGGTGCTTGGAGTCTGTATGTGCAGCGTTTTGCTATGAAACTCTGCACATACTGAGTTTAACACCTTTACATCCGAAGGTGTAACTCCCATCTCCTGCAATGTCATCGGAACATTATTAGCCAGCTTAGCACAAGAATTAAAAACTGACAGTCAATTATTTGCACAGAAGGACATTCATTGGCTGAGTGCATTCTACAGATGCTCTGAGTCGGTGAATGGCCAGTGGGATTGCATCCTGCTTCTGTAGCTCTACAGAATCTGGATGTCATTCAATCTGCACCAATGGAGAACAGGCTAATGGTGGGGATCCGGGTAAGAGGGCAAACTGTTGCAAAATGGTTTGCTCATTACTGAGAAATGGGGCAACTGTACTCATAGCATCATAGCCACTACAGCTGGCAGTAGTGGTTATGGTGCTTGGAGTAACTTTTTAATTACATTGTGTCTTATTATACACTTTTGCTTCAGAATGTTTAATTAGTCATTCAATTAGTGAATGTATCTTTTTATTGAAAATATTAAAGAAATGGTTTGAACACCATAACTACTGAAGTTTTCAAGCTGAAAAAAACTGCACATCCAGACTCCTAACACCATTACCACTTCAAATCATTGATATGGTCATGGTGGTTGGAGTAACCCTTTTAAGAGAAGCTCAAGCAGGAGCTCCCAGCTATCCCTTCAGGCTGAGAAGAAGTTGGAAATGGCACCTGGCAGACCCCAGGGCATTTCTTACACCATGAACACACCAGAGCAAGGAGTGCTCTTTTTATCTGCTGAAAAGTAAATTGCAGTGATTTTGTAACCAAGTATTTTTTAATTATAAATTCAAGGTTGCTCAACCAGATCTCACTAGTATAACAGATATACAAGTTAAGATAACCATATTTTCCTGTCAGAGCAATGAAACCCTGTTGCAAACTAAATTTGTGTTGTCTTTATTTGTAAGTAGTAATAACCTGCTTTATAAATATTCCAAAGACATTTTTATAGCATCCAATGTTCACACTTCAAGGCTCCTTAATTGTGTAGGTGCTCTCTGATCACAGGGTGTCAGGGTTGCTTAAAGTCTTTAAATAAAAACGATGATTCAGCATTGCTCTTTGTATAGTGTTGGTTTAATTTATTAACACCACAAGTAATGATTGCAATGTTTCAGTCTATAATGACCATTGTCAGCCTTTTAGTATCTGTTAACGTTGCTTTTATCCTGTGTGGTGTGAATAAGTAAAATTGTTACCTTATTTGTAAAAGAGCTGGATAATCCATTTTATTAACAGGCTTTACAGGAGTGTCAGCATATGCTTCTATGAAATATTACTCGAATAATTAAATATTTAAGGTTTTTTGTGTTTATGACCCTTTTCTTGGAATACAGACTCGGTTTGCTCAGTGTGTCTGAGATGGTCTAGACAAGTCAACAACTTTTGCATTAAAATAAAAACTGAATATCACTTGGATCTGTGATTATGGTATTATGGTAACTGAATATCACAAGGAGCTATGATTATGGTATTGTGATTAACAGGGTTCTAAAGTGCAATTTAAGGGCAAAGTAGCCAAAATGGAAGCTTATCTCACTTGGAAAGTGTTTCCAATTTAATTATATTTACCTTAAATTTGAGATTCGGTTTGGGTTCTGACTTTTTTGAATAACCCTGTAAAGTGGCCCTGTAATATTTTTATTTATTTTTATTCTGATTTTCATTTCCTTACGTCCCCTGTATCTTTAATATAATAAAGGTAAGCTTCAAGGAAGGGAGTATAATCATTATATTTTCTTCTTTGTGATAGATAATACATGGGCACAGCAATTTTGTTCTCTTCTACTCATGGTGTCTGCTGTTTGCCCTAATGCGAAATTGATTTTTACTAATTGTGTGTAAATTTGATTGGCAACTGAAACAGAACCTGGCTTAAGCTCCACTCATTGTCAACTTGACTGTTATACATAAAATGTAGTACTTGCTTTTCTTTATGTATTTTATGGGGGAAAAAAGAGCGCTGAGGAAAGAAATAGAGATTCAGACACCGTGAACTATACATAAATAATTAAAATATTTTTGGTGACAGAACCCCTTTTATCCACCAATGAACTAATGTGTGTGAATTGATTTAAAGACATAACTGAGCACACTTCAATATTCTGTGATATTTGTAGGTTCTGAAGTATGAGCAGTACTTGGACAACTTACTTCTGAGATTTCTACTTAAGAAGGCTCTGACGAATCAAAGAATAGGACATTTCTTTTTCTGGCATTTAAAGTAAGTGATAGGATGCAAGAGATCAAGTCCATGTGTTAGATGTAGACACTTACTGTAGAGCAAGAATGTGATGTTTTTTATTTTATGATGCAAAATTTCTTGATACTAGTTTCTCACGGTACTGTTTTATATCGCAGACAAGTAAAAAAATAAATAAAAGGTGTGTGTGTGTGTGTGTGTGTGTATATATATATATATATATATATATATATATATAATAGGAAAAATACAGAATAGGAAAAACCATGCGAATAGGTTTACACTCCTAGCAGTCAAACTGGAACCGCATACAATAAATCCTCCCCCAATAATGAGACAACACTTCACTTTGAGGGTTAAGCAGGAACTCTCCTCTAATGGCCACACACTGGCTTTTATGCAAGTCCCCATGCCAGGGGACATCCCACAGGGTGGGATACAGTACAACCAATCAGGAGAACCATACAACACACCCACATTTACATCACAATCCCACCTCTCTGTCCTGGAGATAATTGTGAAGTAATCCAATTATCTCCCAGGACAGAGGCAAGACTCCATTAACCACATGGCAGTAACAATACAATAAAAGACATAAAATTACATACAGTTACATTTATTCCATAAAACATAGACATTCTACATATCCCCAGATAGCTTAGATCTGAGTGCACATTACTACCGAATGGCGCTCAGATAACATAAATACAGTTCAATCGCCATGGAGCCAAAGTCTTTCATACAGTCTTTCAGTATACAGCTGGGCTCCATGGCATAGCTATCTGGGGTAGCATGGCTTTAACAGTCCGCAGGAAGGCACGAATAAACCTTTCTGCCAGTAAAATAAAAGTTTAAAATGCAGGACCATAGTCTAAAGGGAGCAGGCGAGCAACCAGGCCTCTCCAGTAGACAGTGACGAGGTTGGTTCCGCCACATGTATGTATATATATATTCAATGTGTACAATGTATTGATTTAAACATGCTGCATTTATTTGGTCATGACTGTGTTTGCTGGTAATAAAAACGTTACATTCAAAAAAAAAAATTCCAATAGGACTGAAATTACAATTTTCTAATTATAAAAGGAAAGCTATCATGGCACACGTTGTTAATGTATGCTACCCGATTGTAGCCTGGGGAGGTATGTATCATACAGTGAATTGTGGTAAATGGACCACAAACATTTTATAGGGGGGAGGGGGGCAATTTTACCTTAAATTTTTACAATGTATATATTAACAGAGAAGCATGAACATAGCTGAGAAAGCAAAAACAAAAGCATCTCTCAGGATGATCAGCTATGAGCCAGGCATGGGGGAAAAAACAAAACCTGTACAATTTAAAAAGAACATTAAAAAGAACCCACACAATATAGCTCTACTATACACAATACACACAGGTTGTACAGGTTTTGTTTTTTTTCCCCCCATGCCTGGCTCATAGCTGATCATCCTGAGAGATGCTTTTGTTTTTGCTTTCTCAGCTATGTTCATGCTTCTCTGTTAATATATACATTGTAAAAATTTAAGGTAAAATTGCCCCCCTATAAAATGTTTGTGGTCCATTTACCACAATTCACTGTATGATACAAACCTCCCCAGGCTACAATCGGGTAGCATACATTAACAACATGTGCCATGATAGCTTTCCTTTTATAATTAGAAAATTGTAATTTCAGTCCTATTGGAATTTTATTTTTAATGTAACGTTTTTATTACCAGCAAACACAGTCATGACCAAATAAATGCAGCATGTTTAAATCAATACATTGTACACATTGAATTCATAGCAGTTGTATAACTAGAGCAACTTACATTTGAGTTGCTTCTCATTGTAATATTACTTTATAAAGCCTTGTAACCCCTTTAATACCAAGTGGTTTGCAGAAAAAACACCCTTAAGGTGTTTTTGGTGTCCTGGAAAAAAATGTTTCAGTATGCCTAGATAGTGCATTATTTCATCAAAGCAAATACAACATTTTTGTCTGGGCAAAAAACTTTTTAAAAAGTTTTTACCAATGAATGGGGTTATAGATAGGAAAACAGTTGTTGTAAATAACATTTCTCAATATGTAACATATCTTTTTCCATACATAATCTATAATCCATGTCCAGTATGTATGTGTGTGTGTGTGTGTATATATACTGATGTACAGATACACACAATGATACAGACATACATTGACAGATAGTAACACAATTGTAGTGTGTATTGGTACCTGTATGTCTGTCGGTGAGTATCCTTGTACATCTGTGAGTGTATATCTGTGTGTATGTGTATCCATGTGTGCCTGCAATGCACATTTGTGTATCTCTGTGTTGGTAGCACATGTATCTCTGTGTCTGGGAGCGTATGTGTGGAGGCATCTGCTTGCAGTGTGCTGTGTGTCTTGGGGGGGGAAGGGGAGGTGCTTGTTGGAATCCTGTGTGTATTGTGTATAGTAGAGCTATATTGTGTGGGTTACTGTCTGTGGGGTGGTGCATATGTCTAAGGGTGCTGGTGTTTTTATGAGTGTCTGTGTCAGTATTGTTGGGACAGTGAGTGTGGCAGGGTGACTTTGGCATGTGACTAGGTGTGAGGGGAAAGTGTGAGGAGTGACTGTATATGTGATGGCTGTGACATGAGTGTGTGTGGTGACTCTGTCAAGGTGACTGTGTAAGTGGTTACTGTGGGGTAACTGTCTGTGGCATGTTGACTCTGTTTGAGGGGTGATGTAACAGGGTGACTGTGGGTGGTCAGAGAATGTGGCATAGTGACGTAGTGTGTGGGGGTGGGTGGGGGTGGTGGTGGTGTGTAGGGTGATGTGACTGCATTAGTGTTGGGAGGTATAATGTATGTGGGGAAGCTGTATTTCCCTGTTCGGCCTCCCCACACATTGCTGCTCATTTTTATATTTAATTGAGATGAGGTGCTTACCTCTTTCAGCCACCATCCGTTTGTTCTCTTGTAGGGTGGCTGTCTCTGCAGTGCCTGGCAGCAGCTGCTCCCCTACTGTGTTCACATCAAGCAGGGAGGATGTGATATTATATTACACCCCCTCTGTGCTCTGTGTGAGCATACAGCACAGACTGGAAAGAATGAGCTGCTGGACAAATTTTCCCCGCTCATTCGTCCCATCTAATACTTAGGGCTGCCTGAGGAGAGACCTGAACACAGATAGTGAGCCTCTATGTTTAGTTATGAGATGGTCATAGTGAGGCGGATGTTAGTGCCCCTGCACTGTGACTTTCACAAGTCACAAAAGGCTTAATTTGCAAAGTAAAGTATTTCTTGGTGTCATAATTAGCTTTCAGAAGTGTATATTCAGGTCTGTGTTTATTTATGATAAGCTGCTTGCAGTTGCTCTGAGGCTACATTGTTTAGTGTATTTGTGCCATATACACGTTGAGGTTAATCGTACCTTTTAATATTTCTGATTTCATTGTGTTTCAGAATCTTTAGCTGGAATGTTTTTAATGTTGACGGATTTGCGTATTCATTTTATTAGGTCGGAAATGCACAACAAAACTGTCAGTCAGAGGTTTGGTTTGTTGCTGGAATCTTACTGTCGTGCATGTGGGATGTACCTCAAACATTTGAGTAGACAAGTGGAAGCCATGGAGAAACTGATTAACCTCACTGATATTCTTAAGCAGGAAAAAAAAGATGAAACACAGAAGGTATGCGGAATATTTTTTTAGAGTTACCCTTAAAAGATGGACCTGCTGTCGTTATCAAATGCACATAGACTTTATGCTTCCTTTAAAAAAAAAAAAAGTATGCAGGAGAAGAAATCTGTCTTTCACAAGTGGATGGATGGCCAGGTTCCTAAAATACAGATGAGAAAATATAACCCATAATTTGTGGTAACTGAATTACTGCCATAAATTTATTCTCTGTTGTGGTTAGCATGCATTCCACAGTGCTGCGCTCTGCTTTGCAGCCTACCTACTACAATCTTGGATTAATCCATGAGAATAGAATGTGACAAGTCCATTCTTACTCATTACATCGCACTGTACCTGCCATATTAATTATTTAAATTCCTCTGCCACCATAGAGCTAATAGGATCTTAAATACAAATTTATTTACAGCTGGATTAGATAAAATCTAAAGATGTCATTTTATTGTCTGAAGTACCATTGCTTAACTTTTGTACTCGCAATATGTACTTTAAACAGCAAGCCTGCACGTTGCTTTGTTGACGGAGCACTAAAAAGAATGGCAAATAACATTGGGGATTTAATTGGAGGTATTGGTAAACTCCAAAGTAAGCCAACCCAGTCATGCAGTAATTTCCTATATGGCTAAGGGTTTATCTTTTTTTAATGGAAGTTAAATATAACACAATCGAAAAATACTTGGAAAACGTTTTATAAACATTAAAAATGTACAGATTGCAGTGGCGATAAAAACATCACATTATGTAAATGCTAAATATTTGTAAATATTGATCAGAGCCTATTTGTCGCTTATTAATGTCTACTAAACAAGAAAATATCTTGCCGCAGTTAATTATAAATATAGAGAATGATCTGTTTAATTCAATCTAATACACTTAAAAAATGTAGTGGCCCAAAAAAGTGCACTGTTTTTCAGGTCCAGATGAAGTTCCTTGTTGAACAAATGAAGCGACCAGACTTTATGGATGCTTTACAAGGCTTTACCTCCCCTTTGAACCCTGCTCATCAACTGGGTACTCTCCGGTATGTACACAGCCAAACAATTATTTTCTTCTAAATATATATTTTACATTAAGCACTAATTTATGTTTACTATATGGATATAGAGAGATGGGCAATTGGGCCGATCACTTGCTTTGCAAAGACTTCTTATTGAGCTGCATTGGAAAGTCTGTAATTTGACAGCCACAGACAGTCTGGGTTGAGGAAGAAGGGCAGTGCTTTCAAATGCAACAGACAAGAGAAATGCATGTTTTGTTTGTTTAGATGTACTCACCATTCAAAAATGCATAACTTCATGCATGCATGTTTTCATTTGAGCGTATATAAACTAGTTATTTTTTGTATTTGGGTAGTCCCTTTAAAGCTCAATTTTCAGCTGCTAGCATGCCATTATATGAAGTTGTGTAATGTTTTTATTCCCTCTGCCACTCATGCACAAGATGTATCTAAGATATATCTAGCTATGCTATATGACATTCGGTATATATCATTAGATGGGCAAGACACCTAATGATATATACCCTGTCCACCTTAATAATATGAGTCATGCCAGCTCGGACGTCGCCCGGATTAACAAAGTCCGCATCAGATGCTATGGAACCAGGGCAATCTGACGACAAGTGGGCTACTGGAACAAATCATTCCTGGACACGGAGCGAGAACCTAGACCTGCTTGAATGCTCCTACAACAGCAGACCCAATGAGAGGGGCTACATGAAATGTACGTGGGAGCTATGGATGAATGAGACCATCATCTACCCCAACACCAAAACAGCTGGTTACACAACATTTGAAAATCTTCAAGAGGAATCTAGTGTCACAACTGGAATTAAAGGAACACTATAGTCACCTGAATTACTTTAGCTAAATAAAGCAGTTTTAGTGTATAGATCATTCCCCTGCAATTCCACTGCTCAATTCACTGTCATTTAGTAGTTAAATCACTTTGTTTCTGTTTATGCAGCCCTAGCCACACCTCCCCTGGCTATGATTGACAGTGCCTGCATGAAAAAAAAACTGGTTTCACTTTCAAACAGATGTAATTTACCTTAAATAATTGTATCTCAGTCTCTAAATTGAACTTTAATCCCATACAGGAGGCTCTTGCAGGGTCTAGCAAGCTGTTAACATAGCAGGGAATAAGAAAATCTTAATTAAACAGAACTTGCAATAAAGAAAGCCTAAATAGGGCTCTCTTTACAGGAAGTGTTTATGGAAGGCTGTGCAAGTCACATGCAGGGAGGTGTGACTAGGGTTCATAAACAAAGGGATTTAACTCCTAAATGGCAGAGGAATGAGCAGTGAGGCTGCAGGGGCATGTTCACCAAAACTGCTTCATTAAGCTAAAGTTGTTCAGGTGACTAAGGGTCCCTTTAAACTAATTAAACGGAATATATATATATATATATATAGTGTGTGTGTGTGCTATACTATAGAGAGAGATAGATATGTATAGAGATTGTAGCCGTATTGGTCCAGTGATGTAGATGTAAAAAAACTGAAAAAATTCTTATCTTGTAATACTTTTTTTTTATTGGACTAACAGAATTTTTTAATGACCAGCTTTCTGGAGAACCTCCCTTTCTCAAGTCTAAAGCATTTCTGAGCAAGACGACACATAGTATTCAAAGTTGAGTTGTGACACAGGGGTTAAAGGGACATGAGTGCAGATAAGATACAGGTTTGTTGGAAAATAGACAACATTCTTGCAGAGGGGCGTAAATATCTTGTGTGAAGATCAGATTGGGGGAGGGAGAGAGAATAAAAACAAGCAAACAGTGCAGAAGATGGTGCTAGAAAGGGAGAGTAAAAAAATGGTTAAGAATGCATGAATTCCCATCCAAGAGTTACAGGATATGCATGAAGGCCTAGATCCAGCATACACAGACACACGTACTTACACACATGTACATATATACAAGTAGTGTATATGTACAAGTATACATATAAATACAATCAAATGCCCAAATATATGTACACCTACACATACATCCACACACAAGCACCAATACATGTACCTACACATACATAGTAAAATACCCTAAAACCTCTAGTCACCAACAGCTTCATAAAAGACATAACTGACTTCCTTAACAAACTCTGCCAAATCACCAATCTCCCTGCTAACACCATCCTTGTTCATCCTCACACTTAATTATTTCAGTTTTAACAATGAGGTTTACCTACAAACCATGGTCACTGCTATGATACTAAGATGGCACCCCAATATGCTAATCTGTTTATGGCAGATCTTGAACAGAGATTCCTAGAAATACAGCATACCAAACCATACAAATATTATCACTATGGCGATGATTTTCTTCATAATTTGGACTGAAAGCAAAGAAAAACTGATACAGTTCCATGACTCTTTCAACACATTCCATCCATCAATCAAACTAAAAATTTTATATTCCACTAGATCTGTGAATTTTCTGGACACCACTGTGACATGTAACAATGGCACAATCCACATCTCCAACCCCACAGACAGGTGCCTTCACAGCTCCAGCTTCCACCCCTCCCATACTAAACAGGGCATAATCTACAGCCAAGCCACTATGTATCATCGCATATGCTCTGATCCTAATGACCGCATTCCCATCTAAATGTACTCTCCCAATCTATGAGACAGGCTACAAACCAAAGACTATTACCAAACAAATCAACTCTGCTGTAAAAACTCCACGTATGCGCCTGCTACAGTACAGAGAGAAAAAATATCTACACAAGCATTACTTGTGGTCACCTACAACCCAGCTCTTGATGAAATATGGAAAATCATTAAAGACCTCAACCAATATTAACAGAAGATGAGACTGAAAAACATTTTCACTGAAACACCCATTTTGGCCTTCAGACAACCACCAAACCTCCAACAAAAATTAATCAACAGGAAGCTACCCAATGATGGGAAGAATAAAGAAAACGGGACCAGTCAATGCAAAAAACCTCGCTGCAAACTGTGACAGCACATATGCACAGACAACACAGCCAGATACAATAAAACCTACATCTTTAAAGGTACATACTCCTGCACATCCAGCAATGTGGGTATACATGATTCATTGCACCAAATGCCACCTAGGATGCTACATTGGGGAAACGACCCAGCAATTAAATGGCAGAATGAATATGCACAGACACTCCATTAAACACCACAAAGAAGAATCCTACTGCACTCTTGTGGGACACCTCTTTACCCAGCCTGGCCACTCAATGAAGGACCTAAAAATCAAAGTACTGAAAGTGGGTTTTATAAATACCCAAGAAAGAAAAACTTTTGAAGCCAGAATTATCAAATTGTTTAACAGCAAGAATAGAGGGCTAAATATTGAATTGGGTTTCCTGTCTCACTACCAACACTTTACATGAACAATCCCCACATTATCTTACTGTTCTGTCATATGTATCAACATTTTAAAATGCATTCCAATATGTTAATTCAATCAATATACAAAATACTATGTGTAGACCTATGCTTTCACATACTCTTATGCATGTATGCTTATATATGTGCATGTATGTATATATATGTGTGTGTGTGTATATATTTATATATACACATATAATACATAAGATCCAGCGCACTCACCTATCCACTAAACAGCAACTTCAGTGTTAAAAGATTTTTTTTTTTTTTTTTTTTTAAACACCTAATCTAGGCAAAAATAACGGGGGGTTTAGTTACATTATATGATCATACATTGCATAAGCCTGCCACAACGTCAGTGTACCCCATCTTTGGCAGGTCCTCCACTAACAGCCTAATGTCTGCTCTTATAAGATTAACCCACTTACTTGGGGGAAAAATTCTATCTGGGGCTCTCTGCAGTACAAGGCTAAATAGGGCCCTGGGATGAGGCACCTGTGTCAGGGAGGGGTGCAAAACCAAGGTGTTGGCTAGACTCCCAAAATAAATAAATATAAATATATATAAATATATATATATATATATATATATATATATATATAGAGATATATAGATATAGATATAGATATATATAAATATCTATATATATATATATATACATATAGATAGATATATATAAATATATATACATATAGATAGATAGAGATATAATATATATGAATGAAGCGGGGCAGGCACTCACCTTAACATGCATAAATGGGGTTGCTGCTCGGGGCCAAATTATACAATACACAAGATCCAGCGCACTCACCTATCCACTAAACAGCAACTTCAATGTTGAAAGATTTTTTTTTATTTATTTTTTTAAACACCTAATCTAGGCAAAAATTATGGGGGTTTAGTGTGTGTGTGTATGTATATATGTGTATATATTTGTGTGTGGATGTATAAATGTGTGCATACATGTATGTATATGTGAATAGGTGTGTGTATATATATGTGTATATATATATATATATATATATATATAATGTATGTACACATGCACCTATTTACATATATGTATGCACACATTTATATATATATATATATATGCACACACACTAAACCCCCATAACACTCTCCCCTTCTAGCACCATATTCTCCCCCACTCTGTGATCTTCACACTCTCCCCTTCTAGCACCATATTCTTCCACCCCCACTCTGTGATCTTCACTCTCTCCACTTCTAGCACCATATTCTCCCCCCCACACGACCGTTTAACCCCTGTATCATAACTCAACTTTGAATTCTATGTGTCGTCTTGCTCAGAAATGCGTTAGACTTGGGAAGGTTCTCCCAAAAGTATATAAAGAGAGATTAGTCTGTTTAATTCCAGTTGTGGAATATGCTGTATGTGTTTAATTATTATCTATACGAAACTATATTCTCATAAATAAGCAGATCTAAACAGGGCTTTTTTTTTTTTACTGAAAATCTAAGTTTGCATAGCACGTGTCTTGTTGGAAAACACATGAGGTTAGTTGCTATTTTTATTTAGCTGATATAATTGTTTGATTTTTTTAGACTTGAAGAATGCAGGATAATGTCTTCTGCAAAGCGGCCACTCTGGTTGAACTGGGAAAATCCAGATATTATGTCAGAGATGCTGTTTCTCAACAACGAGATCATCTTTAAAAATGGAGATGGTGAGTGCACAAATTAAATTTTTGTCATTCTAAAAACACTATAATCAATTCAAGCATCTTCATATACTTTGGGTTTATTTAGCTTTTTGTATAGCAATTTTTTTATATGCTTTAAAACTGGACAGTAATTTTTTTTCCCCTTAAATATTATTTATCTAATGTTGTGCTTCCTATCTTGCATATGCACAGAAGTGTTTTTAAAGACACTTTGGATATGATAGTCTTTATTAAAAGTACGTACTGTACTATAATTCTATAATTATTACTTGAGATGTGGTTTTGGTGCTTAAAGATCATGTCCTTGCAATCTGCAAAATGTAATCATAGCCTTTTCTGATAAATAACAAATGGCAAAGGGTACCATTTGAGTTGTAGGTCCCCCAATGTTCACTTTGAGAATCATTGGATTGGACCAGAGATATTAGATTAATTCTCTTACTGTACGCAGAGCGGCTACCACAATGGGACTTGAATTGCACTGGACTAAAAGAAAGTTTAGCTTGTTTCCAAAGGGACCCCTGAATCTAAATATTGAAAGGAATTTTTTTTTTCTTTGTCAATGAAGATTTGCTATAAAAGGAATTTACAACTTTGTCATGTTTTTTTTTTTGTAGATTTAAGACAAGATATGTTGACACTTCAGATCATACGCATCATGGAAAATATTTGGCAAAACCAAGGCCTTGATTTACGGTGAGTGAAGGAAATTTTAAATGAAAAGTCAGTTGTCCTACAGCAGATAAGGGTTTATTAGCAAACACAAAATGTTACATCTGGATCTTCGGAGGTAATTATTATTAGGCATTCTTGAACCCTAGGGGTTTTTCTATTAAAGAATTAATTATTGCAGATTTGCTAAATTTAGCAGTTTTCCAAATGTTTCACTTTGGCATGTGTGTGTTCACCACAGTTTCTGCGAAGTTACTAAACGTCTTTGACTTTCTTCGGAAGGCAATTTTAAATTTACTGAATTTAAGCACATGCTGACGTAACTACTTCCTGTTTTGGTAACTTCAGCACTTTACTTCTGAAAACTTTAAGGGCTTGTTGTTTTACCTTCTGAAGTAATGTATGACATTTACTTTGGCATATATATTTACATAAATAATGTATGAAATTATCACTATAGAGGATCAATAAGTCTTGTTGGGGAGCTTGCAAAGGCATAACCCACAGAGCATTGGAAAATAATGAATTCCAAAGAACCCTTACTAAAAGAGGGGAAAATGGAAACGAGCAAGGGTAAAGGGTTAAATAAACCAAAAAAATACCACAACTAACTAATGAAAAAATAACATTTATTTGTAAAGGATAACTTATGCCTAATTCTAAAAGGATATATTGCAAAGCATATAGCCTCCTAATACCACAGGCTGGATCTCCAATATAAGGCTGTTTCTGAGAGTGCTACCATGACTTAACCACTTCTTTATCTTGCATAACTCGAGGCTCTCCTATCAATGTGTAAAGAGTCAAAGGTAGCTTTGCAATTACACATTCCAAAAAATCAAATGATAGCTAGAGACTCCTACAGACAAATCCCCACTCACAGTGAAAAATGAAAAACAACTAAGATACCAGACGCGCGTTTCAGCGCCTCTGTGCACCTTTATATTTTCATAGCGTGTTGAGTTTAAGGAACTCTTCAAAGTATGAGTGAAATGACAAAGTTTAAGTAATAAATATTTTGTGCTGTACTTCAGTAGCGCGACATACTCAAGCAGTAGCATTACAATAATTGGTAGTACAGAGAGGAGGCACCCTAAATAAACAGAGGTAACGATTTATACTTGTTCCATCCTTTACACATAGGCCTTATCTACAGGGTGCAGCAGAACCGATTAAGCAGTTTTGAGGGGTTATAAAAAATTAACTGGGGTATATAGAGAAAAACTGTTTTTATTTTTGAATTCAGCAGTAAATACCATTTTATATTCATTAAATTTTGAAAATAATGTCCTCGAGAAGGCGGCCATTAGCAACAACACAATGTTGGAGATGATCTCTGAAGTTTTGTACAGCTCGTTCACACATATCGGGTGTATGGTGTTAACTTCTTCCATAATCTGCTCCCTTATTTTGAGCCTAGTAGTGGATATTTTGTCTATTCACAGCTCCACTGAGATGAAAATGTACCTCGTCGCTACTAAAGAAAGCTGTTGCAGGAGGGATCTGTGCAAGCATTTGCTCACACAGATTTCTGCGGTTGGCGTGATCTGCTACACTCAATTCCTGAGCCAACATCAACTTGTAGGGATGAAACTGCAAATCTAAATGAAGAATCCTCCTCAGACTGCGGTCTGACATTCCCAAAGCAACAGCATGCTGTCGAGCAGAAAGTTCTGATAACTGCTCAATTGCCGCTCTTAACAGCAGAATTGTGTTCGCATTAGAAACTGCGGCGTTGCTCGGAATGTTGAACCGTCACCAAAAAGCTCTTTGCGTCGCGATCACAGACTGGTTGTTTTCTAAGTATGCTTGCACAGCAAAGCCTCAACTTACTCCGGTCCAAACCATATTGGCTACTGAAAGGGGTGATGGACGGAACACAATGAGACCGGATGCAACTGCCTCCCCCTACCACAGCTTGAGCATTAACCCCTCAAAGCTGCTTAATCGGTTCTGCTGCACCCTGTATATACTGAAGAGACTTTTTAGTAATGTTTGCAACCTTGTATTTGATAGTGGAAAACAAGTTCTAAATGAGACCTCAATAGGCATATAGTAAATTATGGTAAAAACAAGATGTTCTTTTAATTAACTAGAAAATAAAGTGGCCAAGGAAAGGCTTAGTATTGTTTCTTAAAAGTGCAGTACAATCATAAAATCCCAATCTCAAATTTAGTAAAATGTAAAAATTTCCTTTAATTCAGGATGTTACCTTATGGTTGCCTATCAATTGGAGACTGCGTTGGACTTATTGAAGTGGTGCGATGCTCCCATACAATTATGCAAATCCAGTGCAAGGGTGGCTTAAAAGGTGCATTGCAGTTCAACAGTCATACGTTACATCAATGGCTAAAGGATAAAAACAAGGGTGAAACGTAAGTTGTTTTCATACATTCATGTTTGAGAATAAGGATTTTGGTTGATAATTTAGAAAATATGCATTTACATACCTTTGATGACAGTAGTATTTCTGACCAGATCTGTTTTTAACTTTTTATTGTGCTAGCCAAATCACTAGCAAAAGAATAGGTTAAATTATATTCTTGAGGTTGCTTCTGGTCTTTCAAGCAGGCACTGACCACATCTAGGTGCACTCATGGGACTTTTGGCACCATCCATTGCTGTGGGTTTTTTTTTGGGGGGGGGAAGGAGGGTTATTAAAAACAGTGCAGTGTGAGTGCTGCAAAATGCATTGGCAACATACTTTAAAGGTTTAAAACGAGAGCCTGCATTCACAAGCAATATTGATATATCCATATATAGATTAAGGCTGTCTCATTAAAAGTATTGTTGGCCAACTTACCTTTTAAAGAAATTCTATTAAATAGCAGAATGACTTAATTGCAAGTTATTTTGGATTGATATATATATATATATATAGATATAGATATATATATATAATTTGTTTGTGCGTTTAATATAAACTGTTGCACACCGTGAAAGTACGTGATGTATAAAAGAGTAGCATAAACAAAGATATTTCTTGCACCCATAACAAATACTGCCAGGGTCTGTGTGCAGTGTGACTTCTCCCACTACCTTATAGAAAATTATTCTAACAAAAAGGAACAAAACATGCAATGTATAATAGACCAGCATTGTTTGATTTTTTTTTTTTTTCTTTTCTTAAACTGTTTGCATTTGCCATGTGTATAAAGGTTGACCATTCCTCTTAAAAAAAATAATAAAAAAAAATGATAAATTTAAATTCTAGAATGTTGTGGCCTTTATTGTCATAATAGCTACTTGTGGCTGTATATTTAATATGTATTTTTAAGCGCTCTCAAGCTGCTGTTGATTTAGCGTTTTTCATGAAACTCAACCTTACATCCCAGCCTAGGCTGGACGAGAATCATGCAAATTGAATTTACTGAAAACATAGACTGTGTGTGCTGTATTATTATTATTTTGCAAACAAGCAATGGATTTTAAGCTGGACATTTCAGCAAATAAAATTCTACCTCCCTAAATTATTTACAGAATATTATTATTGCCAAAGGGTTTGTTCCTAACCGCACACATTTTATTTCCTAGGTGGCTTGATTTCTTCAAAAGTTTTAACACATTTTTCCTCTGTTTTTGTTGCCAAAATATCTGCCATAAATATTTCATGTGTCTGCCATTCCTCTGCCATTAGATATGATGCTGCCATTGACTTGTTCACTCGATCATGTGCTGGTTACTGTGTTGCAACTTTTATCCTTGGAATAGGTGATAGACACAACAGTAACATCATGGTTAAAGACAACGGGCAAGTAAGTCAAAACTTAATGCAGTCTTTTATCAGTTTGTTCTGATTTGAATTTCACATCTTTCAATTTTTTTTTTTGTTTTTTTGCTCGTTAAGCTGTTTCACATAGATTTTGGTCACTTCCTGGATCACAAGAAGAAGAAATTTGGCTACAAACGTGAGAGGGTACCCTTTGTGTTAACTCAAGATTTTTTGATTGTCATCAGCAAGGGAATTCAAGAATGCACAAAAACTAGGGATTTTGAAAGGTAAAAATTAATTAAAAATCAGTTATCTGTACTGTCAAATGTATTTGCGCTCATTAAATTAGTGAATTTGGTCAATTGTTTTGATCAAAATCAGCTTTACTGTATCTCATTAAAATTTAATGAAAGTGGAAATAAGTTTCACTTCCAGATAGGATCAACATGAGTTTGTAGTAATATTAAATGGTATAATGTAATATTATAAAGACATATGCTAGATTCACAAAAAGTTTAGTTTATGTAAAAGCTTTAATGCAAAAGGAGGGAACACACATAGCTACATCAGCTAAAGATGCGGAAAAAGTGCTCATTATTAAATACTCTAAAAGATCTGTGGGTATGTATCAAACAGTATGCATATATGTCTTATAAATAAATTAAATGGAAATAGAAATATAGGACACATATACATATACTATTCAAGTATTACCTGCTATGTGGGTATCATACATATCCAATACAAGATCCAAAGCAATATTGTGAAGCCCCCACCATTTCAGCAACAGCTTTTTTAAAAGAAAGAATCTTTGAAAGGACCACTCCACAGGTCTTTAGTAGATATATCCCCAGTGAATTCATGCATGCATATTTTTATGCATGTATTCATTGTGAGTATAGTCAAAAATAGATTAAAAAAGCTGCAGTTCTTGGGACTGCAGCCTTTGTAAGCCCCTCCCCTTTTTCCTGGAAGAAACTTTCAGTCTCTTCACAGGAAAATAACCAATCAGAGGCTTCTCACTAAAAAGCCTCTGAAATGGTCTTCACATGTGCCGACTCGTGCAGATGCACACACCCCTCCACGTGTGCCCTTGAGTCTGAGGAGCTGATCTAAAGGTCTTTGAGGGAGAGGCAGGAACACTTAAGTGGAGTGTGGGAGCTAACAGAAGTATGAAGGAATCCTCCCTGGCTGTTTGTTTGACATAGAAATCAGCACTTTTATAAACTGGGGTTAAATGTAAGCTAAAGTGCTTTTGGGATGCGGAGTGGTCCTTCAACAACTTTAAACATCTCCATTAAATATGGAGACTTTCACTCAAGCAGGTAACTCCATCTTGCCAATTCTAAAAAAGGACAGATGTCCTGTTGCTGATGTTGGCATAATTCATTGTATAAGATAGCACATTTAAACATGCAAGTAATGTTTTATGAAATGTAATGCAGACAAATAAGCAAATATGTTCAGTAAATGAAATGCAATGTCAGGACAGGTTAAACAATTTTATAACATGCTACTTTTTTATGTTTTGTTTTTTCTTAATCATAGAAAGTTTTAATCAAATTTCATTGGTTTCTTCACAGTATGCAACTTGTTTGAGATGATGCCAAAATATAACCCCTGATTAGGAAAAATATATAATTGTACCCCTTTGTGCACGGTTAATTGTAAACATTGTCACTTTTATTTTTACAACGATCTGCTAGCATGAAGGCCAGAATTGCTCTATCTTGTCTTATGACAATGTACATTGTTATAAGAGCTTGCAGCAAATGTAGTTATTTCAGACCCAGAATTCTTCTTTATAAATTTATCCTTTTTCTAGTCGATTAAATGAACACTCTATTAAAAAAAATAATAATTTAGATTCCTTGTCCCCACTATAATAGAAAAAACAAAGCATCGGGCATCTACATACTTTGCATCCTGTTTGTGGACAAAAATTTAATTTGTCAGCCACTAGATACGCAGAGATTGCAAAATGCAATTGGTGCAGTTTCTTAGAAATTGCATTTTTATTTGCGAAGGCAGCTTCTGTATCCCAAAATCACTTCATTGTGATGAAGTAATTTTGTTGTTTAGTGTCCCTTTAATGCAGTCTGTATTTAGGAAGTCCTTCTTCAATGTGGCATATATTCATTTAAAAATAAGTGATGGCTGTTATTTACTAGTGTATGATTCCACCCTTTGTAGGTTTCAAGAAATGTGTTACAAGGCTTATTTGGCAATTCGTCAGCATGCCAACCTGTTTATCAACCTTTTTTCCATGATGCTTGGATCTGGAATGCCTGAACTGCAGTCTTTTGATGATATTGCCTACATACGAAAGACATTGGCCTTGGACAAAACTGAACAGGAGGCTTTGGAATATTTCATGAAGCAGATGAATGATGCCCACCATGGCGGCTGGACAACAAAAATGGACTGGATCTTCCACACAATAAAGCAACATGCTTTGAACTGAACAGAGAGCTGAAAAGCAAACTGAATTCATGCTTAATGGTTCCCTGCACTGTTCGTGTGGACAGCCAGCAAAGCCCAGTGGAACAGGAATTGCAAAAACCATGAAGAGCATTAATATCACAATAGCAGCTACAGAAAGTGTATCAAACCATTAGTGCTAACAGGGTCTACAACAACACTGCGGTGTGGTTTTCAAAAGATATGCCTTAAACCCAAACAGAAGGCTAAAACACCTAGCATGTGTTTTAGCTGCCAATGTAAATGGTTTCAATCTATTTGATACAAATAGACCTTTGGCATTGAAAACTATTTTTCTGATTCCCAGTTGTGTTTTGGGATGCTGATTGTGACCCGTGATGCAGTAAGAGTGATACGACAAAACCAGAAAGGAGGGAAGTACCCTTCACACATGCCTCTCAGTATTGTTTGACTACAATGCAACAATGCATTTTTAGACACGCTTTTTAGGTGATCATTTGTTTTATGAATTAAGAATTGATTCCGTGTAAGCATTGTAAGAAGCATAGCCTCAGTTCTGTCATTTTCCAACACATTTGTTTGTTTGTTGCCTGATAAAACATTGCTCCATCTAGGATAAACAACTTTTATACTTTGCTTTATATTTTTAATGGGCAGTCCTAGAGTAAAGCTGAACTCTTAGCCTGGTGATCTAATGTAAGACATAGGAGCAAAATATGCCTTCCTGTAGTAGGGTGACTTTCCAAAGTGTGGTGAATTGATGGTAGTGTGGTCACTACTAAAGCCAACATTACTGTCCTGCTATTCTATTGCTTGGTGCCAAACAATAACACTATTAATTTAATTTCCACAGTGAATCTGTCCCTAGTTTATCAAATAATCTCTGAGCTACATGAGACATACAAACTTTTTTATGACCATAAGCTCTAGTCTACCAAAGTCCACTTAAGGAAATATTAAGTAGTAGTAAGTACCAATATTCTGCACAAATCAATTGAGTACTACTGACAGTGTGTAGACCCATTGTTCACTGTTCTCTTTTCAGTCTTTTCCCTTTTTGTTTGTTTTTTCTTTTTATTGACCACTCTCTCTATTCGTCCTCTTAGACTATTCCCTTTTTCCTAAAATCTGCATTTTCATATGAAATATATGCCGTGGGGGGAGGGGAGAAACAATGCTAAAAAGTACTGAATGCGCAAAGAGATACCCCGATATAGATCATATCTAAGAGGATGCACTGTGTGAATCTACTTGAAAACTAATTCTCATGATTTTATATAATACATATATTTCTACAAATAAGCTCATAGAGATTCAAGGTTCTTAAATTGCTGCTATGTCTATTTAATTGATTATTCAGAATAGAGAGGATATATGAGTGACTATTTGGATACAGGTTACAATGTTTAGTAGGACTCTCAATGTAGCAAGGATAAAAAAAAAGAAGAAATTTAATATCTTACTAGTAGGTATTTTGATTGTTAATTAACAGTCTAATCAGCCATTAGATGGCAGTACATCTTCTTTCATTACTCTTTTGAAATTATTTAGATGCGTGTAAATAAATACTAAAGATCTGGGAAATCTCATCTCATCCGGTCTAATACTTCAAAATTCAAATGTCATCTATATGATGGAAACTGACAATAATATATAAAAAATGGAGGGAAGCTGCCAATGTATGGGCTAAAAAGAATATGGGCATAATTTGCAAAATAATGGAAACCAAGGTTATAAGAAATCAGAGCCTTGATCAGGGCTCTCGATCAAGCAGTTACTAATTCCCAAAGATTTAAAAAAAAAAAACAGCAGTTTCTCTTATCTTGAAAATAAACTTTAAACCGACTTAAAAAGATACAACAATGGCTTTTAATGATGACCAAATATGGATTTGCATATTTTGTATTATACTATGACTTAACTCTCAAAGGAAACCCCTCTGTTAATTACTATTGGGAATTGAATCCTTCCTTCTTGAGGGTCTTGACAATTGCAAATTCCAAATCGGAATTTTTTTTTAATGTTTTCTCACTGGGAATATTTACATTTTATGCACTCTTGAAAATGCATAAGGACAAAAATAACCCTAGAGGATGCTCCATTGTCTCTAGCAATGATAATCTTACCCAAAATCAGCAAACATGTCGATCACATATTAAGTACCATGGTGGAAGAGCTACCCTTGTATCCGTGTGATCCAAAACAGGCATGGGATTTCTTCAATATTCCTTTTTATTGATTACAATCGGGGGTTCTCTGCCAATTAACTTTAGCCCTCCAATCTGCAGCTATATGGGATCTTATTACAGTGTCCCGTCTATGGATGCTAGATGTTGATTCAACATCCTCACTGTATATAATTTTAAAACTCACTAAGCTTTATTAATTGTTTTCCTTTTGTTTGATCTACCAAGGCTTAGGATCATGATTTCTTGTTATTAATTATGTATTAACCATGTAATTTTGGAATGTATACAAGTTGTATATATTGGTTGTATTAATACTAATACACAAAAATCATTTAGGATGGTCAATTACTGAAATATTAGATTACTGTGTTTTCCCTGACTTTCATTCACCAATATATCGTGTACTCGATCGAGAAAAAGAACTCCTATTAATTGTACACACATTGTCACCATATTGTGCTTAATTAAGGGTACAATTTTGATATATATTGTATATTTACTTCTCCTGATTATATAGGAGGACATATTCATTTAAGCCCATTCATATGCTATCTGTATTATCTGTCTGTAGGTTGGATATGTTAGGATACTGGAGCTTTACAATATAGCTTTCACTTTTCTATATCAAATATAATTGAGAGCTATACCCATTTTAGTCCACAGTTGAACTGAGACGTATTAATTATAAGGAACAAAGTGCAAACTAATTTAGTTTAGCAGATCTGATTAGATGGCTACGGCTCCACCATATGTTTAATTTGTAAGTTGCATTAAATCATCCCTTGATTCACTCTAATACCTTAACCAATCAGATCAACGGACATCCATTTAATTTACGAGAATCGCTGATCATCTTTCAGCACTACTCTGAATGATTTATCGACTTCAAAATCAATTTCCAGAGGCTTCACTGAGCAGTGCAAGTAGGAAGGGGTTTTAGGGTTAGGAAAACAAATTATATACATTTCAGCATCAAGCCTTAATCATGTATACAAAGTACTAGACAAAAAACTATATATACCATATATACCTGTGCTATAAGTAAATGTCACACAAACATATGTCTAAATGAGATCATCTGACTAGAAATAAGGATTACCCGGGGGTGTACATCAGACTAAGTAGGCATAATGCAATTGCAAAAGCAGAAGTTTACCCCTGTGCATTTTCCTAGTCCTACAACCTTTTAAGGAGTTGCAATCCCTTATATTGGAGAGCGCTGATATACTTGTAAAACTCTGCAATATCCAAGTTAATGCCTTTGCATTCTGTTTACCTGTGATCTATCCAGTCTACACACATGATCTCCTCACAGGTGTGGTATTTCTGCATTACTGCAACTCTTATCCAACTTCACACTAGATTCCTGTTCCATTGATTTCCTCTTAAGTGATCTCATCCCTTACTCATAACGACTCTGTTTGACGACGTTGTGTACTGACAAGTGAAGGACACTGCGATGGGATCACTTTGAGACTACACATACCTACCCACATGAACTCTTCAGAGCTTTTCAGAGCCCATGTTAAGATCTGCTGGCACTACATAGATGTAATTAATCAGTAAGCAAGGTTATTTCACTATTCTAATGGATTTAATGAAGTCTATTATAGAAATTAAGCCATGTAATGTATTTCACTAATATATCACCATCTACTGGCTGATTTAGGGTTTCTGTCAATTCCATTCACCATACCAATACCCACTAGTAAGATACTGCTTCTTCTTTTTTGCTACATTGAGAGTCCTAGTAACAAATCGGTATCTAAATAGTATTTTTCTCACATTTCCTCTCTATTATCAGTGAAATATACATAGCAGGATTTTGAGAACCTGGCCTCTCTGTGAGCTTATATGTAGAATCCTATATATTATAGAAATTCACATGAATTATATGTGAGAATTGGTGTTTCAGTGGATACGCATTGAAGATATTCCCTTAGATGTGATTTTATCTAAGTATCACTTTGTTAGGGGTGTATCTACTTTCAGTACTTTTTTTTTTTTTTTCCTTCATTTGAATTTGTGGGTTATGTCCCTTATGGGAAGGTGAAGGGCAGCTTTTTTTTTTTTTTTTTCTTCTCAAACAGAATAATTATTTTCCACCCACCATATCAGCTCTCTTCAAAATCCTTCATCTCATTTGCTATCTCCAGCATTATATCCATTTCCTTTTCTATATCAGTCCCTTGTGTCTCCTCTCTATATTTGTAAATTTCTTCCTGCCCCTCATTCCTCATCAGTATTAGCTGCATTTTTACTCTGTTGTGCAGAAGCAGGCAAAAGACCAGTATAGTGCTAGATGTTTACTTGTTTACTGATCCCAACACTGTGATAGGATACCTGATAAATATGTAATGGCACATCAAGCACCATCGCATAAAGCATTTAATTGACACTCCAAGGTTGCTGGCCAATCAGGAGGCAGACATTAAATGCCACTATTGGAACCTTGTGCCTTAGGTTTACCATCACTGATGTAGAGCCTCACCCTGCTACAGAAAAGAGTTCTAGCCCTACCGTGTAACAGTGGATTGCCAGGTAAATATTGCTTTTTAATTTTATAATTGTGTTTTTCATATTATCATTTGAGTGTCCGTGAGACTGCATTACACTACCCTCTGGCACTTAATGTCCATCATGTATAGCCTGTAAATGTTGGGGGTTTTTTTGTTTGTTTTTCTTGAGCCTCATCACCTTCATGTGTTAGGAATTCAGTTATGTCATACATTTTTCCTCAAGTACTGCACTGTCAGACCAGCTGGCATAGATATTTTTACATTATCAGCTTAATCCTATGACAAATGCCGCTCTTCTTATAAATGTATTTTTGTAGTTTTTATTTTCTAGGCTATTTTAGAGATTTTTTTTTTTTTTTTTTGTCAAAGCGTAGTCCTATCTACATTTTTGTAACAATTTTCAGCCAAGCCCCTTTTTAATTTTTTTTTTTTTTCTTAAGGTGATTTAAAGGGTAATCTGTATTCACTTTAAAGTACATGGATGGCATGGGATGATATTTTTTTATACTATGTACATACATGTGCATATGTTTGCCATTTTGATCTGTTTTAATTTTCTGGATGTGTGTAAATAATGTGCCTCCCTCCTCCCCCAAAAAAAAAAACTTATCTATATAGATATATAATTATATATTAATATGATATGATTTGCACACAGATACATCCTTATATTAAGTTATATATTGTTTTAACAAGTGAAAGCACAGATATATTCTGTAGTGAGCCATTAAGATGCATGCTCTGTAAGAAAACTCCCAAAATATAGTGTAGCTTTGCCATTGTGCATCCATTTTAATTTAATCATGATACATGGCCCTGTTTTACCATGCTCTTGTCCAGTCCCATTCTGATTCCTAATAAAACACTACAAGAGTTTTGGTGTTCTCAAAAAGCCTCACAGTCTACTTTTTCGCTAAGCACGTATACTCGCAGATATGTTTATTACCATAGCAATAGTTGCAACCACTATAGATGTGGGATACCAGATACTGATTACTGTTTTTCCCTCCAAAATGTGAATCCACTAAATAAAATGAAAATATATGTATGATGTATGTACGTGTGTGTATATAACATACACACCCACATCTACAATGGTATTCACATTTCATATGAATGAGTAGTGCAATTATGTTTAAAGCTTTGTGTCAATGCAATAAGCAGGTAGCCTGGCCTCTTGATACACCGAATTGTGTAGTCTTCCCATTTTCTTCTAAAGCATGTATAACAGGCACTACTTAACCAACACCTTTGAGGGTTGAGAAGTGTTTAATAGTAGAGGTTTGTTTTTATCTTCTGTATGTATTTTTTTTTTTTTATATCTTTGATTTTCACAGGAGCAAGGGACAAGGCATATGTAAAGAGCTCTACACACAGTACTCAGTTATTTAACAGCTATTAAAAAGCCATGATCCTCCGATCTTCTGGGAATAATTGTGATGTCAATGTAATGTTTTAATGTTTTCTTTTGTTTGTTTGGGTTATTAATATTCTCTTACTGTAGTTAATTGAATTTCCCTTTAAGTGCAAGAGTTCATCTTTGATGTTTGAACACAATTGCACTTATCATCACTGGTGTAGATGAGGGGTGAGGAAATGTCCTGCTTTACATTTTCTAGTTATTTGAAGTTAAAAAAAATAATCGATGCAATGCAAAGAAAAACAATAAATCAACTGTACCTTGTCTACGTTGTATTGAAAAGTCTGGTGCATTATTATGTGCTAGCCCTTAACAAACGTAGACCAAAGTGACTAGAAGCACAGATTTTTGAAAAACATAGGAAAAGTGTTTTAAAATTAACACATTAAATGCGATCTAGAATTATTAATGCAAAGCATTGTTACATATATTGCAGTATGCTAAAAATTTCAGTGCTTCAAGGTTATATGTATGTGGATTCGATCTTTATTTTAACAGGTTTATGATATTCCTACGCTGTAATTTTTTACACCTTTTTGCACCTTCTCCTTGGGATATGATGTGCAAGAATGAGTGAAGGGGAATGCCCATTATATAAAGTAATATGACTTTTCATTCAGAGTCAGAATATCAGAGACTGTCCAAATATTCAATTTTATTTATGTATTCATTCAGGTTGAAACAAATGTGCAATATGGGCCAGTGATGCTTAACTTTGTTTCTTCTTATGTTTGTTAAATAAATCTCCCGGGGTACTGTGGGTCTTGGGAAGTTGTTTTTAACGAACATCTGCAGTTTAAAGGTTGCCATCATTAGGTTAGGCACTGACTCTTAGTGGAAGATTAGAATATTATTGAAAACTTGCCTTGGTGCACTCTAGTTCTTAGAGTTATGTACACTTGTATTTATTTTTAATTTTTTTTGTAATGTAATTAAACTTTGCAAAGTATTGTGTACAGTACATATAACAAGGGCGTGTGTTAAGAAAAAGCAATTTGGTGAGCTTTTCTGTACACTTTTGCCATTTCAAAGTCTCTTGATGCAAATCTGTGATTTCTATAATGGAGTTACTTAAAAGGGGGTGTTGACTTAAATGTATAATGCAATTCTTATTACTAAATAATTTGTCAAACCCTCCAGAAAATAATATGCACCTTTTGTTACCATGTGAAAGATTTCTAAATGCTGTGTAATTGTAATGTTTACAGTAAATTACCACCTGCTTCCATTTAAATTTAAGTTGTACTCTGACTTTTCCCAGTGCTAGGTTAGTCCACAATGCACATGCCAACCAAATAAATGTAGAAAGGTAAAGCATGAAGATACACACAGGGTACAGCGCAATACCCAAGAACTGTTAATGCAATGGAACCCAACCCTAGGTTTTTTTTTGTTTGGTTTTTTTTTTAGGTTTTTAATGGATATTCCCTGCTTTTATCACATGTTTAGCCAGCATGACTAAAAAAGACTGCTTTGATATGCACATGCTTATGTGAGAAGATATTTAAGGACTAATTTTTCTGGGAGTGTCTCTGAGATTGGAATGGGGGGACCACAGCTCTGATAAATACGTTCTCCTCCGGAGAAAGAAGACATTGAAGTGAGCTGGTGAAAATAACACTTTTTAGCTATGTTTGTGTCTAGATTTAGAGTTCATCCCAGACAGTGGCACATTTGATAATGTTTTTGAAGCTGTGATATTTGGGAACAAAGTGTTGATTAGGTCATGTTGTCCATATATTACTTTACATGTAGCTGTTTAGACTGTGGGGTTAATTAAGAAAATAACATGCTATTCTACAACGTTTTCATGAATATCTCATCATATTGCAGAGGTTGTCCCATAATTGAACTTCTAGGTGTTGTTGGTCTGTATTTCCTAGAATTATGATAAATATGGTTCATTGGAAACTGAGGGGCCCAGAGGCAAAGATCTTGTGTACTTACATTTGTGGGAATGTTATTACTCTCCCCATACACAAGTTTAAATAGGATTCATTGTATGTTTTTTTTAAATCATTCATAACAAAGCACTATAACACTGTTAAAATATTTAACAAAATATAAATATTTTGATGTCCCTCTCCGTGACAAATGACTTAATGTTTTAGTGGTTGTTGCCATTTCCCTGTGATTCATCCATGGAAGGTCATAGCTCTTCATAGCTACCTCATCTGGATAAATGCATGTCTGTGCTAAAAGAAATTATGATCATAGACCATGCAGGTGCTATATTGAATGCAGGAAGAGCTAAAAGATGAAGTTGTAAGTAAGTAGTGCATTTATAGAACATGCAATGACCGGGCTGTGTATCATTGCACCGTCAATGTCTTGATATTTTCCTAATAAGAGGAGATGATCCTTCATATGCTGTGGAGAAATGCTTAGCACTTTGAAGTTCTCATATGTCAACTTTCCTCAAACTGTGTGAAGGTATTGAATATTTGTGTATATGGCCATGTTTTAATAGTAAAGCGGCACTGTCACACTGAACTTTCTCCAATTGTTTTCTCTTCCTTTCTCAGTTTCTGTACTTTATTTCTGATCTAGTTTTCTTTAAAACATAATATAGAGTAGGGATTTATATAGCGCAAACATATTCCTCAGCCCTGTACACAGTAAATGGAGCGGACCTCCTCCTTTGGTCAATGAAAGTCAGGTGTAGGCAAAATACATAAGACAAAGTAGTCCCTACCAGTGGTGTATTTTGGATTTGTGCTGCCCTAGGCAGGACGGTGCTCGGGCACCCCCTCTATATCTACATTTTCCCCACCCCTTCCTGTCAAGGCCGCACTTTGACTGACACACACTTTCTTACTGATGCATTCAATGACATACACTCACTAAAAGATAGTCATTGGAACACATACTGTTTAACCAACACACACTTTGACAGACACACACACACTCTCACTGACAGACACACTCTCATATACAATGACATACACACAGATTCACTGATTTGACACACTCTGACAGACACACAATTACTCAGACACTCACTGACCGACTCGCACACACGACAGGTGCACACACTCACTGACAGACAGACACGCTCATTGACTGACACACACATTCACTCACAGACAGACACACACACATTCACTTACAGACACACACATTTCCCCAAACACTCTCAAATTATTATTTTATTTTATTTATTTATTTTTAAATTTAAATCCACCCAGCCTCCCTGGGGGAGCTGGAGTGGATTACTTACCTGCGGTCTAGTGGGGCTGCTGCACGGGCAGGCAGGGAGTGGACAGACAGATTAGGCAACGAGGGAGCTCAGCTCCCTTGCGCGCCACTTAGTGATGCCGGAGTGACATCATATTCCATCTCCCGGCTTCATTAAGTAGCGAGGGAGCTGAGCAGGAAGAGCTCAGGTGAGCATGCTTCCTCGCCGCCTGCTGCGATAGAAGCTGCCATCCACCTGGGTTGGCTCAAAAGTGGCCAGCCGGCCAGCTTTTGAGCCCGCTGGACACAAGGCATCCGCTTTTTTTGCCGCCCCCTGCAAAGTGCCGCCCAAGGCAAATGCCTTGTTTGCCTCATGTAAGATACATCGCTGGTCCCTACTATACATAAAGTTCCTTTATACATAAGCTAAAGTAGTCCTGCCCCCCGATCATGTTGCGTTGTGCAAGTGTACAGATCAAATAAAAGAATAATCACTGAGTGGTATCTAAGCAAAGGCTGCTCACATTTTAATTTTGTAATTGAAGAGCAACTTAGCCCAGGTTTAATTAAAAGTGAATGTAAATTTGTTCTAAAAGAAAAGCAGGCCACTTTACAGTATGAAGATTCAGATTTTTTTTTTTAATCGACTAAGATTCATACACCCATGCCCCTTGAATGCCTTTTTTTAATATTTAAAATTTTAATAAAACTGCATGTGTGCCCAATTTTTCAGCTTCCATTTGTACATTTGGACAATAACGCAAACTAAGACAATAGAGGTGTGGACGAGAATACTAGTTGCCATACCTGCACAAGTATGAAGCTCTCAACACCAAAACATTGAGAATGTTCCTTAATGCCTTCCTCGGCTTTCCAGTAATAAAGTTGTAATGTTTGTATCCTAGCTGTTGCCAAGTGACTGGTTTGATTAAAACACAGGATCACAGAAAGAATGTATTGGGTAATATGCTTAATTTAGCATCAGCTTCTAGGGAGCAGTATCCGAGAGCAATGATTTTTTTTTTTTTTTTTTTTTTTAAAGAAAGGGATAGAATGTAGTTACACAAAATTGCAGTTTTGTGTCAATGGCAGTTCTGAATAAAAGTTGAGCTCTCTCCATGGAAACAAGAGTAGTGTTTATACAGTTAGTTTCACTTTAGATTTTTGCCTATTATATATTTTAATGCTCATCAGGGTATATCCACATGCAAAAAACAAACACAGACACATATTTAAATTACCAAAACACCCTTGGGATTAATGCACTTTAATTTCTGTCAGGCTAAACTGCTTGCTAGAACACTGCTCTTATAGTTGTTTAAGAGGGTTGACTGTATGTATTGTTGCTGTATGGCAGACCTATTAATAGGAATATATAAAAGTCACATGTTGGATTTAAGTGCAAACTGTGTTCTTTTAATAATCTAACCATCTCTTGCAGGACAGATATTGTAAGTGACATTCTAAGCAACATAACTACTGCAGCTCTGTATGGCAGTTATGCAGGTCAATCTTTGTCCCCCTGGTTTTATTCCAGACCGATAAGTAGAGATGGTCCCCACATTACTGTTATGTGTGATGTCCATTTTATTCAAGCAAGCTAGACAACACTGGCTGAAAGAAGTGGGATATCTTACCCCTGCCGCTCTCAGCCAATCACTGTCATCCAGGTCAGATGAAATTGACATTGATGAACGCTAATGTGTTATTTCCACATTCTCACTGCAGTATTGGAAGGGAACTTGATTGCATTTTAAAGCCGAAGAGGGAAGAGCCCTGCTTTTTGTTTTGGCTGTTGTTTCCCCAAACTGCTTTTATCCAATTGTACAGCGCTACGGAATTTGTTGGCGCTATATAAATAATAAAATAATAATAATACAGTTTGACATAAAACCAAAAGATGTTGCCCCAAACTCTAGGCAACATAACCACTAAACCAGGTGGAAGTTATGTTGCTTAGAATGTACCTTTATCTTGCTAGTAATTCTCAAACCTTCTAATGTTAGATACCAGAGTGTGTGCTCAAATGTGTTTGTGATTACCAGCAATGTCTGCATAGCATGTTGAAATTATAGGTTTAGTTCCCAGCCTTTGTGGTTTCTGTAACGGAGAAAATTGGTGCTTTTCAGTTGGCTGTTAATGTCAGTACGTACTTGAAACACTTTTAGATGCTAAAAGTACCCAGAATTTTAGATAACTTGATATTAAAAGGGACACTATAGTCACCAGAACAACTACAGCTTATTGAATTTGTTCTGGTGAGTAGAATCATTACCTTCAGGCTTTTTGCTGTAAACACTGTCTTTTCAGAGAAAATGCAGTGTTTACATTACAGCCAGTGATGATTACACTGGCCACTCACCAGATAGCTGTTAGAGCTCCTTCCTGGCTCATGGTTGCCTTAAATGCATCCAAACATTCAGTGTATCCACCCTCTGCATGCAGACACTGAACTTCCCTCATAGAGATGCATTGATTCAATTAATCTCTATGAAGAGATGCTGATTGTCCAGGGCTGTGTTTGAATTGTGCTGGCCCTGCCCCTGATCTGCCTCTTTGTCGGTTTTAGCCAATCCTATGGGAAGCATTGTGTTTGGATCAGGCTGATACCAGCAGGCAGTGGGCAGGTCTAAAGGAAACAGGGACAAAGTAAGTAGCTGCAAACTTGAATACAAGTAAGATTTTACTATATTTAGGGGGGCAGCGGGGCTAGATGGTGGTTTTAACCCTACAGGGTCAGGAAAACATGTTTGTGTTCCTGACCTTTTAGTGCTCCTTTAATTACTGTGTGTATAAAATGCATACTGCATACAAAACATGCCTACACACATTAATGATTTAATAAATATATTACAGGCATACTAGATTTTGGAACTTAATTATGTTTGCTTGTAGCCTGACCCGAGAAGCCGTCATCAAAGAGCGTTTACTGAAACCTTAATTTTGATTGCCAATATTCCAAGATGTTCACTAATGGATATGTTCAAAGAACCACTGCTTTGATTCAGTGCTGCAATCTGGGGTGTATTGCATTTTTGGACCACTAGATGTCGCTCAAGGGAATTTGTTCTTTACAGGCTTATTGTCATGAGGAAATCATTGAGAATGTATTTACATATTTTTGTTTCTGCAATATTCTGTAGCTAACTCTCTACATTTATTGGTTTATTCACTCTAATTAAAAGCAATATGTGTTTCTAAAATTTTGTAATGCAGATATTCGTAAACAAATATTAAATGCCATGCATTCTTCTGTGCAACACTATGTTTACAAATAATGTATGTTTTAGCTTTAACCTTACAGCTGTATCACCATCACATTCACTATGTATTGAGTTTGTATTAGTTTAGTGAAGGTCGTACGTTGATCTGGTGACCAGGCCAAGCTTCCTTTATGTAATTCTCAAACTTGCTTTTCACATATAGTGAGTGAATGACATTTGTTTTATGTGACTTGAGTACTTCCTTTCTATACTTTGTAGTGCATGACCTAATAACCAAACTGCTTTCTGTGACATACAAGCCTAATTTACAAATATGTATTGGGAGTGCCTTACACATGACACTGATGACTATATGAATGCAGGCTTTCCAATGTGTTGTTCATGTGAACAAGAACCAACAATATTGTGTAGATGTTGAAGGGTTATCATTAACATGACAAGCATATAGGTGAATATTTCAGGGTTTTTTTTTTTCTGTGTTGGACAGTTGCCGGATACATAGATTACATATTCAGGATTTGCATTACGTATTCACCCAGGAAAAGTTGGACTTTGAATCCAAAAGATGATTTTACTCATATAATCTAAATGCCCTCTTTCTTGCATAACATTGAGTGGATATGTACCTTTTCCCCCCCTCCCCCCCTGATTTGCATACATTAATCATCTGTAAGTAATAGCCTGGGTAAAGTTAACTGACAAGTATCACTATTATTTATTTTAATGGGCCAAAATAGTTTTGTACTATAAACCACATGTATTTGTTATGAGTGTACAGAATGTGTTCCTGAGACTTACTCATATTAAATATGATTTTTTTTTCTTTAGTACCTGATAACTTGTTGGGCACGATCTCTGATGCCCCTTTTGTCGATGAAAGGTCTGCATCAATTACAAGCTTAACTTCAATCTCTTGAATGCTAGATACCAGATACTTATTGCAAAACTGTTGCAGTGGTAATGTTAACCCCACAGTCTTTTCATACATCATGCTGTGACTTTGTACTTGCTTTGTTTCAAAACATTTGAGTGTTATGTACGGATATATATAAATAAATGTATTTATCATTTTGTTCGGATGAGTATGGTTTGGTTTTCATAATACGTATTATACGTGTGTGTGTGTGTGTGTGTGTATATATATATATATATATATATATATATATATCTATGTATGTGTGTGTATGACAGTGTTGTGCTATTGAAAAATGCTAAATCTTAGATAAAATGTCAATATTTAGCATTTTATTAAGACATTTCTTGAATTTGTATCAAACTCATAATGAAAAATAGGTGTTTTTCTCTAAAGTCAGTCTAAGGTAAAAGTAGTAGATCTGCATTCATTGGGGGTATAGTGATTAAACAGTGATTTAAATATTTTTCCATTGTGGGCAGTGGAGTGTTCCCTTTAATAAAGATTTAAAGAGATGTGATTATATCTGTCCCGTAGAGTAACTATTCTAGTCATGGGCGTCCACAGGAATTTTTTTGATGGGGAGGGGAGGATGACATAAATTTTTTTTTTTTTTGGAGTTAAAAAAAACAGGACACCCATTGGAAGGGAGAGGGGGGCAGGATATGTAAATAGCATTTTCACAACTATGGTCTCAGGAATAAGCAAAACAAAGGAACATTCCAGTTACCATAAAAAATTCATCTAAATGAAAATGCTATAATGTCAGGAGGCCCCTGGGCACTCTTTCCTTTAAGGGGTTAAACCACTCACAAATGGTTTAACCCCAAAAGCTTCCTCTACCTCCAGGTCGCTCAGTGGTATTCGGCTTCTGAAACGAAGTGTCAGGAAGTGCAGATTGACGTCAGGCATGGGTGCCGCTGATTGGCTAGAGTGGTCAGCTGATGCTCTAAGCCAATCGCTTGTTCTCGGTTCATAAAATTTTTTAACTTTTTTATGAATGAGGATCTAGTGATTGGCTTAAAGTGCCAGCTGACCAATCTGCGGCACGCCTAGCAGCTCTGTGCTTCCTGTCACTCAGTAAATAAAAGTGAACATATTAACACTGATTTTTATTTTTTTTATTATTTTTTTACCTGGGGGAGATGAGAAGGTCCAAAGTTTTACTGCCAGGCCCATGGACCAAAGCCTTGTGATGTGGTGTCCAGAATGAAGTGGAGGGATCACTTCACTTGTCCTTCCTGCTCCAATCTTCTTTTCTTCTCCATTTGACACAGTCTCCTCGTCTCCTTTGCTCCTTTACCTTTCAGCTTCTTTTGCACCCTTATGCTCCTTTCTCTTTCTGATCCCTTTCTGCTACTTTTGCTTCCTTCTGACCCTTCCTGCTACTTGCAGACTCTTCCTGCTCATTTCTGATCCCTTTCTGCTCCTTGCTGACCCTTTCCAGCTCTTTGCTGACCCTTTCTGCTCCTTCTCCTACTGTACATTTTTGCAACTTATGATTCTTTCTGCTCCTAATTATTGCTGCCCCTTTCTGCTCCTTGCTGCCCCTTTCTGTTGCTGACCCTTCCTGCTCATTTCTGTTCCCTTTTTCTCTTCCTCCTACTTTACCTCTGTGTTCCTTCTGCCTCTTCCAGCTCATTGCTGATTCTTTCTGTTCCTTGATGTCCCTTCTTGCTAATTTCTGTTCCTTCTCCTTTCTTATCCTTCTACTTTACCTTTGTGCTCCTTCTGATTATTTCTGCTCCTTGCTGACCCTTTCTGCTCCCTGCACACCATTCCTGATCAATTCTGTTCCTTCTCCTACTTTACTTTTTGTGCTTCTTCCGCCCTTTCCAACGACTTGCTGACACTTTCTGTTCCTTGCTGCCCTTTCCAGCTCCTTGCTGACACTTTCTGTTCCTTGCTGCCCTTTTCAGCTCCTTGCTGACACTTTCTGTTCCTTGCTGACACTTTCTGTTCCTTGCTGCCCTTTCCAGCTCCTTGCTGACACTTTCTGTTCCTTTTTGCTCCTTATCCTACTTTACCTTTGTGCTCCTTGCAGACCCTTTCTGACACTATAGTCACCAGAACAACTACAGCTTAACGTTGTTTTGGGGATTATAATCATTATATGCAGGCATTTTTATGCAAGCACTGCCTTTTTAGAGAAAAGGCAGTGTTTACATTGCCCCTAAGGACATCTCCAAGGGGCCACTCCTCAGATGGCCACTGGAGGTGCCTCCTGGCTTAGTGCTACACAAAAGGCAGCAGTGCCGTTCGGCATCTCCAAGCTCTGCATGGAGATGCAGAATTTTCCTCATAGAGATGCACTGATTCAAATGCGGGGTGTGGCCAGCGCTGGCAGACCTGTGCGGCACTGGAAATAAGGTGAGTTTTTTTTATTAACTTTTAAGGGGAGGCAAGCCACCTAAGTGGTGGGTTTTGCACTATAGGGTCAGGAATACATGTTTGTGTATCCTTCCTGCTCCTTTCTGACCCTTCCTGTAAGCTGCCCCCCCAATCCCTCACTCACCTGATCTGTAGGCTGCCCCACCATCCCTCACTTACTTGATCTGTAGGCTGTCCCACTATTCCTCACTTACCTTATCTTATGCTGCCCCCCACTCCTTCACTTACCTGATCTGTAAGTTCACAGGTAGTTTCAGGGTAATTTCATCTCCATTATCTGTAGATGAACATCAAACAGTTCTCCTGAGCTTAAGATCTCTCAAACATCCAGAGAATGTCCTTTAAAGTATTAACACAAACTATTTGCGTCTAATAATACTACAGGAATAGAAGTCAGTATGTAACACAATCCCATCTCCTCTACTGGAAGGCAATTCCAGTCTCTTTCCTTACAAAACGATTTCAGAGAGGCATTTGGATTTAATTTCTCTCGTTCCCAGAGTCTGATTCAAGTTTGATGTACACCTACAGATAATGGAGATGAAATTACCAATAATCTATCCGAGCCCTGAACATACAAGTGGGCGGGGTTTTTTTTTTATTATTTATTTATTTCACACATTTAAGTACTGTATTTCAAAGTTTTGGGGTTTTATGTGTGCATATGTGTATATGTGTTCTTTAAAGCATCTATTTTTCCCCTTGTCTCCTGGCCATTTCATGATTTGAAAGCTATGTCTTGTGGAGTGTTGTTGAATTCTAGGAAGTAACTCCTTAAAATAATGTCCAGGCCCCATCGGTTTTGGATGGATGTCTCTTAAACATGAAGGGATTGGAGGGGGGGAGCTCTTTCCACTCCAGTCTGGAACTAAAGTAGGTCCCAAAAACCTTGTCCTATGGGGATAGGAACAAAAAGACTTGAGGATACAATCAAAAGGTGAGAGCACACAGTATATATAAATACAACAAATGATGAATTGTGTGGAATCTAAAAATATAAAGAGAAGACCATAGCGTTATACAGTAAACATTAAAATATGTGTTTGCTGGTCCAACTCACATGATTCTGAGTCACTTAAAGCTGGCTCAGACTAGAAGCGTAAACTGGAGGACCCAGTGGAAACAGGAAGTGGGTTTAGATAATCCTATGCCCCTCCATCTTACACCATATATAGATACAAGATGCAGGAAAATAGGTGAAGAAAAATACTTTTATTGGACAAAAAAAAAATCAGACCTCACATACAATACACAAGTCCACTGGACACAAAGACTGAGGGCTGTGAGGTAGGAGGGGTTATTTAAACCTTATTTTAATTAGTTTCTTGTGTACCTGCGAATAGGAGTAGCTTAACCATTGTTGTGCTGCCATGGATATGGCCAGCAAATAAATAAATATAATGTGTAGGAGGCAAGGAGGATAGCAAGTACTTCCAGAGAATCAGACAGGTCCTGAAATCCCAGCTCAATGGCAAGAACAAGATACAAGGCTACAACACATATGCCCTACAAGTCATCAAGTACCGAGCTGGAATAATATCCTGGCCGAGGATCTCACTGGTCACCGAGGATCTCACTGGTCACCATGGATCTCAACTTCTCACTATGAAGTCCACCCGGAATCCAGCACCCACAGACTACACCAGGTGGAAGGAGATCAGGGCCCGATGAATGTCAAGGCCACAGTCCTGGATGAAACACAGAGCACCCACAAGTGCATCACTAAGATGCCTCCCAAAGATGCTAAAGGAATGCCTAAGACAGCAGCAGATAGAAGATGCAGAAAAGGAGGAGGTTCCATGACAAGTTAAACCTCTCAATGGGGTGTACCCCTGGCAGATAGTGGATGTTGGCCACATGACAAAATTCTACCAGTGGTTTAAAAAAAAAAAAAAAAGACTGAAAGACAGCACTAAGGCATTAGTCCTAGCGGTGCAGAAACAGGCACTCGGCACCAGATCAATAGAAGTGCAGGGATCTAGCACACTCGGCAACATACAAGGTGCAGACTGTGCTAGATTGTCTCAGGGGTCTCTTTGCACATAGTAGCCTAATATCCTGTGGAACTTTAATATCCAGACAGACATAGTGATGGTAGATGAGAAACAGAAAACTGCAATGGTGCTGGGTATGGCAATACCAAGTGACTTGAACATCAGGAAGAAGGGACGTGAGAAGGTAGACTAATACCAAGGACTGAAAGAGGAGCTAGAAAGGATGTGGAAAGTGAAGGCAATTGTAATCCCAGTTCTGATAGTGCAGTTCTAGAAACAGCTTAGATGCTGCGCAGAACCCTCAGATTCACAGGCCCTGTGAATTAGAAATATATTCCACCAAGGAGGGGTGAGAAAATCATTTATATAAAGAAATATATAATATATGAAATGCATTGTATACATTTTATATAAATGCATAATCAATCTTAATTTCTGTAAAGCATCAATATTTATTTATTTTTATCTTTTTGTTTCAACACACAACTAAGAATTGGTATAAACATGGACACACATCTATTCTGGTAAATGTACATTTTCTCTAAAAAATAAATAAATATATATATATATATATATATATATACTGTGACATATGTTTACTCTTTGTAATCCCAACCAGTTTCTTATGCCCTCCCCTTACAGAAATATGTCTTACACATCTGTAACATAAGTGAAATATTTTGGAGGGTTTCAACCCATCACATATCAGATGCTCTTTTTTCCAGCTTTACAGGACAGTCTAATCTTAATGAACTGGGAATAGTTGCTGCCACTAGATCTTTTCTGTTTTAAACAGTGCAATTTCTGAGAAAAAGACGGTTTACTTTTAGCAATCAGAAAGGAGGTGATTCAGCGCTTGTAGAATACTGGTATAGTTCAAGGGCAGCTTAGTCACCAAATCTGCAGCCTCTCTAGTCCGGTGAAGGAGGAGAAGCAGAAGGATGGTGTAGCACCTGCAATGTCGTTGCAAATATGTAAAATAAAATAAATTGATGGTGTAGTATGTCAAATACAGTGATAAAGATGAAAAGAGGTAATCCACTCACACTTTTTGGGAGCCTGGGTGTAGCTCCAATCTTTGCGCTTGGTCGGAATAATCCCCACCTAGGGATATGCTGTGGTCCACGGCTCTGTAGGTGGTCTTCCTCTTTACAACACTATCTTCATAGATATGTAGAAGGAGAATAGAGACAATATGGTGTATGTCAAACCACAAAGGGGAGAAGAACTAGATCAAAAATATGCACTCACATGATATGGAGCCAGAACGTCTGCTCCCCGGATATGGCTTGGAGTGGTATAATCCCCACTCTAGGATATAATAGGTGCTCATTCCTCTCCGTGTATAGATATAGAAGGAAAAAACAAAAGAAACACAATAGTGGGTAACTGTAAAACTAAAATAGGAGCTGTAGAATAAAACCGTACTCCCATTCGGTGGAGCATTGCTCAATCCAATGGGCGTAGGTGTTTTTGTCCCCAGCAAGGATCTAATTGTCCATAAAATCCAGCAGCAATCAATATGGTTCCATAAAAAAGTACTGAAATCCGGCACTCGAAGATCCTGGTGCTGCTTACCCACACCTCCTCCTGATGCTACTACTAGAAAAAGTGCAGAGGCAGCCTGCAGGTCCCTTATTACTTCATTCTGTCATTTTCCAGCTGCTCAGTTTAGAGGTCAGAACTATATAGAACTATATAGAAACATAGAATGTGACGGCAGAAAAGAAACTTTTGGCCCATCTAGTCTGCTCAATTTTCTAAATAATTTCATTAGTCCCTGGCCTTATCTTGTAGTTAGGATAGCCTTATGCCTATCCCACGCATGCTTAAACTCCTTTACTGTGTTAACCTCTACCACTTCAGCTGGAAGGCTATTCTATGCAAGTAATACTTCCTGATTTTTTTAAACCTTTGTCCCTCTAATTTAAGACTATGTCCTCTTGTTGTGGTAGTTCTCCTTTTAAATATAGTCTCCTCCTTTACTGTGTTGATTCCCTTTATATATTTAAATGTTTCTATCATATACCCCCTGTCTCGTCTTTCCTCCAAGCTATACATGTTAAGATCCTTAACCTTTCCTGGTAAGTTTTATCCTGCAATCCATGAACCAGCTTAATAGCCCTTCTCTGAACTCTCTCTAAGGTATCAATATCCTTCTGAAGATACAGTCTCCAGTACTGCGTACAATACTCCAAGTGAGGTCTCACCAGTATTCTGTACAATGGCATGAGCACTTCCCTCTTTCTACTGCTAATACAACCAAGCATTCTGCTAGCATTTCCTGCTGCACTATTACATTGTCTGCCTACATTTAAGTCATCAGAAATAATCACCCCTAAATCCCTTTCCTCCGATGTTGAGATTAGGACTCTATCAAATATTTTGTACTCTGCCCTTGGGTTTTTACGTCCAAGATGCATTATCTTGCACTTATCCACATTAAATGTCAGTTGCCACAACTCTGACCATTTTTCTAGTTTACCTAAATCATTTGCCAATTGGCTTATCCCTCCTGGAACATCAACCCTGTTACATATCTTAGTATCATCAGCAAAAAGACATACCTTACCATCAAGACCTTCTGCAATATCACTAATACAAATATTAAAGAGAATGGGTCCAAGTACAGATCCCTGAGGTACCCCACCGGTGACAAGCCCAAGCTTTGCACATACTCCATTGACTACAACCCTCTGTTGCCTGTCACTCAGCTACTGCCTTACCCATTCAACAATATTGGAATCCAAACTTAAAGATTGCAGTTTATTGATAAGCCTATGTGCAACAGTGTCAAAAGCCTTACTGAAATCTAGGTAAGCAATGTCTACTGCACCACCCTGATCTATATATCAAAAAAATAAATAAGATTAGTTTGGCATGATCTCCCTGAAGTAAACCCATATTGTCTCTGATCTTGAAATCCATGTGTTTTTTTAGATGTTCAACAATCCTATCCTTTAACATGGTTTCCATCACTTTCCCCACTACTGAAGTAAGGCTTACTGACCTATAGTTGCCCGACTCCTCCCTATTACCTTTCTTGTGAATGGGCACAACATTCGCTAACTTCCGATCTTCTGGGACTACACCTGTTAACAATGATTGGTTAAATAAATCTGTTAATGGTTTTGCTAGTACACCACTAAGCTCTTTTAATAGCTTTGGGTGTATTCTATCAGGTCCCGTTGACATATTTGTCTTTACTTTTGACAGTTGAAATAGAACCTCTTCCTCTGTAAACTCACGTGTAATAAATGACTCATTTATTCTTTTTCTTGACTGAAGTCCCTTTCCTTAATTTTCATCTGTAAATACCGAACAAAAATATTAATTGAGACAGTCAGCTAGACCTATAATTACTAAATGCTAACTTTTTTTTTACTATTTTGGCCACATCTGCGGAGTACCACAGTGGTTTCTTTCTTTTCTTTTTTTGCTTTTACTGACAAGCCTAATGCAATTTTCTGTTGCCTTCACTAGTGCAACTTTTAAATAATCCCATTTCTCTTGGACTCCATTTAAATTGCTCCAGCCTGATAATGACTCCTTTACGCATATTCTAATTTTAGAAAAGTCTGTTTTTCTAAAGTCTAAAGCTTTTGTTTTTGTGTGGTGTGACTCAGTCACTGTTCTTATATTAAACCACACTGACTGATGATCACTGGATCCTAAACTTTCACCTACAGTAATATCTGATACCAAATCTCCATTTGTTAACACTAAATCTAGTATGGCCTCATTACGAGTTGGCTCCTCAATGACTTGTTTTAGAGACAATCCCAGTAGGGAGTTTAGAATATGTGTGCTCCTGGCACAAGCAGCTATTTTTGTTTTTCAATTCACATCAGGAAATTAAAGTCACCCGTGATGATAACTTCCCCCTTCATTGTCATTTTAGCTATTTCCTCAACTAATAGATTATCTAACTCTTCAATTTGTCCTGGGGGCCTATAAATCACACCTGCACGAGTTATTGTGTGATTACCAAATTCTAAAGTAACCCAAACGGACTATGTTCGCTTCACTAACTTTTATTATGCTAGATTTTATGCCATCGTTCACATACAGGGCCCCCTTGTTGCCTTCCCTGTCTTTTCTATATAAAGAGTACTGCTATGTCCCAGTCATTTTTCTCATTATACCATGTCTCAGTAACAGCGACTAAATCTACACTATCAGTTGCCATTATTGCCACAAGTTCATGGATCTTATTCCCTAAACTGCTAGCATTTGTAGACATGACTCTTAAGCTTATCATTTTTTAACACACCTGCTACAGGAACCTTCTGTCCTTGTTTTGGGGGACAATTGGATTGATGTTTTATCACCCTTTGGCCCCCCCTCCTAGTTTAAATACATCCTAGCAAAACCTCTGAACTGCTCACTAAGAACATTTGTTCCCTTTTGAGAAAGATGCAATCCATCTTTTTTGTACAGTTTATTTCTATTGCAAACAGAGCTACCATGAGAAATATAGCCAAATCATTGCTCCCGACACCATTCACCAAGCCACAAGTTAAATATATCTATGAAGATATTGTTGTAAAGAGGAAGATCACCCGCAGACCACAGCATATCCCTAGGTGGGGATTATTCCGCCCAAGCGCAAAGGTTGGAGCTACACCCAGGCTCTCAAAAAGTGTGAGTGGACTACCTCTTTTTTTATCACTGTATTTGACATTCTTTCTTTTACATATTTGCAAGGACATAGTGGGAGCTGCACCTCCCTTCTGTTTCTCCTCCTTACTTTTAGCAATGCCAACACTTACTAGTAGCTATCAAGCAGGCAACTACTAGACGTTCTCTCTCAAATCGAAAGTATGCTGAAACTGTGTGCAACCAGTATTTAATGCTTCTCATAGAGAAGCATTTGATTTGGTGGTTTGTAGCAAATGCCATGCAGGTGCCTTATGTCCTCAATCTTGTTGATTTCTTTGGAGGAGTATCATGCTACATTGAAGAGGCTGCTTCAATGCTGGATTACAAAAATAAAAATAAAAAAATGGTGGGAAGGCGTAGTATTCTAAAAATATTTAAGCCATCTGATAAAAAAAAATAAATCAGCAACTTTTTAAATTTGAATGTGCCTTTCATGTCTCTTTTCATTGATACGGAGTGTTATTCATACTTTGTGAATTTAATCGCCACCTTAAAGTTTTTTCTTCTTTCCTTGTTTTACTCTGCTGCAATTCAGCCCTTGGCATAAAACTCCCAAGTTCCTCCCTAGTTGAACTGCAGTAAACCTTACACAACAGTGAGAGGTGCTGTGTTAGTTTGACCATGCCCACTATTGAAGCTCCTCCAACAAGCATAAGAGTAGGCCAAAAAAGGCAATGGAAGACGACTGATTGGTCATATTTTTTCATCATGATGACATCCTCTGGTTTGCGGTCTTGTTGGTGGAAACAAGCAAAAGGTGTGTCATTTTTGCGTTCAAAGTATTCTTTCACATCCAAGACACCATCCAATAAATTATTCTTATCCCGTTGGCACGTTGGAATATAAAAGCACTAAAAGAAACAATACAAAACACATGCATGTTTTTTACTCTATTTTAGGTAAGCACTATTGTTTCTCATATAAGCACAGGTTTTCTTTTTTAGTATAGAGAGCACCATGTTTCTTTTTAATGTTTGTTTTCTTCTCTACATGTGAGAAATTGTCAGAAAAATCAGTAATTGTAGAATAAATACATACTATATATAATCGAATATTTATTTTGTAGCAAACCAATATTTTTATTTGTAGTGGACCAACTTTTTGGGAATGTCTTGTCAATCAGTTTTACAGATGAATATGCTCCTTGCATATTTCAACAGAAGTAACTAGTCTGTGCTACTTGAAAGATGTTAGTATTACGTTCTAAATTCTTGTTCTTAGTTCCTAGTGCTCAGTTCCAGAGGAACTTTGGCCAACACATGAATAGTTAGGGTCATAATTGTTAAGGAGGAGACTCACTTTGGGATTAATTTGGACCGCTTCCTCGTTGTAGTGCAGCACAGCGATTTCTCCAGACTGTGATACATTCACCAAAACCTGAAGACAGGGATATTTTGATTGTCCGTGGCAGTCTACACCACATGTAAAAGAACAGTCTACCCAGTCGTCCATTATATCAGCCTGGATAATAGTGCAATTGGACTCTTCATTCCACACACTGGAAAGAAAAAAGGCAGACCAAACATAGAACCATTATATTATTAGTTGTAAAATGTTCAGTGATTCATGCCATGCTTTATTTTACCTCCTATACAATTTTTATATAATTTTTTTTTAAGTAGAAACTTTATAAAATTGGAACATGCAAGTAATATACATAGTATAATTATGGTTTCATTTTCAATCAGATGTAACTTACTTGAAATGTTTTTTGTCTCTTGCACTGTAAATTGAACTTTAATTACATACAGGAGGCTCTTGCATGATCTAGCACACAATTAACAGAGCTGTAGATAAGAAATTCTAAATTAAAGAGAATTTGCACAAAAAAAAAAAAAGGAAGTGTACACATTACATCTCACTTTACAGGAAGTGTTTAGGAAGGCGGTTTAAGTCACACACCAGGAGGTGTGACTAGCACTGCATAAAAAAGTTATTTAACTACTAAATGGCAGAGAATTGAGCAATGAGACTGCAGGGGCCTGATCTATAAAAGAAAACCGTTTCCTTAAGCTAAAGTTGTTTTGGTGCCTTTAGTGCCCAAGGTTAACAAATTTAAACCTATTTAGTTTAGAAAAACGTCGCCTGAGAGGGGATATGATAACATTATACAAATATATTCGGGGCCAATACAAACCATTGTGTGGAAATCTATTCTCAAACGGGACTTCACATAGGACACGAGGCCATGTGTTTAGACTGGAAGAAAGAAGATTTTGTCTAAGGCAAAGGAAAGGTTTTTTTTTTTTTACTGTAAGAACAATCAGGATGTGGAATTCTCTGCCTGAAGAAGTGGTTTTATCAGACTCCATACAAATGTTCAAACAGCTACTAGATGCATACTTGCAAAAACAGAATATTCAAGGATATAATCTTTCAATGTAGGGTAATAAGTGCTTGATCCAAGGAATCTGACTGCCATTCTGGAGTCAAGAAGGAATTTTTTCCTAGCTTGTTGCAAAATTGTGCTTCAAACTGGGTTTTTTTGCCTTCTTTTGGATCAACAGCAAAAAACAAATGTGAGGAAGGCTGAACTTGATGGATGCAAGTCTCTTTTCAGCTATGTAACTATGTAATGACAGGTGCTTTGATTCATATGTAATTATGGAAGTGTGTTGTTTTTTCCAGTAGGTGAGGCTTTAACTTGAGGTGACTGCATGCTCAACTGCTACATCGTATCTACAGGGTTAACTAGGATAATTACAGCTTAATGGATCTTTTGTTGTAGGGTGGGAGTAAAACCTCAAGGTTTACAATGGTCCATTTACATAAACATACAGTACACTGGAAAATATGTGGACATTCCACTGATATGTTTAAATAAGCAAAATGTTTTTTAAAAAAAAAACTAACTCATACTGCAATGCTTAGCCATTTTGTCAAATTTCAGTCCAGCTAGGACTCTCAAATTGAACTCTGAATGCAAGTATTATGTAGTGGATGCTGAGAAAACTGTATTTGGTTGCAGCTCTGGAAACAACATTATGCAAAACCTTTTGACGGGTTACTGTGGATTCCATAGCTGAGTAACTGCTTAGAAGCTTTCAGCCCCCATAAGCAAGACCAAGGGTTCAAAGGAGAGCCTCAGGGCCGGCCTGTCCATAGGTCCCAATGGCACTATAGCTCCAGGTGGCACTTTGACAGGGGTGGCATTTTGCCATCCCTGTCATAAGCCAACATCAGTGGCTTATCTGGGGGGACAGTCTGGCACACTTTTTCTTCCTGTTGTCTGGCACATGCTCTTTTCTTCCCCTGGCAAGCTTACTCACACTCTGCCAAGGAAGGAGGGGGGAGAAGAAGTGCATAGCTCCTGCTCACCCTTCCTCAGCAATTGCATTTTTCTCCTCCCCGGGGGGACTTTACTTCTTCCCCATGCATCCAGCTTCCTCCACTTCCTGCTTGGCCAGGGCCCAGAAAGGAAGCCAGGGGCCACAGGCCAACTGCAAAAGCCGCTACCAACTGAGCGGAGTGCAGTCACGACTGGGAGCAATAGGCTGGACACAGCACTAGGTATGCGGAGCCAGGAGAGAAGACAGGGTAGCTGATGGCAGGGGTGGGTCACTGCATCCTCAGCACACACACACAAATACACAAACTACTTTCCCAGCACACACACTATGTCCGCTGCATAGACATAGAAACACTGCAGTACACGCACACACACTATACCTACTTCACTAACACACACTGCATCCACTACACACACTCTACATTTATTATACACACATACTCTGCATCCACCATGTTTTGGTGGCATGGTTTTGGCGGTGGTGGTTTATCCTTGTACCCAGGTAGTACAATGTCTTGGGCCCGCCCTGGAGCGGCGTAAACTCAATACCCTTAAATATGAAACTATGGAGCAATAGTTCTTGGTTTGTCTGATGTAGAGGAATGTTATTGTCGTTACTACATAGTAACTAAAGAAATATTGTTTGGCTAGGCCTAGTCTATTCAATAGTTTAATTTTACATTGTTCATAAGCAGTATGTAAGCCACTGATGTTTTCACCCTAATTATGATACACATTTGTTTGAAATTAAAGAGAAACTATAGTCACCAGAATTACTACAGCTTATTGTAGTGGTTCTAGTTAGTATAGTCAGTCCCTGCAGGCTTTTTGCATTAGTGCATAGGTACACCTCTAGGGGTCACTCCTCTGACACACACTATAGGCACTTTATGGGTCATGTGCGGCACTGCTGTTCAACGCCTGTCCGCTCTGCATGGAGACACTGAACGATCCCCATAGAGAGTCATTGAATCAATGCATCTCTGTGAGGAGATGCCGACTGGTCAATGTGGTGTTTGGCTCTTCCCCGCCCCGCCTCCTTGGCTGAGATAATCAGATTTAACGATCTCAGACAATCCAATGTTTTCATATGGGAAAACATTGTGATTGGCTGAGACCAGCAGCCAAGGAAGTGGACTGGGGTGGGGCCAGCCCCGACAGACCTGCGGGGTTCTGGAAGGAACTTCCATTTTTTTTTATTTAAGGAAGGGCCAGGGACCAGGGACACTTTAAACAAAATGCAGTGCTGTTAAGGGACATAGGAGCAAATCATTTGGCATTCTTTTTTATTTTTTTGTTATAGCTTAGCTACTTCATCACTGTGCAGCATTCAAAACATCAAATGTTTTATTAACTCACAAGTTAGAGCGACACTATGGGCACCAGACCACTTTTTCTCATTGAAGTAGCCTGGGTGCAGTGCCCCTGTTTAACCCTATAATGTGAGAAACATCTGCCAGAAGCTCAAGGAAGCATGGTGAAAGGTCAGTGTAGGCAGGGGCGGACAACTTACAGGGCCCCCTCCTAGTGCAAGGTCTTTGTGCAGCTCTCATACAGATATGTGCGCGCGACCCAGCATGTCTGTGTGAGTCATGGCGTCCCCCAAACAGGGCCAGATATACTTTAAGGGGTTAATCCAACCAAAAACAGTGTTTTAATAAAACATTGTTTTTGAGTGGAGTACCCCTTAATAGCTTGCCTTACGCTCCCCCTGCCCCTCCCCCCTCATAAAAATAAAGAAATAAAGCAAATTTAATTACTCCCTTCCTCTGTGTTTGTTGGTGACACAAGCAGCATCCCCCACATGTTCAACCATACAGGTAGCTTCCAAACACGTGTTTGGGGGTTACTTGTGTGGGATGCTGCTTGTATTCCTGTTTGTCAACATGTTGAGTTAGAATTCATTTTTTGTCTTGTTTTACATATTGTACTGCGCTGCAGAATATGTTGGTGCTATATAAGTAATTGTAATAATTGCATTTGTGTGTGTATAAGGAGGCTGTATGCAGTATTGCCATGCTGGGGATGCCTCTTGAGTTGTGTGTGTAGGGAGGTGCATGTGGTATTGAATGTTTGGGAATGCTGTTTGTGGGATTATGTGCATACAGTGAGGTTCCTTGTGGGTTTGCGTGTGTGTATGGAGCTGTTTGCAGTGTCGTATGTTAGTGGAGAGGGCTGGTTGTGTTGCAGAGAGTGTGTGGATAGGGGCTGTTGTGTGTGTGGGGGATAGGTGCTATAGTAGACATCTGGGGGAAACTGGGGCTGTCGTGTGTGTTTGAATGGATACTAGAGGCTCTACTGTGTGGGGGAGATAGAGGCTGCAGTATGTGTGTGGATAGTGGCTGCAGTGCATGAGGGGGGATATGGGCTATAGTAGGTGCAGGGTTACATACGGCCGGTGGGGGGATAGCGGCTTTAGTGTGTGCAGGGAGGGATAGGGATGAGAGTGATGAGGGCTGTAGTGGGTGCAGGAAGGCATGGGGTGAGGTGGTTACAGGGAGAGAAAGAGGATGAGGAGTGTGCATGAATGCACAGAGGCTATGGTGGGTACAGGGAGGGATTGGAATGATAGTGATAGGGCTGTACTGGGTGAACGGGGAGTGGGGTCTGGGATGTTAAAGTGGGCATAGGGGCTGTGGAGGGTGAAGGGGGCATAGGGGCTCAGATGGATAAAGAGGGCAGAGGGGCTGTGGTGGGTGAAAGGGAGCTCACATGGATAAAGGGGCACAGGGGCTGGGATGGGTAAAGGGGGCACAGTGGATGGGATAGGAAAATGGGGGCACAGAAATTTGTACAATTCTGGCTGGGGAGATCTGTGATCTGATCTCCCAGCCAGATAGGAAAAGGTGGGCACTGGGGCTGGGATAGGTAAACGGGGCACAGGTACTTGGCTGGGTGAAGGGAGCACAAGGGCTGGTATGGATGAAGGAGGCAAAGGTACTGGGATGGGTGAAGGGAGCACAAGGGATGGTATGGATGAAGGGGGGCACAGGTGCTGGGATGGGTGAAGGGGGGCACAGGTACAGGGATGGGTGAAGGGGGGCACAGGTACAGGGATGGGTGAAGGGGGCACTGGGGCTGGGATGGGTGAAGGGGGCACTGGGGTTGGGATGGGAGAAGGGGGCACAGGGACTGGGATAGGTGAAGGGGCACAGGGGCTGCGATAGGAAAATTGGGGGCACAGAGGCTGGGACAGGAAAAGTGGGGCACGGGGGCTGGAGTGGATGAAGGAGGGCACTGGGATGGGTGAAGGGGCACAGGGGCTGGGCTGGGAAAGGGGGGATATTAGCTTAATAAAATAAGATTTACTTACCTGCTATCTGCCAGGGTTCTGCAGATTCTGCAGGAGAGGGCAGGGCAGGAAGTGAGGTAACTTCCCATCTTTCGGCCCGCCTCTTCCCCTCACACGGCATTCCGCAGTCATTCCATAGAGGAGACCTGGCAGGAGCAGAAGCTGGGGGTGGAGGGGAGGCAGAGGGGGGAAACAGAGAGAGATAGGTTGCAGGAGCAACCTATCGCTGAAATTTGTACAATTCTGTTTGTTTCTGGCTGGGGAGATCTGTCTCCCAGCTAGGGCATGTTTGTGCATCCCGCCGGGCCCCTGACTGCCTCGGCCCTGGGTCCATGACCGATCTGCCTGAGTGGTCAGTCCGCCCCGAGTGTAGGAACCCACCTGAGGGGTCTGCGTTGATGTTGGCAGGTGGGCATTCCCTCCAATGGCCATTGGAGCAACTAAATGACCTCCATTTGTTTAAATATGGATAGGGATTTAGGAGAGCACGCAGGTAACGTTTTCTTTGGTTTTTACTGTATGTATTGGGGCTGATGTGTACTGCGGTCGTTGCTGCCACCAGGAGTGGTGGGAGTGAGCGCAGGGCTGTTTTTTTGTATTCACTTTTTGTATCACACAGCTATGTTACAATGCTGCCGCCCATCCCATGTGTTCCCTATTAAGGGTTAATAATATATAGGGGTGTATATAAAAAATAAAAAAACCTCTGTCTCATTAGAGATATCTTTGCCAGAAGCTCAAGGAAGCATGGTGAATAGTCGGTGTAGGAACCCACCTGAGGGGGTCTGCCTTGATGTTGGCAGGTGGGCATTCCCTCCAATGGCCATTGGAGTAACTAAATAACCTCCATTTGTTTAAATATGAATAGGGATTTAGGAGAGAGCGCAGGTAACTTTTTCTTTGGTTTTTACTGTATGTATTGGGGCTGATGTGTACTGTGGTCATTGCTGCCACCAGGAGTGATGGGAGTGAGCGCAGGGCTTGTTTTTTTTTGTATTTGTAAACATCTGCCAGACAGCCACTAGAGGTACTTCTGGGTCCCTAGTAGAGTTTTACTCTGCTATTCGACTTTGCATACAGATGTTTAACATCTTCTATGTTCCCCATAGGAAAGCATTGATTCAGTGCTTTCCAATGGGTAAGCTTGAAGACGTGCGGCACTTGCCACGCATGCACATTAGGTCCCACCATCACCATGACGTCGTAGGAGGAGAAGACCTAGCCACTGTGCTAAGTTAATAAAATTAATTTTAACCCTTTAATCATTAAACTGTGATAGGGGGCACTTTAAAATTAGGAATACAGGTTTCTATTCCTAACACCATAGTGTTCATTTGATTGAATTAGTTATGTGCATTAAGTTTAGATTTTTCCTCACATTATACAAGGAGTGTATTTAAGGAATCATTTAACTTGCTTTGAGCTGCATTTCATTTTTAATTTCTGTAGTTGTTCCTCTCTGATGTTGCTGCTCAGGCAGGCTTTTATACAGTGATGTAATGCTGCCAAGGAGTGATTAGGAATGACTCCTTCATGATTGGTGGGAAAGGGAAAGGCTCCACTGGTATCATTAATGAAGATATGCACTACAAATAGTGCATTGGAAAATTTGAATTCTTACATGAGAATATGTGGAGGGTAGGGCAGTGGTTACATCCATCAGTATTAGCAACTAAACAATCAAATGAACAGATTGCTGCAGCTACGATCTCATGGAATATCTTTGCCAGTTATCGGATGCATCCAGGACGTACTTGGAAACCAGAGTAATCTGAATGTGCTTTTCCTGGTTAATATTATTATTATTATTATTATATCATGTGGATACAATTTATCACACACATTCTTGGTGCTGGACTTTATAATACTCCAATAGAAAAAAAGTTATCCCCAAACGATCCCTAATGTCCACACACTGAGACTCAGGGCACTTCCTGTCAGTCCAGCTGGGTACAGGAAACAGAAGCTTCTGTGTTGCCCGGCCACGGTACACAGAGGCAGGAGGCACAACAGGAAAGAGGTGAGAGACAGCACTAGGACACTGGGAGGACTTGTGGAAACAGCACTAAGGGACACTGGGGGGGAAGACAGCACTAAGGGACACTGGGGGGGGGAGGGAGAGAAACCACCAACAGACACTGGGGGAGGAGAGACCACTAGGGCCACTGGAGGGGAGGGAGAGGAAGAGAGACACACTAAAGGACACTGGGAGGAGGGAGGCAGACCACTAAGGGACACTGAGGGGAGGAGGGAGCTGAGGAGAGACCACCAAGGGACACCTGGGGTGAGGAGAGGAGAAGAGACCACCAAGGACACTGGGGAGGAGGAGGAGAGACCACTAAGGGACATGGGGGGGAAGGAGAGGAGGAGAGGCCACTAAGGGGCACTGGGGGGAGGGAGGAGAGACCACTAAGGAACACTGGAGGGGGAGGAGACCACTAAGGAACACTTGGGAGGGTGTGGGGAAGCCAATAAGGGAAAGATGAGGGAAGGAGACCACTAAGGGAAAGATTGGGAGGGGGGAGAGTAGGAGAGACCACTAAGGGACACTGGGGGGGGAGGAGAGACCACTAAGGGCTGGGGGAGGAGAGATCACTAAGGGACAGGAGGGCAGTGGAGAGCACTAAGGGACAGGGGAGATCACTAAGAGACAGATGGGGAGGGGAGAGCACTAAGGGACAGGAGGGAAGGGGACAGTTCTTGAGTTGAGACCATTAAGAGACGGGGGGAGTGTAAGACACACAGACTGAGGAAGGGGTGAAAGAGAAGCACAGAAGAGCTTGCATCCCTTACACATACAAACACAGATTCACACAATGCATCCCTTAGACACACACAATGCATTCTTTACACACAAACACACACTGCATCCCCTATATCCCTTAGACAAACTGGTTTCCCTATACATTACATTCCATAAGAACACACACATCTGTGTAAGGGACCCTAAAAAATGAAGCTGCTTTCTATTCATTGTTTTTGCGAGCACTGCCTCCAGGGAGCCTGTTTTAACACCAGACTGCAGCCTGAGCCCATCATCATCCTCATCCTCAGAGAAAAGACACTGTGTTTAGCACTGGCGTTGGCTCATATGGCAGATCATATGTGTGGGGCATTGGGGTGGAGGCAACATATTTTTCTTGGGCCTAGGGCAGCAAAAATCCTTGCACCGGCCAGGGCCGGACTGGGGATACAAAGCAGCCCTGGGAAAAAAAGAAAGAAAAACTATGCCAGCTCCATAAGTCATTGAACCATATATTGCCGGATGTAATATATAAGGCATATTGATACACAGCCTCATAGACAAGCAATGTCACTGATATACATAAGCTCATTGGCATAAAAACACAAGCTCACTCACTAGCAGGCACATGCACACACACGCGCAAGCGAGGTCACTTACTAGCAGGCGCGCAAACACACACAAAAATTATTATTTTTTAAATGTGGGAGAATGCAGCCAGCAAGATTCAGGTTCTCACATTATCGTTCACTTGCTTTTTTGCATGCAAACAATAACTTTAAGTACTATTTACTGTGAGGGTTTATCATGTGGCTGCCGGCCAGCATGAGCGAATGGGGGTCGATACGACCCCCGTATTACTATAATGGAGGTTATGAACCTCCCTAATGCCCCCATCTGCCATGCTGTGGGTGTGAACATAGCTAACATACAATGAGCAGGGAGTGGTGGGTGGCTGATGTGGATATAACACTTAAGTCATGATTAAGTGTTCTGTGCAACACAAAATTTAGCAAGTGAGGGTGGCTGTATCCTGGCCTGGTCTTTCTGCATGATGGAACTAAAAAAATATATTTGGTTTTATATTGAAGCAATAATTCCTGAATCACCTGTTTTTCTTTTGCTTTGGATTTGGATATAATATTTGAAGCCACCACCTGCCGCCTAAGGGTAGAGACTAAGGAGAACACTTGTTCCTCACATTTAATTGGGATATCCCTCCACCTCAACAACAAATCTGATTCATGGAAGCCCCACCTCTCAACCTTATCTGCTTCTAATGTCTTGTATACCATGGGAAACGTTTATAGGGTTTGAGGAGTCCATGCTTAAATGCATCAGAGCTGTTTTGGCAAAATGAGGGGGACCTACAAGATATTAGGCAGGTGGTTATAATATTGTGGCAGATCAATGTATATTCCACAGAAAATTCAAAATGTATTGTTGTGCGTCATATATACACACATATATAGTAATTCTGAGAAATTACGTTTCCACAGTTCTCTGAGAATTGCCAGACCAGAACCAGCACTTTGCTGAAGAGGCACAAATGTTTAAAACTGTGCAAACCATGATTGGTCTGTGGTCATTAGTGCTTTTAAATCGCATGTTTTGGTTAAAACTATGTATTTAAAATGTTGCTCTTTTGCTAAGGGTGCCTCAGTGTTTCTTGAAACTAGTGGCAGGGCTGTGGGTGAAAGTGCAAGAAAATCATAAAAAGACAGCACTTTCAGTAAATCCTGACAAATTAAGTGAGGCAAATCTTATTTTAAATGAACACTACAGGGTCAGGAACACAAACAAGGGAAAAGAACTCTCTAGAAGAGTGGGAATACCAGGAGCTGGCTAGGTGACTAATGGCTAAAATACTACTACATAGAGAATAAAAATATAAAAATATATATATGGTACTATGCCTTTAAATCTAGAATGGACAAAGTATCCCTATAAGTGTGCAAAAATGTGAATAAAGGCGCTATGAGTGGAGATCTCAAATAAACGGGATATCCCTTTAAATATGCAAAAATACAAAGAGAATGCTGCTATACCTTTAAATGTCCTTTAAGAGTGTGCAAACATGCAAAGCAGTGCTATATAGCAACACACGGGATCAGACGCATGTACCAGCAGCACCACTAATCTCCACACGCAGGACCTGTTTGGAAAGTACCGCCACCGGAGGCATCTGTCCTGCACGTCCCCTGAAGTGAGGCTCCTGCTCGGGACGTGCTCACAGACACAAGCCATCCTCACCGGCAGCTGTATATTGAATCATCACAATCCGTATCCATCCTTAACAATCCGAAGGTTCTTGCTGTTATTTCTCAATGCATCAGTCTGGTAATGCATTTCTGAATCTAGTGTGACCTGTATTTTTATGGGACACCATAGGTTCTCTGTAGGAAACAGGGATTGTAGTCAGGTAGTTTGTGTGATTTGTTTTAGATGGGTGTACATAACATAATGGTCACCGTGTTTGGTTATGTCTGATATTTTAAACAGGCACTGATGGACAACAGTGAACTCTCGGTGTCTGAGGAAGCCGTAGAAGGCCATGTAAATGGCTACATTGATGACAAAGTTAGTCTGGGTATTAAAGGGATTTGTGTCCAATAGGTCTGACATGTTCCTGAATATGGTTCTGTCTATGGGTAATCTATTGGTAGTAGGAGTTCGATCTATTTTGTTGATGTCTTTAAGAATAGATTTGATGGGGTAAGTGGAAAGAAAAAGGTGGATGATTGGGAAAGGTCATGAGGATGTGGTGCTGTATGCAAAAGCCACCATGGTCTCGAATAATTATCTAACACGTGAAACTCCCCACACAATTTGTGGAACACAGTCAAAGCCCTGCTTTAGGCAGTTTTGGTATTGGCAGAAAGAGCGGTTTGTGAGAGTGACCGTGCTTGGGTCAATAATCTTGTTAATCCATTATTAACTCTAGAAATGTCGGGATTCTGGACGGAAGTTCGTTGGCGAAGGGATGCACCTTGTAGAATGCCTGAAAGTTAGACCGGGACAAAGCATCAGCTGCCATATTATGAATGCCCGGAATGTGTTCGCACACTAGGAAAAAAAAAAAAATGGTAGTCAATCTCCGTATTAACCCCATAATGGTTATGGAGGAAGTACGCCCTTTATTAACGATCTCGCAAGCCGCCAAATTGAAAAACACTTGACTGCCTTCCTGGCCCACAGATGACCCAAAGTATGAGCTGCTGCTACAATGGGATAGATCTCGAAAAGGGCTGAAGTTTCCGTGAAGGTCGGTAAGGCAAGTGTTTCTTGAGGCCAAACATCCCTGAACCAGTGGTAACAAAAAATTGCAGCAAACCCTGAGTGGGCTGCTGTGTCAGTCCAAATAACAGGGAAGTGCTCAGTCAGTGGGGGAATGAACATGGAGATGCTGTTCCACTCTGCTAGGAAGTACTTCCACATGAGTAAATCAGCAACAGCTGGGGGGATTGAGGACTATGGTGCCATCAGGTACGCTGGGTAGGAGGCAGAGTAACCTGGAGATGAAGGGTCTCCCCTGTGGAATGATATGCACCGCAAAATTTAGGTATCCCAGTAGAGACTGGAGATCCCTCCGTGTACCAGTACTTTTTTGGAGGAACTGGTCCAGTTCTTGTCTGATATGTACCAATTTCACATCGGGGAGGCGTGCCTGCATAGACATTGATTTTAGTGAGATACCCAGGAAAACCAACTGTGTTGTGTGGCCTATTGTTTTGTCAGGGGACAATGGGGCACTTGGTGCCGAAAACAGTGCCATGCTAATGATACTACGTGGAGTGAGGGAACCTGTCTTGACCAGTAGAAAATCGTCCAAATAGTGTATGACCATAGTGCATCTGACCGTAGTCAGGAGCACCAGCAAAGAGTTTCTGCAAATATGTCGAACAGCTTCGGGCTGCTTCTGGAGCCGAAAGTGAGTCTGGTGGCGAAGTAATAATTATATCTCCATTTGATGCCGTGGATATGCCAGAGAGACGGATGGATAGGTAGTAATTTGAAGGCGTTAGTTATATCCGTCTTACTGAGCCATGCTTGTTCACCGGCCAGTAGAATAGCTTGCATGGCATGATCCATGGAGGCATAATGGAGACAGAATTCTTCAGCCAGTATTAGTGAATTTAAGCTAGGGTTTTTTGAAGAATCAGGTTGTGGGGATATTTATGGGATGATATTATATAGTTGAGAATTGCCCACTATTTCAATTCTCTTAGATCTTAGAGATAGTTATCATGTAAGTGAAATGTATTTCATACAAATAAAATCACAATTTGTTATAAAAATAGATATAATTTATTGTGACAAATAAAATAATAATAATAATATTAGGTAGCATGCATGATAATAATCAGTGAATATTTAGAATAACATAATTATGTAATACAATGGCAATATTAAAACAATCCAATGGCTAACAGCATCAACTGTCAAAACTTACAAGATTTATGAGGGTACTTCACAGACACAGAAAGCTAAACTTCCAGCGAAAAGCCATAAAACCTTGGCTAACAGTTAGATCAACTGAGTAACCCTTTCAATGCTGGCTAGATCCTCCTAGGTATATAATATCCTATTCTCATGTAATTTTCAATTAAAATAACATTTAAACCAGCTCATTAATCATTTCCTGGAACCATCCAATAAGAATAATCTACCAGATTTTTACAAAAGCCGAATTTAACTCTACCTAAGATATACGATCTTATTTCAGAGCAAATCAATACACATGGATAAAACAGTGGTATGCTAACACGTGGTAAGATACCAGTACTATGTAATTATCTGACTCCACCTGCAGAATGGAGTGTTATAACTACATATTCTTTAGTTAACTAAGATTTCTCAATTATTGAAATCTGACTGTGATTTATCCAGCCATATATCATGCTATTAGTACATTTTTAATTAATTTAAATTAATTAAATAAAACCAGCATAATTACCAGTTATGTAGAAATTGTTGCATATCTGCACAGCTTATCTCTCTGTCCCCTATCCTGCTTTGCAGGGGCACAAGTTGGAGGAATGTGAGGTCTCAAGCTGGCAAAATGCCTGCACAACAGCTCTGTGTCTAACTGACTTCAATCGATGTGGGTGTTGGACTGGGCCAGAGCTGCTGCTGCCTTAGATGAAACCGACCTGCGCTAATCATAGAAAGGCAAAACTCCCGTACTTGTGCCCCAGGACCACCACCACCTTGTGTAAATAGAGGTCAAATTCCTCTCGCCTCTGAGGGTATACAGAGCAGATGACATCTGTTTAATCCTAAGCAGAGAACGAATTCAGGGATGGAGAGCTTTTTACCAAGACGTGGGTCCCTTGTTTTGAGGATCACTGATATGTCTACGAAACTAAAAGCTCTATTCTCTAAAATATCCTGTGAAGCTATAAGTAGAGAGACTAGACAGACATTCTTGCCATCAAGCTGGAACAGCATTTACAGGGGTGGTGCAGTGTGAAGTGGATGGAGTGATAGTAATGTCCATAACTTGCGTGTTTGAAAGTGCAGGTGCTGGGTCTGGAGTGTGAGGTGCATTGGTAACCGTAGAGATCATGCTTTCTATCTTTGTCATTCTCTCGTTAAGTGACTGTAGAGTGGACAAGCTGGATGACAAGGTGTCTTGAAACTGTCCAGAACAGCTGACATTGGGCTCCTGAGAACTTGTGCCAGGCCTGGGATTGTTGGACTGGACCGTTAATAACTTAAAGAGTTATGCTTTTCTAGCTGTGCCCGGGAAAGGAATGTTCCTACGGTGTAGTTCTGTTGACAATTTAGGAATGGTCCAAGATCTGAGCCCTGGGGCTAGTAGTTATGAGAGATTCAGCTAGTGAGATAGGTCTAATGGGTGTACTGGGCCTGGAGGGAGAGCCCTGGAGAGTACAAGTTGTCTTCTTATTCTACATAGAGTGATTCTTATGACATCCTATGAAGAAATTCGCAAATACAATACTTTGAGCCAATGGTGAAATACCGTATATAGAACTGGCTTGCTAGCTAATGCCGGTGGCAAATAACTTAACTACCCGTGGTAGGTGAATCCCTGCTTATTGCCAAGTGGTGAAGAGAGGCTCTAACTATGATTTGGCCTATGGGGAAATGTGGCCACCGAACTATGTGGCGGGATGTTGGCCTCTCGGTGACAGTATGAAGAAAAAAAAACATTTGGCCGTGGCATGTGACATCCTAAACAACCTCTGTAGAAGGGGATATGAGGCAAATAATCTAACATGGGGCCGTGTGGGCGATACCTCTGCATGAAGTGGGGGGAGGGGATGGCCTCATGGGAACTAAAACTTAAAAAGTAATAGGATGAGCTCATATCCCTTGCAGCCAGTTCTCTCTTCTGAAAAGCAGCGTAAACGTAACCAAACAATAGGATGAGATAGAAACGGAGTAGAAAAAGCTGGAGGGATAATGTAGGTTTAAAGATGCCTATCTTTAACGATTATTAACTTATGATGAGTGAAGTACTGGGTTATATTCTACACTAACTTTGCAGTGCTGTTCATGTTTTCAGGTGGCAAGTAAGTTTTAGGTCTGGCTAGTAGCTTGTGATGTGAAATTTTGAGCCCTCTAGTAATGCATGACAAACTTCAAATATAGATCACCACTATTAACTTCCCATGTGCCACTCTTTATTCCCCATTACTGTTATGCATGGTGTTCGTAAATATCACATTGGCGTTTATTCACTAAGCACATATTGTGAAAACTGAGAACTGCAAAATGTATGCAAAAATATGAGTTGGGAAAAAACACCAACCCAATTATGACAGCTCAGCTATTTTAGCCTGAATTTTACAAACTGGTTTTTAGTGACAAAACACCATAGTTTTACTTTAATTCTCCTGTAAGTTGTGTGATCCAAATCATTTTCCTCAGTGACTCACCTGTGCATAAAGGGCTTTAGAATAGTGATTCCCAGCAGAAAGAACATTAATACCGAAAGCCCCATCATGGTGAAACCCAGCAGCATTGCTCTGTCTTCTCCAGCATTTGAAACTTGTTTCTTCATTTTATCAGATGTTTTAACCCCATCGCTGCTGCTGCTTTCTTTCCTTTTAACCTTGCCAGGCACGGCGGAGAAGGCTTCCCTTAAAATAACAGAGTGACCAGTGATTTTTGAGTGCAAGATGTTATGACTGTATCCTAGTTAATATGTTGTCAATGAGGAATATGTGAACTTTATTTTTTAATAGGATCCATGACTGCTGGAAAACATTTGCTAAACTGCTTTAAAGGACCACTATAGTGCCAGGAAAACAAACTCATTTTCCTGGCACTATCGTGCCCTGAGGGTGCCCCCACCCTCAGGGTCCCCCTCCCGCCGAGCTAGATGGAGAGGAAGAGGTTAAACTTACCTCTTTCTCCAGCGCCGGGCAGGGAGCTCTCCTCCTCCTCCTCCTCCTCCTCTTCGGCTGAATGTGCATGCGTGGCAGGAGCTGCGCGTGCATTCAGCCAGTCCATAGGAAAGCATTCACAATGCTTTCCTATGGACGCTGGCGTCTTCTCACTGTGAAAAATCACAGTGAGAAGCGCGGAAGCCCTCTAGCGGCTGTCAATGAGACAGCCACTAGAGGCTGGATTAACCCCATTATAAACATAGCAGTTTCTCTGAAACTGCTATGTTTATAGAAAAAAGGGTTAAACCTAGCTAGACCTGGCACCCAGACCACCTCATTAAGCTGAAGTGGTCTGGGTGCCTATAGTGGTCCTTTAACCATTAAAGGGACACTATAGTCACCAAAACAACTTTAGCTTAATGAAGTAGTTTGGTGTACAGATCATGCCCCTGTAGTCTCACTGCTCACTTCTCTGCCATTTTGGAGTGGTTTCTGTTTATGCAGCCCTTGCCACACTTTCCCTGGCTGTGACTTACACAACCTGCATGGGAATTGAATTTCTTTGTAAATTAAACTTTAATCACACACCACAGACTCCTGCAGGTCCTTGACAGTTTTTAACAGAGCAGGAGATTAGAAATTCTAAATTAAACAGAATTTGCAATAAAGGAAGTGTAAACATTAGATGAAGTGTTTAAAAAAGATTGTGCAAGTCACATGCAGGAATGTGTGACTAGGGCTGCATAAACAATGTGATTGGACTCCTAAATAGTAGAGAATTAATCAGTGAGACTGCAGGGGTAATGCCTACGTACCAAAACTGCTTCATTAAGCTAAAGTTGTTTTGGTGACTATAGTCTCTCTTTAATGGCTATTTCCTTTTCTAGACTATAGACTAGTGAGATAGGTCAGTGGTTAGAGCTGTGATTGCAGTATCATAGACTCCAAGGTTTGAGCTGGTTCCTGATTTCTAAGAAATGAGCACATTGTGTTTAAAGAGATCAAGTTGGCAAGGTACTGCAAGGTAAGTCAACTTAATTTTAACTTTAACTCTTAGTGTCTTAATAAGTAGACATTTAGTGCATTCCTTTGAGGCCAGTATAACTATATCCTGTGAGATCTGGTAACTAATCTCTTTGGGATAACTCACTGAGACATCACATCAGCAAGACTGATTTAATCTTCCATCCCTCTGAGGTTGATAAAATAAGTGCCATTCATTTTGTATTATCAAAAGGCAAATGAAGAATTGAGTTCCCATCGGCTGCACACATTTTGTCCAAAGGGTGCTCATTAGAAATGTCGCGAACTGTCCGCCGAACTGTTCGCGAACTGTCCGCCGGCGAACAATAGCGTGTTCGCGTTGGGCGAACATATCCGATTTCCGGTCCGTCCCCTATACGTCATCATTGAGTAAACTTTGACCGGGAACCTCACAGCCAGCAGACACATTCCACCCAATCAGCAGCAGACCCTCCCTCCCAGGAAGTGTCTGCTGACTGTGAGGTTCCGGGTCAAAGTTTACTCAATGATGACGTATAGGGGGCGGACCGTAAATCAGATATGTTCGCCCAACGCGAACACGCTATTGTTCGCCAGCGGACAGTTCGCAACATCTCTAGTGCTCAGCCTTGATTCTCATGTTTTTGTAGCTCTACCCATCACATAATTCTCTGCCAATCAAAAGTCATAGGTGAACAAATGACTACATTTGTTCCTAATCCTTTTATATAAAAAACAATAGTTGCCAATAGTTGATAGAGAATACTTGAAATAAAGTAAAATGAGAACCAGAGAACGAAGACTGCTCATCCCAGCTCCAGTTTAGCTCAGGCAAGTTTAGGGGAATCTGTAACATACTATTTCAGATTATTTATATGAATACACAATACATAACACTAAAACAAACAATTGGCAAATACTATAATATATATGAGAAAGTTAAATCAACATCACTAGTTACATATTAGAGAGCCAAACATACTTGCTAAGTAGCTTGTCAGGTTGATTCAAGTGCAGAACATACAAGTATATTAAAACACAATAATTAATGTGATGAGTGCTTTCTGATACTTTTTGGTCCATGCTTATACATTATTAGTATGAATTGCAAAGGCACCCCACAACAAACATGCTTCAATTATTTCATTTAATTTAAGGTATTCGATGCACTGTCTTTTGCTTAAAGGACCACTATAGTGCCAGGAAAACATACTCGTTTTCCTGGCACTATAGTGCCCTGAGGGTGCCTCCACCCTCAGGGACCCCCTCCCGCCCGGCTCTGGAAGGAAGAAAGGGGTTAAAACTTACCTTTTTCCAGCGCTGGGCGGAGAGCTCTCCTCCTCCGATCCTCCTCTTCTCCTCCCCGTCGGCTGAATGCACACGCGCGGCAAAAGCTGCGCATGCATTCAGCCGTTCACATAGGAAAGCATTCATAATGCTTTCCTATGGACGCTGGCGTGCTCTCACTGTGAAAATCACAGTGAGAAGCACGCAAGCGCCTCTAGTGGCTGTCAATGAGACAGCCACTAGAGGAAATAGGGGAAGGCTTAGCCCATTCATAAACATAGCAGTTTCTCTTAAACTGCTATGTTTATGAAAAAATGGGTTAACCCTAGCTGGACCTGGCACCCAGACCACTTCATTAAGCTGAAGTGGTCTGGGTGCCTAGAGTGGTCCTTTAACACTACTAGAAACTTGTGGTTTCAAGCATCAATCATCCTGTGATTGTTATGAATCACTTGCTTTGTTATGTTATAACACCTCTGGATGTGTCAGTGCATTCTGTTTGCACAGTGCCAAAGGTGTGATTACTGTATTAATGGGCAAATGAGTTGGACTCATGGGGAGCAAGAGTGGCTGAACTTGACAGTCAGTAATATTGTTACTGTATTTGCCATCTTTTTTTTCCTTTCTATTTTTCTATGTTTAATAAAATTATATTGAGCATTTCTTAAATTGAGTGTGGGAACAATAATAACCTTTTCTATGCAAACATTAAAGAAAATAAACACACACACACTGTTAAAAGCCACATTCCACTGCCCAAATAAATATATAGTCAATATATTGTTAAACAGATCTGCACACCAGTCAAACCATAAGACTTGCGTTTCCCACAGAAATCTCACATTACACATTTATAAATCACTGTTTAAATATATCCCCTTTATATCTAAAAACAGCTTGCAAAAGCTGCAGATCTTTTGTCTGCAGCTGTTGCAAGTCCCCCACTGTCTAACCCCACCCAGACTTCCTTTGGCTGTCCAATCACACACTTCCCGTTACAGGTCAGTGAGAACTCTCTGCAAGACAGGTGCTCTGAGCAATCACCTTCCCCTTGAGTTTAGCTCCACTGAGAAACAACCAGGAAGACCTGTTGTCTGATTGACAGCCAGGAGGTGTAACAAGGTTAATTTGTAAAGCTGCCAATTTCTATTGAAATCTGCCCTTTTTGTAAAATGAAAAAAAATAAGAACACAGATCACACATAAAAAACTTCAGAAAGCTAAACTGCTTTATGGGTCTCGAGTGCCCCTTTAACCCCTTAAGGACACATGACATGTGTGACATGTCATGATTCCCTTTTATTCCAGAAGTTTGGTCCTTAAGGGGTTAAATATTCACCTCCACAAATAGAAAACACAGTCACATATAGATATATTTCACAGAACCTTTTACTGTACTGTACGTTTGCTATCAGATTGTGCAAAAAACTATAATGTGACCAATCTGCTTTAATTAATTCTGTAACATACTGTAAGCATTATAGAGCATGGTGTAATAAACGCTTTGTATTGCCAAATCATTAAAAAAAAAAAATGTGTATACAGGAATTATTATTATCATCAAAAGCATTTATATAGCGCCAACATTTTCCACGGCACCTTACAATTATGCAATGGGAATATTTAACTATATGTAACTGACTAACACAAAGTTTAAAGACAAGAGGTGAAGAAGGCCCTGCTCAGATGAGCTAACAATTGAGGAGGAAGAACATTGTATCGGGTGGAGAGGAGGAGAAGAATATGTCTACACAGACAGAACAATAGCTACTTTCTCAAGTAATAAATCCAGCTAGTACTTTTTAGCAATGTCTCTGCTATAGTTAATGCCACATGCATCTCTCACCTCATGTAGCGTCTTCTGCTGCTCTGCAGAGTGATCTGAATCGGAACACTGAATGACTGTCTTTGTTGAACTGATTGCATCCACATTTTATCTTTGAAGAAAACCATCAACTAAATACAGACAGCTGAGCCCAAATTCCAGCCATCAACATGACACAGTTTCCACTGCCTCTCTAATCCAAAATTCTTAGATGTGTCTACCTGCAATTACCTCCAGCCATAGCAACGTTCAAGATTTATGCAAATAAGTATTAAAATTGCGTTAATGGTCAAGTAGCTTGAAATTATCTTCTTCGATGATAAGAGGCCTCCTAATTAATGTCTAACGAAAAGCATACTTTATCACCTGGGTGTTTCCACTTCAGCGAATAGAATGTTTCTATAGGAACTGTGACTCCTTTGGGAACTTCTGAAGTCTCAGGAGCTCAGTTTAAACCAGTAGAGAGAGAAGCTGATTTCACAGCTGGCTTATATATATTGCCACAGAAACATTAAGGCTCGTATTTTCATTACATTAACCATTTATAAAATAAATAACATATTTCTGCTGACGTCATGTGTCTGTGGTAGTGATTAGATCATAATGTAGAAATACATTTTACCTTAATCTCTTGTGTAATTAAATCCAACTACCCATATATTGCAAGCTCATTTGAACAGCTCTCTCCATTTCCTGTCCCTGTACTCTCAACTTGTCTTTTTGCAACTATGTCTGTGTTAGTCCACCTGTTGTATTACACTTAAGCATATATAGGGGCTTTCTAAATAAAATAAAAAAAAATCTCAATGATACCAGTGAACATGTGCCTGACCTCATCTCCCTGGCTTTCTGCTTATTTTGTACCATTTGTAACAATTTGGTGGAGTTTTAGGTGTGCAATGAAAATATCCACAGCATATCTTGTCCATGATTCATTTCAATTCATTTTTAGAAATAGAATCAGCTGGAGTTGAAATGTACATTTCATACCTGCTGTATTTTTCAACCTGTAGATTACCTTCACAACATTACTTTACAAATTACACAGTCTTACACTGAATATCTGCAAATGTATTAGAAGTAGAGGAAAGGTATTTAACAATTGCTCAAATGTAGTATTATTTGGCATGCCACTTTGGCCTCAGTTTAATATTGTTGGATATTTGTGGATAAACTTTCAAAATATGTTCTCTTATATAAAAATATGTAAAAATGTTTGCTTGTCAGTAGTTATTGACATGGTTATACTACTTCGCTCCCTATACGCATTGTAATTACATGCGGTGCAGTCAAACCATTCTATGTAACTATGTGAACTACTAATAAAAAAAAATGTTCATCCAAATATATTTTAACATTTGAAAATATTATTCAACAATATTAAAGGACCACTATAGTCACCCAGACCACTTCAGCTCAATGAAGTGGTCTGGGTGCCAGGTCCCTCATGTTTTAACCCTGTTTACATTGCAGGGCTAGTCCAGCCTCTTCTGGCTGTCTTCCTGACAGCCGCTAGAGGAGCTTCCGCGACGCTCAATGTGAAAATCGCATCGAGCACGCAGAGCGTCTGTAGGAAAGCATTGAGTGATGCTTTCCTGTGGGTGGTTTGAATGCACACTCGGCTCTGGCCATTTATGGCACGCGGCTCCACTCGTGAGCTGACGTTGGAGGGGGAGGAGCGGTCACCAGCACCAAGGGTGCCAGGCGCTGGATTAAGGTAAGTGGCTGAGGGGGCCCCTGAGGGTGTGGGGTGACCTAAGGACTATATAGTGCCAGGAAAACGAGTTTGTTTTCCTTGCAGTATATTGGTCCTTTAAATTGAGGCCTTTGTAGGTAAAGGGAATATAAACATGTTCTTCCTCATATCTTCAGCATTATATTCTGTATCACATTTTTACCAAAGTGCAAAACATAACTAAGTGAACATTTTCCCAAATAAAACAAAATGTAGTATATACACTGATCAGCCACAACATTTAAACCATCTACCTAATATTGTGTAGGTCCCCCTCGTTCTGACAAATAGCTCTAATGCTTTGGGGCATGGACTCCACAAGACCTCTGAATGTGTCCTGTGATATCTGGCTCCAAGACATTAGCAGCAAATCAAGTCTTGCAAGTTGAGAGGTGGGGCCTCCTTGGATCAGATTTTTTTGTTTCAGCACAACCCACAGATGTTCAATCAGATTGAGATCTGGGGAATTCTAAGGCAACACCTTGGAAATTGTCATGTTCCTCAAACCATTCCTGAACAAATTTTAAAGTTGGCAGAGTGCACTATTCTGCTGAACGAAGCCACTGCCATCAGGGACACCGTTGCCATGAAGGGTTGTCAATCTCTAGTTAGGTGGTACATGTCATCCATCTGATCTAAAAGAAAACATGGTTCAGCAAACTAGGTAACCTTCTTCCATTGCTCCATGGTTCAGTTCTGATGCTCATGTCCCCACTGAAAGTGCTCTCAGTGGTGTACAGGGGTCATCATGTGCACTCTGACTGTATTATGATTGTGTAGCCCCATATACAGCAAAACTGTAATCCACTGTTTGCTCTGACAACTTTCTATCATGGACAGCCTTAAAGGAGCACTCGATTGACCACATAATAGAAAAATAACTATAAAGTAGATATACATCCAGTATATCCAGTGTATTTTCCCAAAACACCACATGGATGAAACCTGAATTGCCTAAGACAATTTTATTTTTTGGACATAACATTTTTCCACAAGTCTAATCCTCAGTATAGTAAGGGTTGGTCAGAAAGATCTTTTGATTTCCCCACTTTCCAATGGGTCTATAGAGCAATCATTCAGTACTGGTGCTCCAAATGAAATTTTACAATTCTGTTTTTGATTCACTACAATTCTGTTTTTAGTTTATAAACCTCTGCAAGCATGTAGGAGTTTACATGGCCATGATTAATATACAAATTGCTACACTTAACAGGAGTGTGTCTGACATTCAAACAGAATTAAGTTAGGAAATAGAAAGAGTATGATAAGTAGAGATGTCGCGAACCGTTCGCGAACTTCCCGCGAACGGCTCGCCGCGGTTCGCAGCGGGCTCTGGTCAGCTGACACATCCCGGCCAATCTCCAGCAGACCCTCCCTCCCAGACTCTCCCACCTCCTGGACAACATCCATGTTGAAGCTGCCTTCAACATGGATGTTGTCCAGGAGGTGGGAGGGTCTGGGAGGGAGGGTCTGCTGGAGATTGGCCGGGATGTGTCAGGTGACCAGAGCTCGCCACGAACTGTTAGCGACATCTCTAATGATAAGATGATTTTCTTTCTGCATCAAATCTGTGAATGTTGGTATGCCAGCTGTTTGAAACCTGTCACTCTATTGGGTCTTTCAATAAAAGAATAGCTGTCATCTTTGGGATTGTTGGATAACCTTTTATGAGGGCTAAACCCCTCGATCTCTGCAACTGAGAAATTGTCCCCATGCTTAGATAAATGAGATTGGGAACTATTTTATTTCCTTCATCAGGACACTATGCCTGTGAAACGAACAGTGTTTGGAGACCATTGGTGCTTAAAAAAAAAAATGGTGACATGTTACTCTGCATAATAGTATTGTAAAATTTTATTCTTCTGCGATATGAATTATTGCCATAGAATATGCTAACATCATTAAACTTTAATGACCAATGAGCGAAGAGTCTTGATAGTGTTATTGGCATATTAAAAAAGAATGCATGTGCACTGGTTTATAAAAACATGCATAAAAAGTAGTACAGTAATTTTTACCTGGTGCCATTTGTTCTTCTAATTCAACACTATAAAGACTGAAATTAGTGCCTAGATAAATGTTTAGACTGAAAGTTTGGCCATTTTCTCATCAGATCAATGTTGGTGCTACTGTAGCTGAGGCTCCAGTCCCATACATTGCAATAAAATCAAAGTGCCTATTTTTGTGACCTGTTGCTATGGAATGCTGGGTGCCATAATCAGAACATATGGCCAGAGAGTTACAGATATCCATCGTGGTCCTGGAGTTACAGGTATCCACCGTGTTCTGACTGAGCATTATGTCAAACACTGTCCATAACAACAATAATGTGCAAATCGTTTTGGCTCTGTATATAATCTTGTCTGATTTGGATCTTAACAACTGGAGGGACCCAAATGTATCCAATATATCCTAAAAATATTCTATAAATAAATGTGCCTTAGGACCATTGCACAAAGAAGTAGCACATGGACCGTCTTTTTCCAGTGATATATGCAATAGATTATCTGCACAAACAGTAATCAAGTACACCTCTAGCTCCCCCTTGGATTTCTCTGTACTTCAACTTGCTGATGAAGCTGGGCTTTGTATGCTTGACATTTGTAATATTTTATATGTAATTTATAATACTCGTGGAATAGACTTTATATATGGCTACAAAGATGGGGTTTGGGACCTGAAACACAAATTCAGATTTTGCAATTAGGCCCAATCTAATGTTTGACTCTGGGCTAATAAAGCCCCTAATCCAGCACTATCCCTTGTGGACGCAGAAACAGTAAAAAAGAGGGACTATCATACCAACTTGCTTACTATTTTCACTGTATTCTATTAACTAGCCGTAGTATATCACAGCCCTGGCCTTCACAGGGCAAGTAGCAAGAGAACTATGGATACAGGGATCTTTATTTGTTTCCAACAGGAAGCACAATTTGACATGTGTCAGCTTATACCGACATTACTACTATAGCTTACTAAGTACCTGAGTTTCTGTTTGGAAACATTACTTAAAAATGTACATTCATATCAGGCCAGCCACGAAAAGTTTACTGTACAACGTTATTTGTTATAAAATATGTGTCTTGGTCTTATTGAGCTGCATTAATGTATTGCACAACAAATATATAGAATATACCTGGTAAGTGGCAGAGGCTCACGGATATTGCTGGCCTTGCACTAGCTTGCTGAGAATACCAATAGGTTCTGGTATAAACATATTACCTATAATCAAAGCTGTTACTTTTGATGCCAATGTATCTGTTTTTTTTGTTCCAACAAAAATGTAAAAATGTGCATCTACGCCAAGCCTGTCCTGAGAATGCTACTGTATAATGTTGCATGTTACATGATATGTGTACGGGCTTTGTCAGATTGTGATTTTGCAAGGCACAACTAAAAATAAAGAATAAAAAAAAATAAAAAAAAAATAGAAACATAGAATGTGACGGCAGATAAGAACCATTTGGCCAGGAGGATCCTGCGGAGCGGCTCCCGACTCTTTCCGCTGATCAGGTAGGCTCAG